ACTCAAAACTCATGTCTGTAACGAAGGGAATGAAATGTGCAGCACTTTTTGGGCAATAAATACAAACAGCGAAACTAGCGGTTCTCACTTACATATCCTTCCCAAACTGGTTTGAATATTTGCTTCATATAGTTTTCTACCATATGGTACAAGATTAGGTTGAAAAACCTCTTACTTTTTGAGTAATGAGATTTTTTTATTAAGAAAGGTCATGGTAACGGAGGGAAAATTGTGCAAGCAAGTAGAAGGTGCATGATTTTGCATCATTTGTCGCTTTTTTCTTCTGAATACTTTAATATTACTTCAAAATGAAAGGTAACTATTTCTATAAAATATGTCAGTCCTTCCAAGCAAATTTTTATCATTTTAAATACATTTTTTTTGAAAAATCATGTACCTTCATCAACAGTTCAAAGATGGAATAACACAAGATATGATGAAATACATCCATTTATTTACATGATTTGCAGGTCTTAGAAATTTGGGAAATAATTTTTGTTCCATGTTACATACATAGTTTGTTTAAAATGTATGTAACTTTAGAACCAAAAATGGTACAGAAAAAAGGTAAACAGTTTCATAAACTAGAGTACATCTGCTATCTGTTGAATACATTTTTTAATTTTTGGCCTTGCTGTATACTTCTGCTTGACCGGGCCCATAAGTCTAAATAAAGGAATTAAATTATGTGTAATGTAATTAATTAGTGAAATTAAATAATACTGACACTATGGATTAGTGGCAGAGGTATCCACCACAAGCAGATACTAGAGACTTTATTGACAATCTCAACTCTGTATCATAGAGTAAACTGATTAAATTGAGGCTCAAAATAGCTGAAAAATACCACAAAATTTTGTCACAAGGAACATTTTGACCCTTGGAGATGTAGATGGCTTAATAATGCAGGATTATTCAAACATGTGAATGAAATAAAACACAACTCTGTGTCAGTTTAGGTAACAGAGTACTTTTAAAACTATATATGACAGAGAGTTTTTGAGTACACTGTGGCTGTGTGCAGGATGGACCAGGTGAAAGGGGTGCTGACTCTACAGGGAGAGGCACTGACTCAGGCGGTAAGTACATTCAGCTTCAGGAGAATTTTTTCTTACCCAGACATGAGATGGGAATGAACTTGTTTTGTTTTTCTCACTAAAATACTACAATATAATAGCATAGTATAGGACAGTCATTAGTCACTTTGTCACCACCATAATCACGTCCTTAGAAGTTTTGATGTTTAGGACATGTTACAATATTGATTGATCCTGATGGAAAGTGATCCTGCTTTGTAGAACTGATGAACCAGGCTTATACCCAAAGTTACCTCCAAGCAAGTGTTCACACTTATGACACTGCTTTAATTCTGATATCTACAAGGCAGAGGTGGGTAGTACTCAGTTACATTTACTCTTTTTAAACACTTGAGTAATATTTTACTGAATTAACAGTACTCGAGTAAAAGTTTTGGGTCCTCTTTCCACTGCAACTCCACAAGTGAGAAAAGCTTTATACTGATAATAAATAATTTTAACATGTGATTTTTTTCACTGCTCCTTGACATATGATTTAGTTTCTCTTTTTTGTGTCTGTCCTTTGATAATACAGATTTTGAGCAATATTTAATGCTTGTCCTTTTAATTTTATTAACTTAAAATTATACATAGTTATTAGGGATGGGCATGATTAATCGATAATTGATCATTAAGAATTTCATCGATTACGTTAATTTTAATCGACAAACCGAATGTAGGTTGCTGTGCGTAGCGTGACCAAACAGGGGTCTGTACATGTGTCTCTCTGCACTCAGAAGGAGCGAGCAAACACAAACATTCGGTCAGTCTGCAGCGTACCGAAGCACAAATGCGTATTTAACGATAATTTGTACAAGAAATTCCACGCTTTCCGTTGCGTTCGGGACAAGTGTGAGTCCATGTGCACAGTGTACAAAGCAGAAACATATGTTTCGGTGTCCAGTGGGAAAAAGCTTTACCAGGTGAGAGTCCCGCAATGTCGATGACGAGTCCCCACCTCCCTCCCCTCGTACGGTGTCCTGGTTTTGACAAACGCAAATATGGTCACACTAACCTGTATTCCACTGAATCATGTCTTTTAATCTGACAGAAGTTGACCGAATCAGCGACACAAGAGCTGTAGTTTTATCTTCGCTGAGCGATGCGGTTTTAAGTTTCGTTTCTGTGAGAGTTACACAAAACTGAATTAAACACATTATAATGTCAAATGGATTGATGTGGCTCTAGAGTGGTAACGGTTTATATGTCGTAAAGTTGAATTTATTTATGCAGATTAGTAGTGCAGATAGTAATAATAATGATGATCATTTTAATATAAAAACTTTAATGATTAATCGATAATCGATCGTTAATTCTTCCGACGATCGATTAAGAAAATTTCATCGAATGCCCATCCCTAATAGTTATATATAGTTACATATTACTCTTTAAGTTACTCCTACTTGAGAAGTAATTTTCCCAAATACTATTTTAGTCTTACTTGTGTAATTTCTTGGACCACTACTTTGTACTTCTACTTGAGAAATATTATTTTGAAATAATGTTAGTCTTCCATTTTTTTCTACTCTACCCACCTCTGTGACTTAAAGGTTGTATGGAGGATTTTTTTTTGTTTCAAATTGTCAATGATAGCATTATAGAGATGCAGTAGCCTTGTAATTATGATGACCAAAAAAAAGAGAATAAAAATTCATCAACTCTGGACGTGGTGGGGCCAGCTAAACATTTGCCAATAGATAATGACACTGCCTCGTTATCTGTTAGCTGACAGGCTGTCAATCAATCTCCCTACGTTTCTAGCGTAACTGACTTGCCTGCGCGCCGCCGGTACGTGGTTTACGTACGCCTGTCACGCAGTCCACAGACGCTGTTTACTCCACCAACACAACAGTTCTTAGCGGCTTTTTTTGACCTATATCTTCCTCGCAGTTAGCACAAAGTTTGTTGCAATGGCAGACAAGAATCCAGGAGCAGTTAGCCGCAAAAGAAAGTCCGTTTTTGAGATTGCTGAAAGAAGAAGACAAGGGGAAAAGCAGCGAAGCCAAACTAAGGTGATTCTTGAAGATTCATTCCAGCGATGGCGCAACTGAAGCAGACGCAGGGTCTAAAGACTGACGCATTGGTCGCCAAATTACTCCTGGACAGGTCACTTCTGCTTATTATGAAAACGTACTTTATTTCCAAGAGCTAGTCAAACGTTTTTCAGGACACGAAAACTATATCCTATGTCTGAAAACGTAATTTTCAATGCAAAGAAAGAGTCCGCTTGCTGCTGCGTGTTGTAGCTCGTTCATTCGCACTGAATCTCCACGCAACCTTCTCTGCACCCCTTTCCTGCTCCTCTCCCCGCTGCCCGATCCGCTCTTCCCCCTGCTCCTCACTTCTCCGGGCACGGAATCTCCGCGCACCGCTCCCCTCTCCTCTCTCCCCTCCCTGTTCCCTGCTCGGCTCTTCTCCCTGCTCCTCACTTCTCGTCCGCGCACGAAATGTCCGCGCACCCGCTCCCCCCGCTCCTCACTTCTCCGCCTTGCCTAACCAACACTGTAGTTAGTTGTTTACAAGTCATGTGCAGCGCACCGGCTGTAAACAAACCTGTTTCTGGCGTAAGGAGGAGGCGGGAGGAGGCGTTTCTACGTAGGGAGCTGTAGGGGAGGGGGGGTGGATTCACGCATGCACAACATTTGAAAAAGGACAAACAGTCACTGGATTTCTCGTTCCTTGGAAAATCCTCTATACAACCTTTAAGTTTGGTCTTTTTCTAGTCCTTGGTCTGTTGTTTGTTGTTAATAATGAGTGAGTCTGTTATTTGTTGTTAATAATGGGTGAGTCTTGTTTGTTGTTAATAATGAGTGAGTCTGTTATTTGTTGTTAATAATGAGTGAGTCTTGTTTGTTGTTAATAATGAGTGAGTGTGTTCTCTACCTACCCGGTCTAACAAGCCTGTTCACAGGACATCAACTTGAAGATGGCCAAGAGCAGTCAGCTCCTGCATTTTCAGTTCCGGGACGACAAGCACTGGAAGCTGCAGCAGGTATTTTATGAGCCCTTCACACAGAGACAGACATGCACAGCGACAGTTTAGCTTAAATTTTATGGAGAGAGACCTTGTGTGGTTCACATACTCTGCACAACTACAGTAGCTTAGACTTTAACCCAATCACAAGATTTGTGATGTGAATTTATATTACATCTGCCTGTGTGCCATCTATCCTCCTTTATTTGTGTGTCAAATGTCCTCCCATCCTCATGTATACATGTGTGTGTATCAGATGCCTTCCTGCCTACCTTTATTACTCATTGTTAGATACTCGTTGTCTATATGCCTGCAAGTCAGATTCCACCCGGTTCCTATCCTGCCTGTGCACCCAACAGAAATGTCATTTCTAACTCCTTTTTGACACTTGCTCTTTGCTCTTGCCATACTTGTGGATTTCTTTCTACACACCTGACCAGACTTTTGACTGCTGTGTTGTGTGAGCAGATCCAAGATGCTCGGAACCATGTGAACCAGGCCTTGCACCTTTTGAGCTGTCGAGATGAGACCTACCACTTTAAAACGGGAGCAGAGGTGAACAAGGTACATCTCACCCAACCTCATGTTGGAGTCTGGGATCTTTTTAAGGGGTAAAATACTAAAAGTTAACAAATCGTGTACTTCACTCCAGAGAAAAAAATAGGTTCTTGCATTGGGGAGAATGGTGTGAATACAAAGCATGATCATATTCAAACAAAGGTCAAGGTATACTTAGTTGAATCAATGGAGGAAAACGTACGGTTTCTCTCAAAAAAAGTAGATGCAATAAAACTAATATAGAATCCACTCAGAGTCTCTGATTTAACACCCTAACTGCTTTGCCATGAAGCTGACATGTCAAGCAGTACTAGTACCAACTTGGACATGGTGAAAAATAAAATCACTGCACTCAGCCACTGTGCCGCTGTCTCTTTGAAAAATTCTGATTACAGTATGCTGTTTTGCTGTTTTTCACAAAACCACTGCATATATTTTCATATGCACCAATGCTTGTTTTCGATCATTATGCACAAAATGTGGAATTAAGATCTGTGTGTAACAAACTATCACTCCATAGTTATATTATTCCTTTTCCAGTAAATTTCCAGTATGGCATGAAACTCTTATGGAGACAAGCAGGTGACGCCAACAGTTACTGTGGAGAGTCGACTTTGCTCACAGTAAGAATGCATTTTTCAAGGTATTTCTGAGCATTAAAAACAACTTATTGAAATAATGCATGATGAATGTTTAATGCCATACTGTTGAACATTCCTGGCAAAGCAATAACATCTCCATAGCGACAAGCAGGTTGCGGACACAGAAAAGCTACATTGGACACCTTTTAAATTGGTTAAGGAAACATTTCAGATTTAAAAGGAGACAATGAATATATCATCATTAGTGCAAAGTGCAAAGCAGTGTATAACTGAACTTGCCCTGCTGTTGTGTGTTTAGCTGATGGACGCGGTGATGCTGCAGCTGACCAGAGCCAGGAACCGACTGACCACCCCAGCCTCGCTGACCCTCCCCGAGCTGGCCACCAGCGGACTAATGGTAACCGGCTGCACAGCCCTCCTATATGGCTCTTGTCTGCTTCTCCTCACCTGTCAGTCACAACATTTACATGGACTACTATCTATCTATCTATCTATCTCTCTGTCTATCTCTCTATCTATTATCATCTATCTATATATCTATATCTATCTATCTATATATATATATATATATATATATATATATATATATATATATCTCCACACCTCTATTTGGACACTTAGGGGCAAAGGCCCGCGTCCCCTAGGAGCCCGCGGTCATGCGGAGCGCGCGGCCAACGGAGGCTCAAACATGTTGCATCTCACGTGGTCAGAAAAAAAGTGTACAGAAAAGACGTCAAACTTAACGAAACGCTCGCTTTGGACTTTTAAAAAAATAAGAGCCAATGAGCAACAGACGTTTACAAAAATAAATAAATAAATAATAAAAACTGTGTTAACGGCTTTAAAATAATTGTCGGCGATAATGAATTAATTTGTTATATATATGTGTGTGTGTATAAATGACACAGGCGTCTCCCAGAAGATAATAAGACAACGTACAAGAGGCATCATTGTGGAAAAAAAAAGATTCTCAGCTTTTATTTATATTTGAACAAAAAATGGCATGTTTAGAATTATTCATACCCTTTTCGATAATCAATAGAAAAGCCTTTATTGGCTATTGGGAAAAAAAAAAAAAAATTGGCTTTAGCTCCCTCCACAGATTCTCAGTTGGTTTCAAGTTAGGACTCTGGCCAGGCCACTGCAAAACTGTAATGTTGCTGTTTAATAACCATTTCTTCACCACTTTTGCAGTGTGTTTGGGTCATTGTCGTGCTAAAATGTTCACTGGTGCCCAAGTCCAAGTTCCTCTGCAGGCTGCTTGATGTTGTTGTTGAGAATCTTGATCTATTGCTCTTTGTTCATGGTGCTGTTTACTGTGATTAGACTCCCTGGCCCATTGGCTGAAAAAACATCTCCAAAGCATGAGGTTCCCACCATCATGTTTGACAGTGGGGAGGTTAGGGTTAGGGTTGAAGATTTCTCCTTTTTACGCCAAATCATCAATACATCATTGTGGCCAAACAATTAAATTTTTGTTTCATCTGACCATAAAACAAAATACCTTTTTTGTTCAGATGAGCATTTGCAAAGGCTAAAAGGCATTTGTGTGTCTTATCTGGAGAAGTGGCGTCCTCCTTGGTCTGCGTCCGTGGAACCAGCAGTATGTAGTGTCTGTTGGATTGTCTTGCCTTGAGATGTTGCCACCAGCAGAGCCCAGATTCACCTGGATGGCCTTGGTCGTGATCTGTGGATTCTTTTTTTCACCTCTCTCACTATCCTCCTGGCCAGCACAGGTGTCACTTTTGGTTTCCAACCACATCTTGTGAGATTTTCCACAGTGTGGAACGTCTTGTATTTTTAAATAATTCTTTGCATTCTTTGCAATTCTTTGTGAACAGTAGTTCACATATCAAAATATGTTACAAATAGCAAAGTAGTAAAAGTAGTAAAAGATATAAATGGTCATAATAAATTCTAAATAAGTAGCACAATATATAGCAGAGACAAGTGTCAAATAAGGCATAGTTATATAAATGTATATGTTCAAGAATAAAAATAAAATAGAAAAGTAAGTCATAAAAAAATCTCAGCTAAATACAAGAGGTCATAAGTAAAACAGAATTAAAATGATATGATGATTGAGAGGACATATCTGTTACATTAGGGTGAACTGTTGTACAGTTGTAAGGGAGTATTATCTGTTACATGAGGGTGAGCTGGTGTGCAGTTGTAGTCGCCAAATTTCAAGATGGCCGCCATTTCTGTATAAAAAGTATACTTCTCAGCATTGATATGGTTTTGATCATCCTTGTGTTATGAATATGGGCTATAAATTCAAGTGTTTGCATCTACAAACCAGATAATAACCTAAAACCACATTAGCTACCTAGAAAAAACAAATAGCAGCCGATTTTCAAGATGATGAGGTTTCAGAAAGAACGGGACCAATATCCTTCTTAAATGCCAAAATTATATCTCTTCCTGATTTATGTGCTTCTAAATCAGGTAATTCTCACAATAACCTGTCTTTGAGCCTCGTAGCATGAGTGCCATGACCATCAATCCCAAATTGCTGAAGTCTTTGTTTATACAGACTTAAACGCTCAGCCAGCCTAAAAACTATAGGCTCTTGGCTCATATTTCTGGTTTCAGTCATTTATGTCAAAAGCTTTGTAAAAACTAAGGGTTCAACATCATGTTTAGGTTCTTCTTGGTGTTTAACTCACAAGAGGTAAGCCTTCTCTCTGTTATATAGAGATGTTAAGCATGAGAAATGATAGTGCAATTCCTGTGCGATTACATCTCCCCCACTTAATACAGCAAGGAGTCTGCCATCATTCAAGTTACGAGCACTTTCTTTTAACCTATCATTTAATTTCATGGTCATGGCTTGTTGTAGCTCTGCAGCTGGCTCAACTTTGTCACACAAGAAACAATGCTGCTCATTTTTAGACTTTCGTCTGACCTTAGGTTGAACCTCACTGAGGTCATTATGTGTATCAGCAGCACGTTTCCTTGCATGTTTAGTTTACTATTACTCAAGAGTAAGTGACAACTTTGATGATATTTGGCATTGTTTTTTGTAAGTGTTGCCTGAATACAAGATCCATCATCTAATCTAGATATGTTAAGTTTAATTGGCATTTGGTTTATGTCCTTGAAAAGAGGTACATTTGTGGAAATCGTGTAATAACCACTAGTCTCATTGCATTCATAGCGAGTGGGTGGAGCTTTAAGGCCCTCTTTTTTTATCTGTATGGCAAAGACAACATTTATCCAATCAGTTTCAGATGACAAACTGAGAGGGTTGCTGCTTTCTGCCATCTTCAGCTTTTATGGTAAAGGCTGAGGGTTTATCCTTTAACCACCTTACCATATGCACATTAGTGTATGGGATTCAACTAGGTTCAAGAAGTGCCGTGCGATCTGTACACCATCCGGGTAACTAAAGCACTGTTACCCTTGGCTCGGCTCTCCCACACTGGCACATCCTGACTGTTCAGGTGCAGCTATCTAACTATACTACAACTAATGTTAGTAGTACTAAACAATATGTTGAAATGCTAATAGAGCTAACTAGATAGCATTTGAGACACTACACTTTGTTACAACTACAGGAGCTACTGTGGTTAGTAACACTACATAGCCGACACTGAACCCCATTCTGAGTTCCACAGCAATGATATCACCACTGTGCCCTGATTGACATCACTCTAATAAATATATTGTAGAAAGTAAAGAGAATTGTTCTGTGTAACTGCATTAAAGAAAACATTATACATCAATTTCACACCAAGAAAATACCACATAACAGATATTGCATTTAATATAATAATTTCCCTATTAAAACGAAACAGTTATGAAATAATATATATTTTTACATGTTTATTTTTAATTTTATTATATTAACCACAGTTCTTGTGAATTATATGTGCATTATATGCACATCTGTAACAAAATTAAACGTCACATATGCAATTATAAATCAAAATACACATGAATTTCATGTTGTGTCGGCCATCATGAAAATTCGCGGTCATATGGCTAAAGTGCTTTTCTGAAAAATTAAGTCATAAGCTACATCCCTGCCAAATTTGGTGCTTATACGATGAAATGCATGATTCTTCTAAAATATTGACTTAACCGGCCCGGCTAACTGTGTGAGCAGGTCTGTAGGAGCCTGTTGGAGAATGAGCTTCTCTGTCCTTCTATAAAGTAATGCCTTAATGCAAAGCAGTGATTAAAGCAAAGGGTGGCTAAGCCCTCAGTTGCTTTGAATGACAAACTTTTGATTGGTAATGTAAATGTCATGTGTATTTGTCTGTGTGTGTGTGCAGAAAATGTTCAGCCCACCCATGCCTGGAGATGTTATGGTCAACTTTTACATCAACCTGAGTAAGCTGTGTCTGACCGTGTACCAGCTGCACGTGCTGCCTCCTAACACCACTAAGGTTTGGCTCGGGAGACTCACAGAAGCACACTGCCTTGTTTTTGACCGTTTCAATACCACTTGATTTTTTTTTCTTCAGAATTTCAAGCCTGCTGGGAGCTCTGTGGTACACAATCCTGGGGCAATGTTGTAAGTGCGTAATATGCTTTATGTAAAAAAACAAAAAACATTGCTCCCTCCACAAAAACATGCCTGCAGAGGTTTTAAAACAATAAAAGGTAACATGGTGATCTACACCTTGTAGGGGCTTGAGCCTAAATATTTGGTTGTATGTCATTAAAAATTGACAGAGGGCATCACTCAAATAAGACCATTTACCCTAATACAACAAACAACATTCTGTGTAATGGATCATTAAACTGATCAGAATTCCCCATTTTAAATCCTCCTCAAAAAAACACTACAGCCAGTGCCAAAAGGACAAAAAACTTTCAAACATGTATAATTTAAAAATGACAAAAGTTTAAGATGGCCAAATAATTCTTTATGTCCCCTTGGCAGTGTTTGGTGTAGTAACATAACTTTTTTCAGGTAAAAATTGTGTAATGCTCTTTGACCGAAAATTTGGTAACGAACCATTGTTCCTTTTTCAATTCGACGCAACGTTACTTTTCTGTGTACTTGGGCCGGTCCCTGCCCTGGCTGCTCAACGCAGTCTGGGTGGTCGACAGTTGCCCCGGGAGCAGGGGGCCTCGTCCCCATCCAGGGGCAGGGAGGGCGCCGTATACACTGATCTCACGGTCTATGGAGTGGCATGTCACCTTCACCTTAAGCCTTTCCTAGCCAACCCGGTCGCAGACATCGTCTCAGAGGAAGTGTGCTCAGGAGGGGCCAGTGACGCCTGGGGACAGGTCCCTCGAGGGGATCCTCCTCCACCGAGCAGCCATCCCTTGCTGAATCCCTCGGGCAGACTGCGCAGACCCCACCCTTTTATGTCTAAACGGTTTCACATCATCTTGAACTCTCTCTTCAAAGTTCTTTTCAACTTTCCCTTACGGTTCTTGGGCCAGTATTTAGCCTTAGATGGAGTTTACCACAAAAAAGTTACCAAAAGTAACGAGTGACATAAAAAGTTACTTTCCATAGAGGGCAACTAAGTAAAGTAAGGGATTACTTTTTAAAGAAGTAACGAGTAACACGCAAACACTACTTTTTTGAAGTAACTTCCTCAACACTCCTCCTTGGGGTCTATTTTGAAAATATGTAATTACTTTAGCAAAAACACAAAACCTATTTTTTCACTGTTTATTGCAGTGAAATGCACCCCAAATTATAAAATCACCCATATGTTTCAAAATCTGTGATGTCATCTGAAACACAGCAATCCAGCACCGCCGTAAATACTGTCATTTCAAAGTTCAGGCTAGTTCAGATGACATTTTAGAAGCACTTTTTCACTAAAACATAGTTAACATGATTATATTTAAGATCTTAATATATCTTTTGCCTAGTTTCTTTTCTATTTATTTATTTATTTTTAAATTCTGGTGCACTTTGTAATTGTAGTTCCTGGATGGACATGGGTCGCAGGTATGACATATGTAGAGGTAATTCCAATTCTCATCCCTAGCAACCATGTCAAAAAGAGCTAAAACTAAAATACTACAATAATTATGATGACACAAATAATATAGATGACAAAAATTTTATTTTGTGAAATGATGAATATTTAATGTCAGAAAAATTTGTTGCAAAATGTCCTGCATTATGGATAGAATTTTCCATTTTGATGACATAGATAAAGGTATACCCTTTTAGAACTTTGATTTTTGTTTCACTGTTTTGTTATGCATTTATTTATGTCTAATTAGAGACACACGTGACATCATACATGCACGTTTCACATCACACATGTTTTTGTTTTTTTTTGTTCTCACTACTACCAGGTAGTTCAAAGCCAAAGTTACATGATGAAGTACCATGATGTATTCCTTTGGTTTCAGAAAAGTATGTATTAACTGTAACTGTATTCTGAATACTACCAAATGAAAAAAACTAACTGTACTGGAATTCAGTTACTCAAAATTAGTACTCAGAATATGTATTTTTGTATGTATTGAGTTACTTCTCACTGCATGTAGCTCCTGTTCCTCTGAATGTATGTCTGTGTGTCCAGTGAACTGAACAACAATCGATTTGAAGTGAGCCACGTGCACAAGGTGGAGTGTGTGGTGCCCTGGCTCAGCGACACCCTGGTCTTCTTCACCATCTCTCTGCAGCTCTGCCAGCAGCTCAAAGACAAGGTGCCCTGCCTTACTCTAAATAAACCGTTTTATCCTTACCAACACATTACCCAAACCCTAGAGGTTCAAAGAGAAGCTTTTATCCTAACTAAAGCACTTTACCCAGACTGCAGTGGCTACCATGATTCAGAGGTAGGTAGTATTCAGCATACTTAGTTTTACCTCTACTCTATTTTTATTAAAAGGTCAGTTCACCTCACTTCACCCAATGAGTTAAACCCTACTTTGCCAAATTTTGATGAAAGTTTGTATATAGCTAAATCATAGCCAGAAAAGCCAAAATTTCAAATTTTAGTTTGATCGGACCAACCAAGATATTCCGAGATATCGCAGTTTCACTTTTTCACTTTTTTACATGGTCGTCGAATTTCAAATTGCATTTACTCAGCAACTGATTATAAGAAACAAGGTATCTCTGGAAAGGGGACATCATAGGGAATCCAAATCTGGCATGAATTACCTTTTGACCTATATTTTGACTTTTAAATTGACAATAAGGGACATGCCTGACTTCAATGACACAAGATTTGGATTCCTTATAATGTCCCCTTTCCAGAGATACCTTGGTTTTTGATATCGGACCAGTAGTTGCTGAGTAAATGCATTTAGAAATTTGGCGACCACACAAAAATTTTAAAAATGAAATTGTGATATCTCAGCAACCGTTATTCCGATCATGCTAAAATTTGAGATTTTGGCTTTCTTGGCTATGACTTACCCATACACCCATACCACTGTTTCTTTGCAATTGGACAATGTGAGTGTTCAAATTGCAATTTTTTGGGGTGAATTGAGGTGGAATGACCCTAAAGTAACAGTATTTTCTCAGTAACTCAAGTCACAAAAGCTTTATGTTGACAATATTAAATGATCTGAACATACAGTATGTGTTTCTTGCACAGTTCCTTCAGATATAATGTAGTTTTTTATTGTTTCCGTCTGTTCCAGTTTTTGTGCATTAATTAATGTTTTGTCCTTCAAAATACATTACTTGAGTAATATCTTGGACCATTACTTTTTACTTATACCTGACTAATATTATTTTGAAGCAACGTTATTCTTACTTGAGTAAAGTTTTTGGCTACTCTACCTACCTCTACCCTGACTAAAGTACATTACCCTCATTCCCAGGGGCTCTAAGACAAGGTACCCTCCTCTGCCTAAAAACAAACCCCAAATATTGCTTTATATAAAACATAATGACATGAAGCGATTTCTAGCCATTCCTGTTCAATATCTCATCAGTAATTTCTAGAATTATTGTTTAGGCCTGAGCTGCAACTACTGTATATTTAAAAAGGTTTACTGGGATCACCCTGCTTTACTGTTATTTTTTATTTGTTGTTATTGTATTTTTTTTTTTTTACTTATTTTTGTTAAATAATTTTTGGTGCAACCCACATAGTTATGAAAACAGTTGTAAAAATACAGTACAGGTAAAATGACAATAAAGTTTACTGTGTAGATGCAGTCATACACATTCTCCTCATTTACCATTCATAATGTGCACTACACATACACTATATCATAACAGAAAAAATCCTATAAAAGATAGTCATCCATTTGAAATATAGGCCTGAATTGAAGACCATTTATTTTTGAATAAATCTGTCTTCATATGGAACCTTACAGTTATTTGCTCCATAAGATACACATAATTTATTTTATTTTTCCACTGGGTAATTGTGGGTTCATTAAATAGTTTCTATGCTCTGCTGCTGTAAATAAGCATGTTAGGGCACAATGTGACACATCTCCTGTGCTGACTGTACATTACTCAAAAAAAATTAAGAAACACTTTGGGGAAAAAACAAAACAAAAACAAAAAACAGATCTCAATGTGAATATGTTGGATATCAATATTAATGTGGCCATACCGGCAAGGGGGCACCAGTCACAAAAACTGTTGTTGGGTCCTTAGGCAAGACACTTCACCCAGATTGCCTGGTATGAGAGTGGTGTGTGTGTGAGAGGTGGTGGTGGTCGGAGGGACCAATGGTGCTGATTGGCAGGGCAGCCATGGTGTAGCTGTGACTACAATAGTAGCTTACCACTACTGGGTATGGAGTGAATGAATAATGCTGAACAATTTTCTATAAAGCGTCTTTGTGATATATGTCAGTGAAAAGCACTATATAAATAAAGACTTACTTACTAAATATGGACAGGGCCATGTCTTGGGAACAAAAGGATGCCACCTCTTTTTGGAACTTACATTTTTAGCCTACAGAGGGCTTAATTTTATAGACACCCTGAAAATATAAGTGAAGCCATTTGGCCAAAATTTAAGTTTTGCAACTCAAAATACTTCTCAGTATTCTCAGACCATCAGAATTATTTCCATGGCAGCAGATTTCAACAGAACTGTATAGATGTGCTCAACTCCCCTGTGTTATACATGATTCACCTGTATCTATATAACGAGAGGCCAACGTGAGCTGGCAGCTGAAGTGAAAATGCTTGATGTTATCCTGTATAATAGAGAATCAAACTTGCTGATATTTCTGTTACAGACGTACCAGCCCAGCTTTTTCAGTTCCGATACTAATTTTGACACTGTAGCATTAAGTGTATGCTGATACTCAGTATCAACCAAGACCAGGGCGGAGACTGAAAACAGCATTTATTTAATTTCAAGTAAAATAAAATTAGACAAAGTTATATAGCTGATATTTATCTCTCAAGTATCTGCAGAACAACTTTGTATAAATAAAAGTGCAAACATTCCAAAATGTTCTAGGCCAACTATGATCAGTTGATCATTATGATTTATTGAATTTGGCCTCCACTTACTAAAAGAGCAGCAATTAACAGAAAATGGAACAAAGTGTGAAAGACTATAATGAAAGACTATGTTAAGTTATAAATGGCAGAGAACCTCTTTTTGCTAATTGGCTGCCTTATTTCCATCCAGGGTAGCTGTGGCTTCAGATGGTTTGACAGAGGAGTGAATGACACTACTTCCATGTTTTTGTTGCCTTGAATGACTCTACACATGTCCAGTACATTAGTATCATAATCATGATGTCATGTTCTTTGGTTGTGCCCACAGATCTCAGTCTTCTCCAGCTTTTGGAACTCGCGGTCCTTTTAAAAGAGTGAAGAGCACCTTCTCCACAGCCACCCCTCAGTGATGAACCACAACTCTGTCAAGAAGCATTCAAGCTCTCCTGCTCAAGTCTGCCCCAAGCCTGCTGCACTGAGTGTCTGCAGACTGACCAGGCCATGCTGTTGTGGAGGTATTATGGTGCTCCTTCTAAGATGAGGCTTGCACATCAAAAGGATCTAAGAGACATTTCAGTACCTCAGTGTTTCCCTTAGGTTTTTATGGTGGCCCAGGCAATCTTTGTTTGCAGAAAAAGAGAGAGAGATTTTTTTTTTTTTTTTACATTGAAAAAAGAATTAAAGGAACACTATCTCAACATGAAAAAAAATATCCTGGATATCTGTACACATATTGTACAAATATGGACAGTGCAATGTCGTAGGACCAAAAGGATGCCACCTCTTTTAATGGAAATACAATTTTCAGCCTACAGAGGGCTTAAATTTATAGACACTCTGAAACTCACACTCGTAATGAAATGACAGATGGTGTCTTGTGAGATGTCCTCCTGGATCTGTATAAGGGCATCACTGAGCTCTGAGTTGCTACCAGGCAGCATCAGATGGACCCAAACATAATGTCCTAGAGGTGTTCTATCAGGTTTAAGTCAGGTGATTGTGAGGGCAATTTCATTGTATACTCTTGCCACACGAGGCCGGGCATTGTCGTGCATCAGGAGGAACCTAGGACTGGCTGTTTTCTAGCTGGTAGAGGTCTGTACATCCCTCCATGGATCTGCCTCCCCAGACAATCACTGACCCACCACCAAACCGCTCATGCTGAGTGATGTTGCAGGCAGCATAGCATTCTCCTTGCCTTCTTTCACTTCTATCACAGGTGCTCAAGGTGAACCTGCTCTCATCTGTGAAAAGCACAGGGCACCACCTGCTGTGGTCTAGTAAATGCCAATGGAGCTTCAGGGTGCTGAGCACAGGGCCCACTACAGGACGTGGCGCCCTCAAGCCACCCACATTAAGTCTGTCTCTGATTGTTTGGGCTAGAGCCCGACCGATATGGATTTTGTTGTGGCCGATATGAAACCGATTATAATGGGAGTTGGAGCTGCCGATAGCCGATACAAACGTTGATATATTTAGTGATGTAAAAATTCACTGTAAATCTTGAATTGTTTAAAAAACTTAGGTTTGGCTCTAGTGGATTCTAAATTGGGTTTATTTAGGCAACATTTATTGTTATTCTGACTCTTTACGTCATATTTACAGACAGTAGATTGGCCTAATGGCATTTTTGCATCACATTCTAGCTACTAGTGATGGGTATTCCAGTTTTTTTTTTTTTTTTTTTTGAGAACCGGCTCTTTTGGCTTGGCTCACTAAAGCAGCTGGCTCTTTCGGCCCCCAAGCGACTCTTGAGATTGTTTTGCTGCAAGCAGGACTAAACCAAAACTGAACCAGGACTGAAAACGGACTAAACCAGGACTAAAACAGATTTAAACCATGTGTAAAACAGGACTAAACCAGAACTGAACCAGGACTGTCGGGACTCAGTCTCTCCCTCACTCGAGACCAAGATTAGTCCAGGTTTATTCATTTTATGCTGAACTGCAGCCAAATATGCACTTTTTTTTTTAATCCTATGCACACGCAGATTTCTGAAAGTTTCGTTTTCAGCTGCTGCTGCTGCCAAACTACGGGTCTACAAGCGGCTTGAAGAGAAAAAGTGAGAAAAAGAGAAAACACGGCTCCCAATAAGAAACATGCTCCCGTTGTTCGCTTCAAAGAGCCGGCTCTAAGAGCCGCTTCGATCGCGACCGACCCATAACTCCTAGCTAGTAAATAAACTACTGCTATTAGCCTTTAGCCGTAAAAACGTGCGCGCCGCGGTAATTAATTATATGAATAAATGTGGATCATTCACACTTCTATTCACAGCTCATTTACATATCAATGCAGGTCCAGTAGCAAATATACGGCCAATATAGTCACTTTACAATAGACCAATAGAAAACAGCCTGTTTATGTGCGGGAGCTACAGCACCTAATCGCTAATAACAAATAGCCAAAACTAGCTTCAAAGTTAACACATTTCCAACACTCACCGCTCATACAGGCTCCTCCTCACATCACAAGTCTGCACTAATAAAAGTCCTTTTAATCCAGAATCAAACCGATTGTCGTAAAAAGAATATAATCTCAGTGTTGCGTACCACTGCGGGTGTAAATAATAGCACGTGAGTGAAGTGACGTGACTCTGTGGTGTGTTCAGGGACAGTACGGACACACACACAGACAAATGACTCCGGAGATAAATACTGATGCGGAGCCACATATTAGGACATTTATCTGTCTGTAAATTGGATTAAATGAACAGAATGTAGTGAGTCTAAGCTTTATAACGAGGTATAACATGCCCACGTGAAATATCGGCCCATATCAGCCGATATGTCTCCAGGTGCCCATATCGGCCAATAATATCGGCCAGCCGATATATCGGTCGGGCTCTAGTTTGGGCCGAGACCTTCACACTAATGGCCTGCCGGAGGTCATTCTGTAGGGCACGGGCAGTGCTCAGCCTGTCCTTTTTGCACAAAGGAACAGATATGTGTCCTGCTGATGAGTCGAGGACCTTCTACAGCCCTGTCCAACTCTCCTAGAGTCTCCTGAAATCTCCTTCATGTTCTGGAGATTGTGCTGGGAGACACATTAAATCTTTTTGTTACAGCACGTTCAGATGTGCCATCCTGGCAAAGTTGGACAATTTGTGCAACTGTAGGCTTAAGGAATGGCCTCATACTCCCAGTATTGATAATTACTGTAGCCAAAGCGGCACTAGTGGAAAACCAACCAAAAAAGAGGGAGAGGGAGAAGCTTGAAATTACCTCCACATGCAAAACCAGTCCTGTTTTAGAAGTTTTTAGTGCACCTGTTGTTCATTTCCATTAAAAGAGGTGGCATCCTTTTGTCCCTAAGACATTGCCCTGTCCATGTTTGTATAGATATAACATATTGTTTAAACAAAGTTACTTGTATATATTTAAGCTAATACAACAAGCAAAAGGCTTATTTTTAATACCAATTTATTAGACTGGATTTCAAGGGGCCACCATATTTTCCTTTAATAATGGGAAACAATGAGTTACTATACTGGTCCAAAAATTTAAGGGAAAAATGAATCCTTAGAATATAAGCCAAAACACTAATGTACAAGTAAAACTCCCTGCACTAATGTCTGAGTCAGTTTGATCTAATATTATTATTTTCTATATGAAAATATTGGAAAAGATAGTACTTTTAAAAATTGATTTTGTTAGCAAATTGTGCTCATTTTAAAGATGCACTATGTAATTTTTCTATGTAGATGTTACTGCTTTCCTAAAATTGTTCCACAGAATGGTATCAAAATGATCTATCCCCATCACTCACAATAAGAATGCATGTTTCAAGGTATTTTGGGTAATAAAAACACGTGTAATCAAACAAATACAAGATAGATCATTTTAATGCCACACCAAGGACAACACTCTTCCAGGAATGTTACATAGTGAACTTTTAAATTTGGATTTTATTTCAAACAATTATTAACAAATATTAACAATTATTGCCCACAGTTTCCCAGAATCTTTTTGATTCTTCACACTTGTAAGTATGATACAGAAGTTAAATCTCAGGGTTAGACTGACTCCTTCAGCTGCGCCTTGTTCTTTACCTGTGACTGTGACCTACACAGAAAGTTTAAAGGTCCTATATTAAGCAAAACTACATTAAGCAAAACTGCCATGTTGGAAGGTTGTTACATCCTCAAAAACATACCTGGAGTGTTTAGTTTCATTCACATCTTTGAGTAATCTAGCATCACTTGGCTGTCTACATCTCCAAAGCTCAAAAAGCTCTGTTCCACTTTGTGATGTTTTTAAGCTTCAATTGAATTGCTTTATTTACCATACAATAGAATAAGAAGTTGTTGCCTTAAAACTGTTGTGGTTTTACCTTTTGTTCAGTTGAGATTGCCACACAGTGTGCACCAAGCAGTGAATGCATTTCAGGCTTAAACAATACGTGTAACTTCAAAGTTTGAAAAGTCCATGGTTAGAGAATATTCAAATGATTCTAGTATAGGTGTATGGACTTTAAAAACACAGTGGAGAGTTTTCTGTATTACCACTTGATGGCATCACAAGGTGGAGCAGAGTGTTTTCAGTTTGAAAGAAGAACACAACCTAAATATTCACGAATTGTGTGTTAGAGTGAGTTAAACAAAACACAACTCCAGGTATGTTTTGATAAGTATACATTATACATTATAACATAGATCAAAATTTAGCATAATATAAGCCCTTTAAAACAGAGTGCACTCCTTCTCTTCAAAGATAATTGAGAGCTGGGCATTTGTTTGTGAATATAGTTAACAATAGAATGTGAAAAGGTATACTTAAATGTATTCAACCAAGTTAGTCACTGCATGGATAAAACTCAGATATGATTAAACTCTACTATGCTGTGGGCTACATGTGAACATAGTGATGGAGCCACATCTGAACCAATCAAACTCATTTGCCTGTGTTGTTGTATTAATATGTCCATGATAAGCTAATCATATTGTGTGTGGTTCGTGTGTATTTAATGCATACCTTGTGTTGTATTTACTTTGCACTTTTCGTCCAACTCTAAACCTGAACAAACTTGTCTTTTCATTCCAGTAAGTGTTATACTACTTTGAAAAGCTGCTTATGAAATAAAATGTGGAAATTATATGTGTGTGCAATGAAATACTCCTAGCGTCTGTTGTGTTTTGTTAAAGTTAAGTATAGGTGTGCAATACATACACACATACACATACACATACACACACACACACATACATACACATATACACACACACACACACACACACACACACACACGCGCGCACACACGCGCGCGCACACACACATACACACACACACACATACAATTCCCTGAAAAATGATTTATATTGCAAACAGCAAACTTTTTTTTAAAGAAAGTTCATTTCATAAATATCCAAAATATATCATTGTATTCTATTATTGGACAGCATGAATGAAAATGAAATGTAGATTGACTTCATGATAAAAAGTAACTTCTTCTTATTGTCAGAGGTGGGTAGTACTCTGTTACAGTTAAGTTAACCTTTACTTGAGTAAAAATTTTGGTTACTCTTCCCACTTTTAGGAAGTGTAAAGTGACAAAAACTTTATGTTGACAGTATGAAATTATTGTTTACATTATTTAATGTGTTATGTTTCCAATTATATTAACTTGAAATTATAAATCAGATGTTACATCCCAACAGTTCCTCTTTAAAAGTGTACTCTGTCACTTTTGGTTGGGTATCTGTTACCTGCTTGTTTCCATGGAGATGTCATTGCTCTGCCTGAAATGTTCGACAGTATGACATTAAACAGCTCTATCTTATATGTATTCAAATACAGGTGGTTTCATAGCTTAAAAATAACCAGAGTAACAGGCACTCTGACTGTGAGTGGGGTTGCTTCTCCACAGATCTGACCTGTAACTCTGATCTGGTTTGGTCTCTGATGATAAAGATTTAATATCATACTCTAAAACACTCCAGACAAAGCAATAACATATCCATGGAGAAAAAGCATTTGACATACTCTGTACCAAAAATGTTACACAATGCACCTTTAAGTTACTCTCACTTGAGTAGTACAAATACTACAATACAAATACTTTTACCCTTAATTGAGCAATTACTTGGACCACTACTTTGTACTTCTATTAAAGTGCCACCACCAGACACTCACAAGTTAATTCACACATTTCAAAGAGAGAATCATTTAGTGTCATTTCATATCTAATTAACAAAGCTCTGATTTCATAACGATCATTCTGTAGCAGGTGTAGATGAAGATTGAGAAGAGATGCACACAGGTCCAGTCAGGGTTCCAGCGCCATGTTCTCAATGCCCACCTTGTGCCTACGTGGCTGAGGGGTACAACCAAAAATGATGTTAGACCATAGACTGTATATATAAATAGACATAGTGAACACACTAGCTGCCACGTTCCAAATAGGAAGTTAGCATGGAGGCACTTTCAGCTCCTTCTGACCCTAGCTCCAAAACTTACAATGAAATATTGTGGCCCCTCTCTCTGTAACTGCTGTAGTAAGCTCCGTTATTTTGGTCTTAAAATGTTTGTATTAGCCCTCACTACATGATCCTGGAGGTTTTATTTCACTATTTTGTCCGTTAATAGATTCCTATTCCTAATATGAAGTCTGGCTCCAAATTCCCTCCTGTAACCGTTGACGAGCATCACGAACTTCATTTGAGCGGAGCCAAACACTACGGGTGATGTCACACTCACTCAGTCCATTTATGATACCATAATGGAAATAAAACATTTTTTAGACAACAGAATGTGATTTTCAACATTATATCATACTTTTAAATCATACTTTAACATGTGGTAATATTATATATAATAATATTATATAATAGTATCTGTAATCAGTTCCATAGTGTTCCATGGGTTTATACTAGTCTATGTGTTACATTGTTCTACTGCTCAAGATCCTTCTAAAGCTATTCTAAAGGTAGTATTGATACTTACTCAGAATTATCTAGTTTCGATACTAGTTTTAGCATCAATTAGTATCTGACTTTCAATACTTTTGACAACCCTAATCACAGACCTGTCACAACCCTGAAACAGTCCTAACATACTCCTGCCACAGTGGAGTGTACCTTGTCGTCATCACAGCAGCAACAGCAGCAGCAGCGGATCAGCACCAGGATGAAGAGCAGCAGCACCATCCCTGAAACACATGCTATGTGAGTAACCTTTTACTCTGATCACTGCACTTGGGACATCACAAGAGTGTCCATAGACAGACTCACCAATGAAAATGAAGAAGACTGCGAAAGAAGCAATGTCCCAGTCAGATTGGAAGAACTCTTTGGACTGGAACCGGCTAAGAACATCATTGAACTGCTCCTGCACCTGCTGCTCCAGGTTCCTCTGCTCCATCTCTGCTGCTCAGACATAAAATAAATCAGATAATCAAATCATCAAATCAGATCTCAAAACAAAACTACTAGGCCTACATTAATATAGCCTACAGCTACATGTATATTGAAACCGTGAATGTATTTTTAATGTATTAAACATCGCACCGCAACATGGTGCTCGAACTATTCACATAATTATTATTAGACATACCATGGAATTGTTGGGTTTTAGATGAGATCACAACATTCTACAGGGCAATAGATGGTGTGCTAAAATTATATTAAACTTAATATTGTTAAAATGCTGTTTTCTTGAACTAGCGAGTTCTAGCGTACTAACTACTTACTCACAAACAGTGTTGGGGAGTAACAGATTACATGTACTGAAGTTACATAATCAGAGTACAAATTATGAGTAACTGTATTCAGTTACAGTTACAGTTTCAGTGAGTGGTAATTAGATTACAGTTACTTTGTTGAAATAAATGGATTACATGGCGATATTTTCCTGTTTTCACATTTTGGGCTATACCCACCCCCCCTTTTTTTTTTTTTCAGTAATTCCACTCATTGCCATAAACTAAACCAGGTCTAAACTAGATCTAAACCAGGACTAAACCAGGTCTAAACCAGGTCTAAACCAGGTCTAAATCAGGACTAAACCAAGACTAAACCAGGTCTAAATCAGGACTAAGCCAGGTCTAAATCAGGTCTAAAACCAGGACTAAACCAGGTCTAAACTAGATCTAAACCAGTTCTAAACCAGGTCTGAAACCAGGTCTAAACCAGGACTAAACCAGGACTAAACTAGATCTAAACCAGGTCTAAACCAGGATTAAAACAGGACTAAATCATGCCGCGTGGACCTGTCTCCTCCTCTTCTATCAATAATATGTTGAATTTGTTTAAGTAAAGTCTGGGCTTTTTATTTTCTTTTAGCAGACAAAACTTCTTAGGTTATGATTTCCTCGTCTTTGCTTTTCTACAGAAAATCAAGTAATCCAAAGTATTCAGATTACGTTACTCACTTTAAGTAATTTAATGGATTACGTTACAAACTACATTTTGAGGTCTGTAATCTGTCATTTGTAGGGGATTACATTTTAAAAGTAACCTTCCCAACACTGCTCACAAATAGAAATCACCAGGTGCAACATTTGTAGGTTTCACATTAGATAAATACAGTGTAATTAGCCCTCCATCTGGGCGTATAACACCATTACATGGAGACGACAATCACCACTAGTCATGATTCTCATGAACTGAAAGCTGCGTCACATTCTAGATTTTTCACATAGGCGTCTTGTTTGTTTTGGAGCAGCGGGCTCGCACTTTGAGTGGACGCCTCTACCGCCACATTTCGCGTCTAACATTATAACATAACGTATACAGGTATAATTTATATGTTATTAAAAACGACAGGTACAGCGGATCAGGTGCTTACCTGTACGTGCCTTACGTCTCTACCTTTCTTCCGGTTTGAGCGGGAGAGAGTGGGATTGCGCGCTGGAGGCGCTGTGCACAGACGATTCAACACAAAATGACCCCAAACTATGTCTGAGAAAAGGGATTCTCAGTACAAGTTAAGGCTAATATTTATAGTCCTGCCTGTTGTTCATCCAAGTGTTTTAAGATAATCATTATCAAACCAAAATTTGTTGTGATAAAATGGTGCTTTGGTGCAGATTATAGTTTGTTTGGAGTTTTTTTTTTTTTTTTTTTTTTTCATTTTTCTGTAAAGTTTTAAAACATAAAAGTGGGCAGTAGACAAATTAAATACAAAATATGAATGTATTACGCCACTTATGACATCAAATACTTATTATTTTATTTATGTATGTATTTGTATGGCTGTGTCCCAATTCGAGGGCTGCAGCCTCAGAAGGCTGGTTTTAAGGCCGCATACGTCACTTCCGGTGAAAGAAGGCCTGTCCCATTTCATTTTTATGTCATGCAGCCTTCAAATGCAGCCCTAAAACCGGCCTCGTTTCCATGGAGATGGGGCCGCGAACGGAGGACACATCCGAGTATCCTTCGCAGCCTTCAGTATCCCAGCATGCACGAAAACACGGAGCAAAAAGCCGGTCCCGAGAGCGGAGAAAAACATGTGAGTAACACTTTTAACTTTAGGAAATCATTACTAACACAACTGTAAACGTAAAATACGACCATAATTCCCACAAAACTGTCAAATAAGTTTGTTTTTAACTGCGTGAACCGCGGAGTTTTGAGCTAAAGTTTGCCTAGTAATGTACAGCTAATGCGATGAAAAGTCCGCTCAAACTTTCATATTTGGGCACATTTCCATCAAACACTCATCATGTTTTTACTGTTAGGGGAAAAGAAGCCCACAGAGTGATTTAAAGAAGCTACGAGGAGAAAACTCCACGCTTTCACGGACAGTGTAAACATGTAAACAGTTGGTCAGTGTAGCTCGGAGTTAAGATGAAAACACGCATTATTTCATACATTCAACTGAAAAAAGACTCAGTCTGACTCTATCAAAGCTCATATTTACTTGTAAATCACATAATATAAGCCTCCAACGTGTGCATTTCATTCAGGGAATACATTATCTGCTTTTAACAATCCGTGCATGTTTGTAAAGTGAAGAGTAAATAATCCTGCCTGGACAGGTCAGATTTATGATGGACATGAGGCTCATTTAACAGATTTGTGCAGACACTGGTGTAGATACGACCTGACTGTGTCTGTTCGGTCTGTCACATCTAATGTTATAACAATGAGAAATCTGTTTTACATTACGAATTTTCTTTTCTCATCTGCAGCCTCCAGTATAGATAAATAATAATAAATGTAAATAGTGCGGAGGGAGTCCAGGTGGTCTTTGGGCCTGCATGCTCTGTCAAACTTATTTTACTCTAATAGTTTTGTAGTTTTCTTAATGTGTGTGTCATTACAGGTTTTCACTCTACAGGACAGAACTTTGAATCAATCAGACGCAACAACCATTCTGCTCTTCCTCCTCCAGAAGATGAGAGATACATCAGACTGAGTGGTCCAAGTCCACTGTCCATGTCTCCACTGTCCATGTCTCCACTGTCCATGTCTCCAATGTCCATGTCTCCAATGTCCATGTCCAGAGTCTCATATGATCTGAACAGACAGAAATGAAAACATCTGCTCATAAGTTTTTCTGAATGTTTTTCAGTCTGTACTGACATTTGATTTATGGTGAAATGTGCCATTTATTTGGTGTCTCTTTTGATAGTAACTAATTACATGTACTATAAGAATGTACTATTGTACTGCAGATAAGCTGTGGTATTCCACATGATCATATCTGGCTAAAAGATAATTTGTTCATATTTGATTGTCACATGGTTCAGCAAAAAGGGAACACAATGAGATTTACTGACATACAGCTGTTTGTACTAACTTGTTAATGCAGAGTGTGTGTAATGGGTTTAATATTTTACTTCATATTATGATAAAGTATTTCCAGAAGTTCCTTGGATTGTTTAATAAATCATCTTTTCTCAGGAGAGATGTCTTTCTTTCTTTACAAACTGACTGTATAAATGTAATCCCTGGTCAATATAAAAATCCTTAATAATGATAATATTTAGTAATGCATATCTCATTACAGTTTTTTTATTTTTTTATTTTAAGATAATTTAGTCTATTTAAAATGTATCCCTTAAATATAGCCGTTTTGTTTTGCAAAAGTTAAACATACAAACATATTTTCGGTTTTGGCCATAAGATTTGGATGCGAATTATTAAAATAATTTGGTCACAAAATCCGACAGTTTGATGACCTGTGCGTATTCTTTTTACTGATCCGTGTGCGTAATCTGCGCGGAGCGTGTTAGCATTAGCGCTAGCAGCGTCCCTCGGTTGCTAGGCGACAGGGGAGCGGCTCCGAGGTCTAGACCTGTCCCATTTCCGCAACCCCCTGGCGGTCCGCGGAGGCCAGTTCAAGGGCTGCAGCCTTCGCGGCCGACGAAGGACCCAGCCTTCACAGCCTTCGGAGGCTGCAGCCCTTTGAATTGGGACACAGCCTGCATTCGATTATCCTTCCGAATCGGTTTTCCGAGGAAGTTGCCTATCGACACGCTTGAAACGCCCCTTTTCCTGGGAGACGCGACCCGCCCACTGCTCCCTGGAACTGCCTCCTGTATAAAGGCCCTGTGCGCTGGACTTTTCCTTCTGACTCGTGTAGACTGACCAGAGTCCACGATTCCTCCACGCTCCGCCTGCTGACCTCTGCTCACTCAGGTAACCCACACACCACTGTCTGTCTGTCTGTCTGTCTGTCAGAAACCCACCAAAGTGTTTATGTTATGTCCTTGGGCAAGACACTTCATCCATCTCCCTTGTATGAATGTGGTGTGTGGGTGAGTGACGGGTGAGTCAGATGTGTTCTATGGCATATGGACTGAATGAACAATGCACATAAAAGTAATGGAACTTTGAGTACCTTCCTCATAAGGGAGGAAGTGGGGAGCCTTTCTGAAGACACACAGAGACACACTTAGAGGACAGTCTGGATTTTTCAATGTGCTGCTTGTTGAACACATAATCAGAGATGCGTAATAATCAGTTACATTGACTTTAAAAAGAAATTGTACTGAGTAATTTTCTAGCAGCACACACCTACTTACACCTACTTGAGTAATATTTGTATTTAAGTAACGGTACTCTTACTTGTGTACAATTTTTGACTACTCTACCCACCTTTGCACAATGCATTTCCTGCTCTGGGGTTGCTGCATGCACACTTGTGTGAGCCCAGCACCACGCCTCACACACAATCAGAATGATCTTTCTTAAGCAATCTCATAAGGAAATACACTTGTTTTCTATGAGGCTTGAGTGTTTAGACCTGCTATACTCGGATATGAATATGACAGGCAAAGGGCTGATCAAATCAAAAATCTGAATTTCAAGTGTTGGAATCAGCAACTTGCAAACCCTGTAGTTTTGTTTTCTGGATGTGTTTAAAATGTACAAGGTGAGCTGAATCCTCATTTGAACATAAATCACAAATATATCATAGGCAATGTTTGCAAAGACTTTTTTCACGATGATAATGCTGTGGTCTGTCTGAACAGCTCTGCTCTGTGTGCAGCACATTCCAGTTCTGCCTCAACATGTCTCTGTACAGCTTTGGTCTGGAGCAGCTGTCCGTGCACGCTTGGAACAAGGAGCGCACACGTAAATATACAGGCATCGACCTGGGACTAACCCAAATCTAACCCAGATCTAATTTAAAACTAACCCAGAACTAACTCAAGACTAACCCAAGTCTAACCCAGGACTAACCCAAGTCTAACTCGGGTATAATCCAGGTCTAACCCAGGACTCACCCAAGTCTAACTCAGATCTAATCCAGATCTAACCCAAATTTAACTCGGGTCTAACTCAGATCTGCGTTTGGTCTAACTTGGGTCTAACTTGGATCCAAGTCAGGACTAACTCAGGTCTAACTGGTCTAACTTAGGTCTAGCTATGAGCTAGACCTGTCTTATTGGGGTCTAACTAGGTCCTAACTCAGGTCTAAAGGCCTATTCATACTTAGAACTTTGTTCTTGCACCCAGGCCTGCCCCAACAAAAGGACATAATTTTGTTGGGCCAGCTCCTGTTGGACAGTTCTTGCAGCTTGTTCTTGACACCTCAGCTGAGCAGAACTTTGTTCAGCAGTTCTGCAGCGCTGTCCGACATCTTCACTCTGATTATTTATGTGTGTGTGGTTTATCTGCTTTCTTGCTGGTGCAGAGCAAAAAAAAAAAAAAAAAAAAGGTTTTGAGTCAGCTCGCGGAAATGGTGAGAAAATACAAACATCTATACGACATGAAGCTCAACGACTATAAAGACCCCATATGGCAACAAATTCAAGGAGGGATATCACGGACATTTTAGACTGTAATGAAAATCAGTGCAGATCGGCCTGGCGTAATGTCTGTGACAAGTTTGCAAAAGCCAAAAAGTGGCTGTCAGGCGGGGCAGTTCGGCAGCAGAACATCATTTGTAGTATGAAATGTCAGAGCCCAAATTAACTTTGTTCTTGTTCTTATTACCTCAAGAACAAAGTTCTTATGAAGTATGAATAGGCCTTAACACACAGCTAACTCAGGTCTAAACTCAGGTCTAAACTCAGGTCTAAACTCAGGTCTAAACTCAGGTCTAAACTCAGGTCTAACTCAGGTCTAACTCAGGTCTAACTCAGGACTAACTCAGGTCTAATCCAAATCTAACGTAGATGTATCTAACTCAGATTACAAATTATATTACTTTAGCTTACACATATAAATGGTTACAATGGACTAATGTTCTGTCTGTCATCTTATGCATGTTTACAGAAATTGCAGTGAGTCCTAACAACAACGAGGTGCTCATCTATGAGAAGAAAGGCAAAGAGTGGGTGAAGATCCACGAGCTGACGGAGCACAGTGGCCGCATCACTGGTACAGTCTTCTACTGTCTTATATAGCACTTATGTACGCCCTCCCTCACTTCACAGGATTGTGCATTATTCATTCACTCCACACTCGGTAGTGATCAGATAGTTCACTCAAACATACACATTACATGGAAGTTGCAGGGAGCACCGTTTTTATCTTGTACCTCTAGTAAATATATGTTAGACTCATTTTGGGGAGGTCAGTATTTATCGTAGATATTTTTTCTTGGCACTAGAGGAGAAGTTTTTGTTATTTTGCATTGCTACATTGAGATTTGAGCTGTAGAGGGTTCGATAACTAACTTCTATTGCTTATTATAGATACAAACTAATTGCAGCTGACATTTTTTTGTTATGATTTTACACATTAACTTTTTTTTTCACCTAAAGTTAGGGTTCTTACCAAAACAGTTTCTGAAATTATTTAATATTGTGTTTTTTGTAGCTCTATGAGAAAAAAAGAACTGAAATGGAAATGACCAAATAATAATATAAATTAGTCACAACCATGGACATGTATATTCCTATGTTGTTCCTGTTCACCTTGTATTAAAAAATCCATCTCTCTCTCTGTAACTGCTGCTGTCATGCTCCTTAGTTTGGTCTTAAAATGTTTGTATTAACCCACTATATATGATCCTCATGTTTTTATTCCGCTATTTTGTCCTTAAATCAATTCCAATTGCTACTATGGAACTCGGCTACAAATTCATTTCTTTTATGGTCACAACACATTTTCCATTTAAGCTCTATATCCATCGATAGCATTTAAGTGTTTGTTAAAATTGTGATAATTATCATTTAGTCTTTTGTCTCTTCATCATTACAGTAAAAAACCTCAGTCGTGTAAAGATGTAAAAAGCTGCCGTGTATGTTCTAGCTGCTAAAGTAAAGGCTAAAGGTGAACGATCTCCCCGTGTCTGGATGGGTTTCCTCCGGGCGTTCCGGTTTCCCCCATCAACCCAAAACATGCTACAGGTCTCCATGAACAGTTGATAGTTAAGGTCAGTTAAATACAATCAATCAATGAACCTGCTCAGGGACGACAGGTGGAAATTAGCACTGATGCTACAACCTGATGTACAATACATCTCTCCTGTTAAGGTTAATGCAAAAATTGTGCACATGGTCATGTTACAGGTCAGATTTTTGGAGAGACAAGCCTACCCACAATTGTATCCATGTCATTTATATATATATGTATATATATATATATATATATATATATATATATATATATATATATATATATATATATATATATATATATATATATATATATATATATATATATATATATATATATATATATGTGTGTGTGTGTGTGTGTGTGTATATATATATATATATATATATATATATATATTTTTTTTTTATATATATATAAACATCCAAGGTTGCTAAAGTGCTGTAGCAGATTTTTACTCTGTTAAAAACATGAAAATAGTGGTGTACTTACATTATGCATTCTTATGCATTCAGAATCTTGATGCATTCTTAGCATTCTAATTATTCACTGCGATGAATTTATGAGCTCTTTTCACAACTGTCAGAGACCAGAGCAGAGTTTTGCTGTGATGATAAAGCTACCAATACTTAGTATTCTAATGTGCCCTTCCTGATTATTGGGCAATACAATACTTTGTAATTAGATGCAGACAGTACACAATGGGCTTATGTTGACCCAAAAAGCCACTTTTACAGTATATTTGTACTGGGACAAGGAACACAAAAAATCTAGTACTGGGGATGTAACAATAACCAAAATATTGTGATATCGTATCATCAAAACTCTCACGATAATATCATGGGCTGTCACAATATATCGAATTACAATTTTTTTTGCTTAAATGCATTGTTTTACAGTAGCAACAGCTTATAAACAGGGAACTACATATCCCATGATTCATTTCAGTGCAAACAACATGAAGAAATATGTTTTTTATTTGAATTCTTGGGATTATGATGGAAATAATTCACACCAAAATCTTCTCAAGCTATTTTAAAAGCAGAAACATGTCTGATCTACAATTATATAAGCCTCTCCAAAATATCGCAATAAATGTTGTACAATGAGATGCATATTGTGATAATATGGTACCTAGAGAGTTTGATGTCATTACATCCCTACCTAGCACTGGACCTTTAAGTTAAATGTAATACTGTGGAACATTCCAGGAAGAAGTATGTGTCACACAGTTAAATAGTGCACCATTCAATCTCTAAATAAAAATGTTGTCATGTCTACTAGGTATTGACTGGGCCCCGGAATCCAACCGCATTGTGACATGTGCTGCAGACCGTAATGCTTATGTGTGGACCCTGAAAGAGGGCCAGTGGAAGCCCACCCTGGTGCTGGTGCGCATCAACCGCGCAGCCACCTGCGTCAAGTGGTCCCCCCAGGAGAACAAGTTCGCTCTAGGCTCTGGAGCTCGCCTCATCTCCATCTGCTACTTTGAGAAAGAGAATGACTGGTGAGTCAGGCAACACATATTCTGGACATCTTTCCAGCTAAAAAGATCTTTGGCCTAGCCAAAGATCTTCAAGGTGCTGAATTGGTACACAAGGTATTTTTTGTTAAATAGTTTTTAACATAAATGTTTAAATACATTTTGTATTTCTTTTTTGAGTTTTAAAACTATATTCAAACTTTTTGGATACGGCTTGCTAATGTGTGCATCGTGTCTCCATGATAACAGCTAAACATTCTACCATACAGATAGCTGTAGAACACCTCCAGTGTGATGTCATTGCAAAGTAGCAGCTCCAATCAGTTCTTGTATTAGCTGATTTGATTTATTCACAATTAAACCAGTTAACATGATATCAAATGTGTTGTGTTTACATTTTGTGTTTTGGGTCTCAAGAAGCTTCTTCAATGGGAAATCAGAATGAGCTTCTCACTGTGAGTTGCCAGATCCTACAACTAAAAGTAGTTTGTGATTAAACCAAAATGGCTCTGAGAACATGTCTGTAGAAACCAACCTGCACTGCTGGTTTATTCTACAGTAAGACTCCATAGACAAGATATTTTGTTCTCCATACCAACTGTATTTCCTAAGTATTTGCACATGTGTTTTCTGATAATTGTCTAATTGTCTGGAGATTAACCCACTTGCTCATGGATTGGTTGCCTCTACAAAAGTTTCCAACTCAGTTTCGATACTGAAAAATAGATATACTTAATGCTCAGTACAGATTTCAATAGTAGAAACATTTTCTAGTATTTTCTTTTATATTACTATGTAGCCTTATATCTGTGTAATCCCTCAGTCGACAAGGTAGGTTCCAGTGGTCCAGTAGGTGTATACTAGTTCATTCTAAAGTTATTCAGGATCATCCTTTTCTTTTCTGCCCTGTGAATGTGACTTTTAGCATACCTGCTCAAATGAATATCAAGTTTCAATACTAGTTTTAATATCGATTAAGTATCTGATTTTTAATAATTTTTACAACCCTAGTCTCTGATGCCAGTTGTGTTGTCTTACAGGTGGCTGAGTAAACACATTAAGAAGCCTATCTGCTCCACGGTGCTCAGTCTGGACTGGCACCCCAACAACATCCTGCTGGCAGCGGGCTCAGCAGACCTTCACTGCAGGTCAGTAGCATGACAGGCTATGCTAGTTAAAGGAGGTGGATAATTGGTTCTTACTTTTAATTAGATAAAAATGAACTTTGCTGTTGAATTTCTTTTTTTATAGTGAGGATTTTCTACACACTTATCTTGTAAAAAAAAATGCTAAAGTGTGCTTTTGCTCTAGTAACATTAGTTTAACCATGTAACTGTATCCTGGTGGAGGATCTGCCAGCTGCTCTTAGTCTGTCATATGTACTTAATAAAAACAGTTATATAACAGGTAAGTATCATGGCTAAGGTAATAATGACTTTAAACTTGTTCTGATACAGCTCAGGTTCATTCAGAGCTATTCAGAAAAGGTTAATTTCTGTCCTGTGAATGTGACATTTTATTAGTACTGATACTTGCTCAAATAAGAATCTAGTTTCAATGCTAGTTTTTAGTATCATTTAGTGTCTGATTTTTGATACTTTGCCATCTTTACATCTGACAGAAAGGCAGACATAGATGTGTTAGACCTGGTGTAACATGGCATTTGATTGATTGGTGTTTCTAGAATTTTCTCCACCTATATTAAGGACATCGAGGAGAAGCCAGGGCCTACGTCTTGGGGGGTGAAGATGCCATTTGGGGAGGTGCTTCTGGAGCACAAAGACTGTGGGGGCTGGGTGCACAGTGTGTCCTTCAGCCCCAGTGGAGACCAGCTGGTGTGGGTGTCTCACAACAGCAGCATCACAGTGGCTGATGCCTCCAAGAGTAAGGAGTGAGTAAGCCTGGTACACATGCTAATAGCTTCAACACGGGAGTAATATTTGTACTATTACTATGTCAACATTTAATAGGAGTAGAGGTGGGAGATAATTGAAATAATAATTGAAAAATTAATCATGTCTGAATTCTTTATAATTCATTCACATTTTGTGTACAACCTGATTCTCTAATAGCTAAAGTTGGTGTATTATGCAAAATATTTGAGTTATCATCAAAAACAAGAAAAAAATAGGTTTTAGATGTCACCTATGCATGTTTAAATAATTTATCAATCTGTCCCAGGCCCTATTCGATCAATCGTAGCTGCAAGTTTCAGTGCAATGCTCAAACGGTCACATTTTTCTATAGCGCTTTTCCACCTTCAAGGTACTCAAAGCGCTTTACAACAAGGAACCACTCACCCATTCATACACCGGTGTACACAGACACTGTGGGCAAGGTGGGTTAAGTGTCTTGCCCAAGGACACAACGGCAGCATTCATCTGTGGGAGCTGGAATCACACCAGCCAACCTGTGGGTCAGTGGATCTGACTGCTCAACCTGTGATGGTTGTTTTTTTTTTTTTATGTCAAGAGCTGGAATCGAACCGCCAAGTGGGCGAATGCTCTACCAACTGAGCTACTGCTGCCCCACCTATGTCTTTTGTGCTCCCACATGACAATTCTCCATAAATATACCAAAACATGATACAAAACTGTACACAGCAACTTGACAAAGTTGGTGTGATGTGCAGTAGTTTCATTAGCGGGATGTACTCTTATTGTGTTGTGATAATGCTCTGAAGGGGGAGTGACTTACCACAGACATCAAAAGGAGGCAATGCTCAGAGCATCAAAAATGAAAGTGAAACTTATAAAACATGTTGTTTTCAGCAAATATATCAATTTCCAAATAATAAATGGTAGCTTTGTAATCTAAATATGTCATGTATTAACAATTAATTTCCCATAGTAGTAAAATACCCCCTCTTTACTAAAACTCCATCTAAGACTCTCAGTACCGATACCAAAACCACGATGATAATTAAAGAAGAAGAAAGAAACTCTATTTAGACAATAAAATGTCATATTTAACATCAAATAATAGTATTTTCTTTAATATTACCACGTGGCCTTATATCTTTGTAATCTCTCTGTCCTCCAGTGGTCCAAGGGTGTACAGTAGGCCATTTGGTCTTATACTAGTTCTGATATCCTTGGGTTGGGGCTTGGATGCGAGCACACACCTCCCGGAGAGCTTCTCCCAGATCCCGGGGGAGACTGGGGACATGGAGTCCGAGTGGACCATGTTCTCCACCTTGCTGGTCAATGCTACTGCTCTTAGCTGTGGTCGCAAGGTCTTTGGTACCTGTCACAGCGGCAATCCCCAAATCTGGTGGTGGATGTCGGAAGTAAGGGATGCCGTAAGGGATGCCGTAAGGCTGAGGAAGGAGTCCTATCACACCTTGTTGACTCATGGGACTCCTGAGGCAGCTAACAGGTACCAACAGGCCAAGCGTGCTGCAGCCTGTGCAGTCGCAGTGGCAAAAACCTGGGGCAGGGAGGAGTTCAGGGAGGCCATGAAGGAGGACGGTCGGTCGGCCTCAATCAAATTCTGGCAAACTGTCGGACACCACAGGAGGGGGAAGCAGTGCTTCTCCAACATTGTTTACAGTGCGGAGGCAGAGCTGTTGACCTCAACTGGGAATGTCATTGGGCCGTGGAAGGAATACTTTGAGGAACTCCTCAATCCCACTGTCACATCTTCCGAGGAGGAAGCAGAGGGGACTCGAAGGCGGACTCGTCCATCACCCTGGCTGAAGTCACTGAGGTGGCTAGCAAGCTCCTTGGTGGCAAGACTCCGGGTGTGGATGAGATCTGTCCTGAGTGTCTTAAGTCTCTGGATGTTGTGGAGCTGTCTTAGCTGACCCGTCTTTGCAACATTTCATGGCGGTCAGGGACAGTACCTCTGGACTGGCAAACCGGGGTGGTGGTCCTAATGTTTAAGAAGTGTGGCTGGAGGGTGTGTTCCAACTACAGGGGAATCATACTCCTCAGCCCCCCGGTAAGGTCTATTCCAAGGTACTAGAGAATCTGACCAATAGTCTGATCTCGGATTCAGGAGGAGCAATGTGGTTTTCATCCCGGTCGTGGAACACTGGATGAGCTCTACACGCTCCATTGGGTGCTCAAGGGTTCATGGAAGTTTGCCCAACCAGTCCACATGTGCTTTGTGGATCTGGAGAAGGCATTTGACTGTCTCTCATGGTGTCCTATGGGGGGCGCTCCAGAAGTATGGGGTTCGGGGCCCTTTGCTAAGGGCTGGCCGGGCACATTGCCGGCAGTAAGTCAGACCTGTTCCCGGTGCATGTTGGACTCTGTCAGGGCTGCCCTTTGTCACCGGTTCTGTTCATTGTATTTATGGACAGAATTTCTAGGCGCAGTCAGGGGTCGGAGGGGGTTGAGTTTGGGGACAACAGGATCATCTCTGCTGTTCGCAGATGATGTTGTCCTGTCGGCTTCATCAGACCAGGACCTGCAATGTGCACTGGGGCTGTTTGCAGCCGAGTGTGAAGCAGCTGGGATGAGGATCAGCTCTTCTAAGTCTGAGGCCATGGTTCTCGACCGGAAAAAGGTGTCTTGCCCTCTCCGGGTGGGTGGAGAGTCCCTGCCTCAAGTGGAGGAGTTCAGGTATCTTGGGGTCTTGTTCACGAGTGAGGGGAGGATGGAGTGTGAGATTGACAGACGGATCGGTGCAGTGTCGGCAGTGATGCGGTCGCTGTATCAGACCGTTGTGGTGAAGACGTTTCTTTACCGGTTAGTCTTCATTCCTACCCTCACCTATAGTCATGAGCTCTGTAATGACTCTCGGTAATGACAGAAAGGACGAGATCGTGGTTACAAGTGCTCCAAGTGAGTTTCTTCGCAGGGTGGCTGGGCGCACCCTCAGAGATAGGGTGAGGAGCTCAGTCACATTGGGAGGAGCTCAGAGTAGAGCTGCTGCTCCTCCACGTTGAGAGGAGCTAGCTGAGGTGGCTCGGGCATCTGTTCCGGATGCCTCCTGGGTGCCTCCCTCGGGAAGTGTTCATGTCCCACCGGAAGGAGGCCCTGGGGAAGACCCAGGAAACGCTGGAGGGACTATGTCTCTGGGCTGGCCTGGGAACATCTCGGGGTCCCCCCGGAGGAGTTGGAGGACGTGTCTGGGGTGAAGGAAGTCTGGGAGTCCCTGCTTAGACTGCTGCCTTGCGACCCGGCCGGATAAGAGGAAGAAAATGGATGGTTGGATGCTTGAAACGATGTTCAATAGAATAATAATAATAATAATAATAATAATAATAATAAAAACAACTAATGAAACTGGCCTGGACAAAAATGATGTACCCCTATGTACTCCTACAAAAGACTGTAAGTAACTGGACAGTATCTGTTGAGTGGTGGTGGACATCGCAATACCAAGCGATGGTAATATCAGGAAAAAGGAACACGAGAAGCTAGAGAAATACCAGGGGCTCAAGGAAGAGCTGGAGAGAGCCTGGAAAGTAAAGGCATCAGTGGTGCCTGTGGTGATCGGAGCACTCGGGGCTGTAACCCCCAAACTGGAAGAGTGGCTTCAACAGATACCAGGAAAAACAATGGACATCTCAGTCCAGAAAAGTGCAGTACTGGGAACAGCAAAGATACTGCGCAGAATTCTCAAGCTCCCAGGCCTCTGGTAGAGGACCCGAGCTGAATGAGGGTGAGAGACCAACCACCGTGGAAGGTGAGAAACACATTTTATATATATATAATATATATATAGAGAGAGAAATACGTAATAGTTCTGAGAGCTTTTGACATGTACTAATCATGTCTAGTCTAGAATTTCTTTAGTGGACTACAGCCCTTAAACATGTTTTCTTGTGCAGGGTGACCACACTGACCACTGACCGCCTGCCTCTGCTGAGTGTGCTCTTCATCAGTCCCACCGAGATTGTGGCTGCGGTAACATTTTTATTTTTTATTTATCTAAACTTTAATGTGTATTTGAATAGAAGAAATCTTAATAGACTTTTCCAAGCAGAGAAGTGCAACATACAGGATTCCAGGGGACATTACTACATTATGTCATTTTTATTTAGATGGTATATATATATATATATATATATATATATATATATATATATATATATATATATATATATATATATATATATATATATATATATATATATATATAGATATAGATATAGATATAGATATCTGTAGTTTTTCACCAGGTTTGCACACACTGCAGGAGGGATTTTGGCCCACTCCTCCACACAGATCTTCTCTAGATCAGTCAGGTTTCTGGTCTTTCGCTGAGAAACACGGAGTTTGAGCTCCCTCCAAAGATTTTCTATTGGGTTTAGGTCTGGAGACTGGCTAGGCCACACCAGAACCTTGATGTACTTCTTACAGAACCACTCCTTGGTTCTCCTGGCTGTGTGCTTCAGGTCATTGTCATGTTGGAAGACCCAGCCTCGACCCATCTTCAATGCTCTAGCTGAGGGAAGGAGGTTGTTCCCCAGAATCTCGCAATACATGGCACCGGTCATCCTCTCCTTAATGCAGTGCAGTCGCCCTGTCTCATGTGCAGAAAAACACCCCTAAAGCATGATACTACCACCCCCATGCTTCACAGTAGGGATGGTGTTCTCGGGATGGTACTTATCATTCTTCTTCCTCCAAACACGGTTAGTGGAATTATATCCAAAAAGTTCTATTTTGGTCTCATCTGACCACATGACTTTCTCCCATGACTCCTCTGGATCATCCAAATGGTCATTGGCAAACTTAAGACGGGCCTTGACATGTGCTGGTTGAAGCAGAGGAACCTTCTGTGCCATGCATGATTTCAAACCATGACAGTTTAACAGTAACCTTGGAAACGGTGGTCCCAGCTCTTTTCAGGTCATTGACCAGCTCCTCCTGTGTAGTTCTGGGCTGATTCCTCACCTTTCTTAGGATCACTGAGCCCCCACGAGGTGAGATCTTGCATGGAGCCCCAGTCCATTGACATTCATGTTTAGCTTCTTCCATTTTCTAATGATTGCTTCAACAGTGGACCTTTTTTCACCAAGCTGCTTGGCAATTTCCCTGTAGCCCTTTCCAGCCTTGTGGAGGTGTACAATTTTTTCTCTGGTGTCTTTGGACAGCTCTTTGGTCTTGGCCATGTTAGTATGGCCAATCTTACTGATTGACAGGTGTCTTTATGCAGCTCATGACCTCAAACAAGTCCATCTGATGTAGGATAATAAATGGAGTGCAGGTGGACTTTTTAAAGGCGGACTAACAGGTCTTTGAGGGTCACAATTCTAGCTGATAGACAGGTGTTCAAATACTTATTTGCAGCTGTATCATACAAATAAATAGTTAAAAAAATCATACACAGTGGACATGCACCTACAATGAAAATTTCAGACCCCTCCATGCATGATTTCTAAGTGGGAGAACTTGCAAAATAGCAGGGTGTTCAAATACTTATTTTCCTCACTGTGTGTGTGTGTGTGTGTATGTATATATATATATATATATATATATATATATATATATATATATATATATATATATATATATATATATATATATATATATATATATATATATATACACATAAATATACATATAAAATATATGATGATTCCCACTCGATCAGTCTGCCTCAGGGCAACTGTGGCTACTATAGTAGATCACCACCGCTGAGTGTGGACTGAATGAATAACGACCTTAAGCCTGTAAAGTCAGTTTACATTAAGTTATTTGTGTAAAAACAATGAAGACAATAACAGAAGGAAGATAGGTAAGTTTAATGCCATTCTGTGGAACAAAGCATTTCCATGGAGACAAGCGGACGGGAAAGTTCCATAATGCACCTTAAAACAGTTACAAAAGATCCAACTGACAGACCAATAAGAGTGTTGTATTTGTGAAGCATCTCTGCCTGCTGTCCACAGGGCCATGACTGCTGCCCGTACCAGTACTCATACCAGGGCCCAGGGAGGCTGGAGTTTGTCAAAAAGCTGGACGTGCCCAAGCAGAGCTCTAAGAGCACCATGTCAGCCATGCAGCATTTCCGCAATCTAGACAAGAAGGCCACTGAGGAGGACAGCAGTGAGCTGAGCACGCTGCACCAGAACAGTATCACGTACGCAGTATGGACACATACAGCACTATCACACACACACACACACACACATATATATATAATATTATAATATTATTATATATATATAATATTTTGGCAGTGAATTACTTCGCGGTGCACAGACCTCGACGCAGATCCATAAATCAAAAACGACAGCGACAAGGCGACGGCGGCAGTGGCCGTTGAGTCGACGCAGAACTATACTTCACCCTGAAGGCTGAAATATAGTTCTGCGTTTAGTCCTGGTTCAGTCCTGGTTTAGTCCTAATTCATGTGTTGCAGTCTATGTAGTTTAGGTGATTATGCACAGAGTTAAAGTTAAGACATGATTCTACATCATTTTGAGTTAAAAAAACAAAACAAAAAAAACATCAGATATTATAGATTTTTACTGGGCTGGGGCCTTTATGTTTGAGTGTGATTAATGCTTATCTATTAAGAATTGGTAAATCATTTCTTATTGATGCTTTGACAAGTAGGTTACACTGTACATAACGGACAGTCATAATATAATAATACCTGTATTAAGGATTTAACTTTTGACAGTTTTAAGTCTTTGAGTTCTAAATTTGTTAATTTCAAGTTACATAATGTGTTGTAGGCCATACATTTAGGACCTATTGCTTATTCAAGGTCCTTGAAGTCCCAGAGAAATGACACTTTTGCCATATCTCAGAAACTAATGATGATAGAGACATAAAACTGGTACTAAATGATTTGCAATGTCCATATTTATATTCAACTTCCATTGATACTAAAGGGCTAAATGTATTATATTTGATGTTATTAAAGAAAAACTGATTTTTCAGCAGATTTAAGGCTTCCACAGGCATGGAAGTTACTTTATATGTGTGCGGGTGTGTGTGTGGGTGTGGGTGTGTGTTTTATTTATATATTTAATAACTGCTGGCCCTATCCACATGAACCAAAAACTGGCAAAGTTGTTTGTTTGTTTTTTTCCCCACAAATGAACACAAGTTAATTATTTTCTCACAATAGCTTTAGAAAGTGGTGCCATGAATGCAATTAAAGACATGATTATTGTCAACTGAAAGAACATAAATCCAATAATAATAATAATCATAATCATACATTTGATTCATACTGTAGAAATTTGTTGTGGTAAAGTATTATTGTAACCACAGCTACCCCGGTGGTACATCTCAATCTAACATTATGTGATCTTATCTAATGTTATTGATAATATCTTATCTAATCTTATCTAATGTCTAATGTTGCTTCTATGTGTGTGTGTACAGTCAGCTGTGTGTGGTGTCCAAGGCAGGGGGCAGTGTGAGTTTCCTCAGCAGTGTGTCTCTGGATGGAGCCATGGTGGTCTGGGATCTCCAGGTAAAAACCCCATAACTGTCCTTCAGCCCTCCTACCAACCCCACACACACATCACCACATGTTGGGTTGACATGCTTTTTGTAGACTATATTTTCAAAATATATATATTTAAGACCAACAATATCCAAATTTCTTCCGTTACAGTTGGAAAGTGTCAACTCCGTCCTTCCATTCTGATCCATTTAACAGTACAGGAGAGAGTTGAAGCCTTGAGTGAGGTCATTAAGGCAGCTCACAAATGGAACAAGTAGCTCAGAAGAACAGCCATGTTTATCAAAAAGAAAATCAGAACAAACATTATGAAATTTTGTATATCTGTGAGGGTGGACCTCTGGAACAACTGCACAGAAAACCTAAAATTGTGCACCACTCTCTTCAGTTTATAAAGAAGTTTAAATGTTTACCTCTGGGCAGAGTCATGAATTATGAGACTTAATTTGTGCTGTAGTACTTTGTTGTACTGTTACTGATTTGTTTGTTTCCTCTTGCTGTATTTATGAATATGAACTGGTGTCAACATGACGCTCTGATAAAGGAATAAAGGGTTGGCATAAAAAGCTCAAGCTTCAACCTACATCTTTTCGGTCTGTGAATGTTATATATGACTATAATATAAATATGTCTATGAAATAATGTCAAAATATACCTGTGACCGAAATAAATAAATTAATATAAAAGAAAGTAGCTGCAGTGTGTATGTTTAACAAGCACTTTTGCCAACGAGCTCTGTCATCAAAATCAAATAACATTTTATAACTTCAAGGTGAATGTGTGACGGAGTTGATATTTTCAGCTGACAGAGTTGACAAACCGACCAACTTAGTAAAGGATTAAACATTTAAATTCCAGTTTTCTAAACAAAAATGTTTAATTGAAAAATTATTAAATTTTTTGTCTCGTGAAATTGTACTGTCATTTATGACATTATGAGGTTGTTATAGCCATATCATGTCATGACACTAGTGTTTCAAAGGGTCTAATGCAAAGTAAAATATGTAAAATCACCAATATCAGAAAAAAAACTCATGAAGGGGAATGGAGAGAATGGATGAGGGATGGAAACACTTGAGGTTGAGGAGCACTGGAGAGGTAGAAAAAGGATAAAAGGTGGATGCAGACTCAGAGGAAGGGGGTCAAAGGGTAAGTTTGGAGGTTGAAAGTGAAATAATTGTCATTGTTGTGAAGTCTGGTCTGTGTTAAATTTGTAGCATGAAACATATTTGTTCAGTTTTCAGAAGTTTTCACACATTTTTGTCAACTCCGTCAGTTTTCTGTCAGCACCATCAGATCCATGCTTTTGGAGGGTGTTTTTGTCATTTTTTAAAGAAACTTGAATTTGGCCTTTGGTAAATGGTTACATTTTTATATAGCGATTTTCCACTTCCAAGAAACTCAAGAGCTTTACATCATGGAACCACTCACCTGTTCAGCCACACATTCATACATTCATACATGTGTTTTAAGTAGTAAAGGACATTGGCATCTACAGCCTAATGTGTGTTCATTATTTACAGAAATATATTTTATAACATATAAATAGAAAAATATATTTTGAACTTGAGAATTATGAATTATGAAACTTGAATCTTCAGAAAAGTATGAAATTACAGTTTTCATTTTCAGATATACTTTAATTAGACAAAATGGTAAATAAACCTTATGACAACATACATTTTATTTTTTGCTAGATTGGAATAAATCTAATTTTGTGTTTTAGTGTTTTGGTTGACAATAATTGAGTTGTATTATGCCATTTTTTTAGGAAACATGTTTTTATTCAGAACCTGTTCCTTTGCATTTATGCACAGCTCAGACTCTACAGACACTATACATATTCTAGTAGATACATGTTCTCTTCAGAGTTCATTAATTTACCTTAATAAATAACAGAGAACATATTTACTCACAGGGACAATAAAGTGTACTTCATACCCTAACCCACAGCCACACACACAGGACCACACCAGTACTGACATTTGTTTTGTTGATGTTTTGACAGCAGTGAGTCCTCCCACAAGATGAACTTCGTGTTCAATCTGTACAGAATGTTTGCATCATCATCACAGAAACTAAGCCAAAGATGGATAAAAGCAGTCAATAAACCTTGGATTTTACAAGAATCTCTGCAATCTATTTCTTACAGAATGTGATGACAAATTCCAAGTATTTTACAATGCCAATATTTGTTCAAATTCATACCGAGTTGATGAGCACTGTTGCTGTTAGAGTTGGGTACATTTACTCAGTTACTCTTCCCACTGTGAGAAAGTCTACAAGTGTCAAAAGCTTCATGTTGACAATATGAAATGATTTGAACATTTGTCTTTCTTGCATCACTCCTTCAGATGACTCCTTTAGAGTTATAATTTGTGTGTCTGTCCTTTGAGAATACCAGATTATGTGCATTATTTGATGTTTGTCTTTCCAATTGGCTCTATACACTGCAGCACACTGGAGAGCTCACCGTGTCCTTAAAATCGTAAAATATAAGATAAACAACTTTTTTAATTAATTGAAATCAAGTCTACCCTAATGTTTTTAAATGTAAAATACTTATTTACTTGTTCTTACTCCGCTCTGGTGTTTTGGTTGGTGACGAAATGGTCCATTCCCTGAAAGTGTTTCCTCTGAAGGTCTTCTGCCACATTTGCTGGCACATACGGTGTAGAAAGTCTCTAGCATCTCAAATGTCACAGTACAGCCAGCTTCTCATCGAGCTCCTAGACTCTTGCACGGTCTCCTAATCCTAATAAAAAAGGTAATCTATTGTCACATCTCTGTTACAATGTTGTTTCCTCATCTAAAACATACTTTTATGATAAGTTCTTCTCTCACTCTCTTCCACCTTGTTATGTCATGTTTTGGAAAAGTGTACCATGTGGTGTAATTTCTAAAAGAACAATAAATGTAATGTAATGAGAATAAATGACATCATTCTTCAGAGGCACCACCATAAACAGTGAAGAACTGCTGACAAACTTGAAAGTGCACATGAAAACAACAACTCAGTTCTAGTTACTTTTTGAAATCTTTCGGAAACTGAGAGGATGTGAACGTCATCTTCATGGTGTGTTATCATTAACTTAAAAATGCTTCCAGCATATATGTCTTAATTCAGTAGCAGTCCTCTGTGTGTAACTGATGTATAAGATGGTGAATTCAATTTAAGCGGTTGCTGGATTTTGTCATTGTGAGCGACGTTTTGAACGCGGCCCAACTCTAGTCCCGTCCACGAAGACACACTGGTGACTCTTTGTCCAATCAGATTACAACTTGTGCCTGCGTCATTGCACTATGAGCCAATGAGCGGCGGCGGGCTTGCGTAGCGCATCAGCTGCTCTTGTTTTGCTTTTTTTCTCTCCCGGATCTGTTTTGGTCCCGCTTTGGACCAAGTCCTGGACCCAGCCCTGGACCCAGCCCTAGACTGTCCGCTTTCCCCGCGGAGCCAGCCTTCAGCCCGTCTCCTCCGGTCTCACTCAGCCGCCGTGGAGCCTTCGTCCGCATACCCCAAGCCGCGAGGAGCCGCCGAGACCAGGCCTCCGGAGCAGGGCGAGGGGAGGCGTCCGAGATGGAGACCGCACAGTGTGGCCCAGAGGGGCCTCTTGGACCGAAGACGGGCTTTGGCTGTGCTACCTTCAACCAGGACGCTACGTGAGTGCGCGGAACTCGCCTGTGCTTGTGGTTAGGCTTAAGCCTGCAGACCGGAGGGGTTAACTGACAGGTCTGGGTGCGTTTTCTTTCGCTGAGGTCTAGAAGCCACAGAGTTCTGACAGAGCTCTGTACTAGACCTCAGTGGAGGCGACCTTTGGATTTATTCTATTTTATCTAGGCTACTTATTTACGTTTGGGGGGAAATAAAACATAGACTACTACACATAGCCTACAGTTTACACAGACTGTGGGCCTTCAGAGCCCTAGAGCCTCTAGACAGGTAAATAAATAATATGAAAACGGTCTGTCTTTAAAGGTGTACTTCTTTTCTGATGGAGGGTGGGTCCGCTGCCTGTTTGTCACAAAATAAGTAGGCGTTATTTATCTCAAATGTTCCACAATATAACATTAAACCTATCCATTAAACCTATTCTGTTTTACAAGATGTAGAAAGACCTGTAGTCTAATATCATAAAATGGAAATTTTCAGGCAAAACAATATATATCTCAATGGAAAGCAGACTAAAAGAATAACTAGTCCCTAACTAGTCTATAAATGATCTAAATGAATGGCCAAACATAGTGGACACACTTAAAAGCACTGACTTTGTCTGGACTAGAGCTAATTTTTTTTTTTTTCTTTTTTTTTTCTGACAAGCATTGTGATTATGATTACAATTGATAAAAAGACAAAAATCTAAACTGACAAACTATTTCATGGATCGCATTTCAGAACATGTTACACTACAGGGTTAGCAGTTTTGTTGTTGTTGGGTTTTTTGCTGTTTTTTTTTTTTTTTTTTTGTTATTTTTAACCCAGAGTAAGGCAGGAGATTTTGTTGTGGAGGAAATTATGGTACTTTAAAGCTTGTAGATTTTGCAAAGCTTGTAAATTTTACAGTGATTACACATGCACAGATATGTTAACCATTATGCCATAAACATAAACATGAGATGACTCACTTCTCTCTCCTCATCCCCTTAAAACAGGACAGGTGATGTAGAGAAGGTACTCTGTGCCAGTGTTATCACAATACTAAAATTTCAAACTTGATTTTGACTCCAAGGAATAAACTCCATACTCAATTCTGATATGACAATGATAATAAGAACATTCTTTATTTAGACAGTAGAACGTGGTTGGTTCCATAGTGGTCCATGGGTGTATGATGTGCTTTTATACTTGTTCTGATACAGCTCAAGTATCAAACTCATTCTAGTAAAACTATTCACGAAAGATTCATTTTTGTTTGTGAATGGGACTTTTTTTTAGTATTGATATTTGCTCAAATTAGTATCTAGTTTTGGTACTAGTTTTAGTATCAGGGGTTAGAAACTATTTTCGATACTTTTGATAACACTGGTCTGGGCTTGCATGATTGCTGTAGTCATGTCACATGCCACACCAGCAATGTTCTACTGCAGGAATCAACCATAAGCTACCACTGCAAATTGTGAAATACTGGCTTAGGAAAATAGTCCAGTCCAAGGAGTAATATTGATTTTTGTTGAAGTAGTAGAGTTGTCACAAAATATATACTCTACGGTAGATCTGCAGTCCACTAAAGAAATTCTTGGACCAAAGACATGTCCTTCCTTTTGATTAATTGACCAAAAAGTGGGGCATGGCAATATATTTTTATTAACAAAAATGCAACAAATGGTGGCATGTGCAGTACTTTGTCTGTTGAGTGTAACTATGCTTTGTTCCCCCTGTTTAGCTCTCTGGCTCTGGGCACACACAGCGGCTTCAGGCTCTTTTCTCTGACCAACGTAGACATGCTGGACTGCATCTACCACAGCACAGGTCTGGAGGCTAAAGGCTCTTTTTGTCATTTTAAATGTTTTTCTCCAATATGTCTGTTTTGTCTTCATAAAAAATAGAGGTGGGTGGTAATAGTGTGCAAGGTCATATCAAATAACTTTGGACTACTGCAAACTGTTTAAAATGAGCTAGTTCTGTTTCCATCTTTTAAGAGTGTGAAAATCAGGTAGAGTAGTTTAATATGTTGAGAGTATCATCCTCACTGTGTGCTTATGTGCCCAGTGAACAGCCTTGACGTGGGCGTGGTGGAGCGGCTCTACGGCAGCTCTCTGGTGGTGGTGGTGAGCGCTCAAACACCCCAGCATCTCCACATCTACCACTTTAAAAAGGGCACCGAAATCTGCAACTACAATTACCCCAAGCCAGTGCACGCTGTCAAGCTCAACAGGCAGGTTCGTATTCGCTAATACTCTGAGAAACTGAATAATGAATAATATTGTTTCCCCAAGAAAATGTATTTCACCTTCATTTTGTTTGAATTAGAGCAGTTCATAATAAAGAAGGAGAATTACACTTATATGGTGTATTAATTAATTAGAGATAGACCTGTTGGTCGATATTTCAGGCCGATATTTTCTCTTTTTAGCAAATTGGCTATATTTTAGATCTTTGAGACATTTCTTCCCAAAAAATATCAGCAAAGTTTATTGGCCATCAGGTGCCATGTTACCATTTAAAAATGCTTTTAGGTAAAAATGTTCAGCTTCAGTCTTGTTTTTGACGTTTCTTTACATAGGCCTGTGGACAAAAGGCTAACGCACACTAAAGCACAGCCCACAAACCTATGTAAAGAAATGTCAAAAATAAGTCTGAAACTTAACATTTTAATATATGGTTTTCACCTAATATTGCATTTAAGAACAACATAAAAACTGCTAAATGAATCAATAATTAGTCCTAGAAGTGACTTAGGGTATTCTACCTTCTGCAGCTCAAATGGTATCATATTAAAACCAAATAGGGCAAATTTCCACACAAAGAAATTGAACACATGATAAATATTGAGCCCAAAATATATTATTCCAGCTTTTGTATTTTGACAGCCAGTCATTCCTCTCGTTGCTTACACACAGTATTTCAACTTTCGCTTGTCTGTTTTTGTTATGAGCGATGAAACCACCGCTGCCTCTTGGAATTGGTAATAGGCAGCGTCATAGCTTTAGAAAATCATTTTTGTTTCGTAGGCTATTGGCTATCTCTTCGCTTTTAATGTCATGTATGCATGAGTCCTTTGCCTTTGTCATTTCTGCTCTTGAAAGCATGATTGAAATATTAACAGATTCAATAGGCTAAAATAAGCAATGAATCAATACCACTAACTAGGATACAAGTGGAATGAGTGTGCCACTGCTGAACAGACAGTGATAATCAAAGTAATCAAGTGAAGGAAATATCTCTTCATAAAAATATCTGGGTTGGTGTAGTCATGGCCTAAGTGTGTCTAGGGAAGCATCTGAATAGGACACTGAATGTGTAGAGTAGAGCCCAGAGACCCACCTCATCTCCCACAAAGAAACGTCACTATGTATCTGCCTCAGCTGCTCACTGCTCATTGAAGCGCACAGATGGAGCACAGTTAGGACACTATTGACCATGGCTTTTGCAGAGTGGAGATCATGTTGATGTGTGGCATAGAAAGTTATTTGTGCACATACTTAAAGATGAGAGGCTTTTACACATGAATCATTCCACATCAAATTTCCGAATGTTCCACTTGACCATCTCAGATTTGACTGAAAATAATCTAGGAGTTTCACACACTTCCCAATAGGAAAAGTCCCAAATTTTAGCTCCTGACTCCTTATAGTTTTGTCATTAAAAATATTTTGTAAACTCCCCTCGATCTGCTTTGAGCAGAGTTTTCCAAGGAACCACTTTCAGATTGCTGTATCTAAAAAACTATTTAAGATATTGATATTGAACATACACCTTCCCACACATGCTGTGTACTTTGTATTTTAAAATACAAGACATTTTTAAATGTAGTTAATACAATTAACTGAGATTCAGGAGCAGGACCACGCCTCAGCCGCCCTCTCCTCTCACCAGCGAACCACAACTCACCTCGACCACGCCTCGAATTTCCCAGAAGCCTATATGTAGCAGCCTTTCCCATCATCCCAGTTTGTCTCGGCTAACTCAACCCCACCCTCCCATCCCCTATTTTGTCTTTCAGTCATAAGACCCCTACAGGGGGGTCCCGTTCCGGCTGGGCCAATTGTGGATTGAGACGGAGCCCCCACCCATAGTCTCAACCCAGCCATCTTTGCCTCGCTTCGTACATTATCAATAAACTTCTTCGCACTATGTCATTGTTGGCGTGGTCCTAGCTAGTGAAATGTTTATTATTTCATTCTTACTATACTTGAAGTTTAACTTATATGTAGTCTTTAGATATAGAAATAGAAACATGTTTGTTATGATCCTGCACAAAGATGCAACAAAAAGAGGGAGGCGAGGGGTTATATATTTTTATTATTAATTAAAGAATTTTAAAAAACATACACAATGTGGTGGGTTAAAGTCAGTCGTCAGTAATGTGTGCATGTTGTTTGCCATGAGATGTTCTGAGTGTGCTGTTGCTGTGTCAAAATCAAACTAAAGATGGCATGAGCATTTGAAGTCCATGGCTGACAAGCTAGAAAGTAGATTTGCAAATGCATTCACCAGTGCATTCACAGAGATAATCACTGTTTCAAGCCAGTCAATGCAACAACATCTGAGATCAGTACAGTGTCTGGAATTGCTGGATTTTTAGTCCACTATGAGACAGAACATGCAGAAGAAGAGGTATCACAGGACTTCCAAATCAGTGACATGATACCTGGCCAATATGTAACCTGTGTTTACGACCATCACTGATGGGTGGGAAGCATCACAGAGACCTCTGAAACCCAGCAAGATGTTCAGACACAATTCATGCATCCACGCGAACCAGCAAAAAGTTTCTTCTGGCCCAGGAGAGAAGATGTGTGCCGGGCACCTTTACAACACATCATCTCTAAAATAGATGTTCCTAGCAGTACAACAGGACTCCTACATACAATTCAGAACGTTTCCTCAAAGAGTTGAGATAATTTACAATAGTGCAGTAATCAAAGAAAGCATTTTGTTGAGTTTAAGCTGTGTGTCATATATTCAGAGTGTTTTCTTAGCTTCTTAAAGTGCCTTCATAATCCATGAATGCTTGCATGCAGACACCACATTTTCAAAAATTCATTTTACAAAAATAAGGCAGATTCCATTCCATTTCCATTTTTAACCCTTAATATCTTCTAGAGCATTTATCACAGAGGGTCAGTTTTAAAATACAAAGTACACAGCATGTGTGGGAAGGTTCAATATTGAACCTCTGTCTTTGAAATTGCACTTTCCACAGTCCTTCAAAGATGCCCTCATATTTAAAGAGTAGAATTTTTGAACAAGTTTTAAGGCACCAGAAATCTGTGATAAACCAAAAGCACATGTGTTAAAGTCCATATTCTACAAGAACATTTGACAAATTTTAACTCTTGAAAATTTGAAAGACCTATCTTAAATAGTTGTTTGATACAGGAATCTGAAAGTGGCTCTTCGAAAAACTCTGCTCAAAACAGGTTGGGGGAATTGACAAAATACTTTTTAAGACAAAACTAAGTAAAGGAGTTGGGAGCTAAAATTTGGGACTTTTCCTATTGGAAAGTGTGTGAACGTCCTAGAACTTTGTCAGTCAAATCTGAGATGGTCGAGCAGGGCATTCGGAGATTTGGCATGGAATGACCCACATGTGTTAACCTGGCAGCTCCACTGCTCTCCCATCTCAGCTCTCATCACAGCTCTGTGTGCACATAAAGATCACTTAAATCAGGCATGTCCAAACATGCCCAGGGGCCAAATGCGGCCCTCAGACAAATTTTTCTTGGCTCTCAGGCTTCCAGGTGAATTGGCCCAAATTACCTTGCATCAATTAAAAAATATTTTTTTACTGCAAATTTTTGGAAAATCTACCTTGATAAACCTCATATTTAATATTTTGTTTGTGATTTTGAGGATCTTAGCATGAATAAAGTGTGATGGTTCATTCTAACGTGTTAAACATGCACATATTTCAATTATTCCCTTTACTGAGCACCAGTCTACGGCCCTTGATCGGCCCTCTGATTCTGTTTAGATTTGTGGCCCTTGATGAAAAAAGTTTGGATACCCCTGACTTAAATAAAGCAGGTGGTGGAGAGCGCAGAGCTTTATGCATTTTTGGATAATTTCTCGAGATTCTCCTTATTTATACCCTCACCCCACATCCCTTGCGGGGCTCCGTTTGTAGGCTATCTGTACTTTCAACTCCACTACAATTGACTGAAAAGACTGAAAAGTTAAATTTTTTTTTATTATTGTTTGAGACTTGCTAAAAAGGCTGAAGGGTTAGTTTTAACACATTTGTACTCTGTGCAAACAAAAATATACAAAAAAACAAAACAAAACTGCTAGTTAATTTGTGTTGTTTGGTTGAACAAAATTCAGCACAAATCTTTATCAAAATCACTACATTAGAAGCTTATTAGATCTCAAAATGTGTGCAAAATACTTTTACTTTTTACTCTTTAAGTGCATTTTTAATGAATACTTAACAGATAAGTAGATTTATCATGTGATACCTTTACTTTGTTCTGGTCTATGTACTTTTACTTTCACCACTGGTATTACTCAAGCATTTGAATGAAATGAATATACATATATAGTGTATATATGAATATATCTCTAGGTATGTTTTTTCCCAACTAGACTATAATCTCACAAGTAAATTTTGCATAATATAGGAAATACAATTAAATACAAGAAGTTTCACTTCTTTGTCATCCACTGAAGTTAATGTGATTGATGTTGTTACAGAGACTGGTGGCGTGCCTTGAAGGGTCCCTGTACATACATAACATAAAGGACATGAAGCTACTCCAGACACTGGTGGTCCCGTCTAACCCGTGTGGCCTGTGTGCCCTCTCCAGCTCAGGCTCCTGCTCTTACCTAGCCTACCCCCACTGCCCCAACACCGGAGAGCTCCAGGTCTATGATGCCACTGCTCTGGTGAGAAAACCAATAGCTCTTGTATCTTTAAAGTGCATGACAGGTTTTCATGTTTTTAGAATTTTGACTTGATTTTGTGTGATTTACCAGTGGTAAATATTATTATAATAGTTTAACTATTATCATAGTTAGTTAATGAAACCATGGGCCATGACCATGGGAAAGTGAAATATATTACCTTCTTGTCTGTCTCTGTTCAGTTCATTAAGCGATAGACAGAGTGAACAGTTTGTGGCAGATCATTTTCTTGTTCAAAAGTTGAACAACATCAGAAACGTGCAGTTCTGACCAATCAGAGCACTAGCTGCTAGAGTAGCACTAGCGCGGGGCTAGGCTAACTCTTACAAAGCTGACTTTTAGGTGCTTTGACAATTTAACTTGTACTTGGAGCTGCCACTAATCATTCCCCCTCACAGAGGGGGCGTGTCTTATCCAGGTCTTATTATAGATCCATGATTCTATGATTCCACCCAAACCACAATGCTGCCCTCTTGTGATTGGTTCGAGCCCAATGCAGCAGAATGCGTCAGGCCAGATGGATGCATACATTCTCCATACATGTTCTGACCTGTGTCTTGTGCTTTAGACCCCAGTGACAGTGATACCGGCTCACCACAGTCCTCTAGCGGCTCTCAGCTTCAATACCTCCGCCTCCAGACTTGCCAGTGCTTCCCGGAAGGTGAAGCATGCTATTACAAGTACACAGCACATATGTTGATATGTAATGCATTTCGTAATTGTTTTGATCTCCATTAGCTCTGGAAGCATAGCTGCTCTTTCCTGAGTCATCGTTTCATACACAATTGACATCACAATAACATTAACAATACATAAAAAAAAAATATATATATATAATATATATAGACCCTGTCTGGTTTCATATTGGTGCCTATCTGAACTAAAGAATGGCTCTTGATAGAGCACCTTTGGTCATTTAGTTACTATAATGTTTCTTGTCACATTAAGCAGGGAAGCATTGAATCTCTCTTTTACCTTTAACCAGGACTGTAATTATTGTTTATGACCTTGTCTGCATTGTTCTAGGGCACGGTCATCCGAGTGTTTTCCATCCCTCAGGGCCACCACCTCTTTGAGTTCCGCCGCGGCATGAAGAGGTCTCATTCACTCTCAAAACTGTTTGTCTCCTTCCTCTCTCTCCCTCCTTTCTGTCTGCTATGTCTCTCTCTATTCTCTTCTCTCTCCCCTTCATTCACTCGCTTCCTCTTCTCTCTTCTGTCTCCTTGGCTCTCTTCATTTTCTCCTCTCTCCATTCTTTGCTCTCTCTCTTCTCTTGGTGCTCTTTCATTGTACTCTGTCTCTCTCTTCTCTGTCTCGTCCCCTCTCTCTATCTTTTGCTCGCTTTCTCTCTCTCCCTCTCTCACTCTTTCTCCCTTCTTTGTCTCTTCTTAGCTCTGTCTCTTCCTGCCTTCTTGTGTGTCTCTCCATTCTCTCACTCTGTACAGTGTGATGAATCCCCGGCTTCCATGTCTCTGCAGGTGTGTAGACATCAGCTGTCTGTCCTTCAGCCCTGATGGACATTTCCTCTGCTCCTCCAGTAACACGGAGACTGTGCATGTCTTCAGACTGGAGCACCCCAATGCCAGGTACACAGCTCGGACACCCAAGAGTCTTTAGACACATTCCAAATAGGAAGTGAGCATGGGAATACTGGTGGCCACTGGACCGGAGCTGCAGTTACAGACAGAAACAGACAGAGCTGTGTCTCCAGTTAGTTAGCTTCATCCCCCTAGGAATGTTGAGCACAAGAAAGGTATTAATATGACTTTAGCAATGGAATTTCCAAAAAAATAAAAGTTTTCCAACAAAAGAAGGTGAATTTACTTTATAAATATTGTTAGCAATGCATGAAGTTCTCTGCCAACCAATATGTTGGAAGCATAGATTGTATTTTATAAATGGAAGTAGCTAACCAGATAGCCACAATCCCAAAAGGAAGTGAGCATGGGCTCTCATCTGGCTCCATTGACTCTGACTCCAATTCACTTTCTATTAAAAAAAATGTTGCTCATCTCTCTGTAACTGCTGCAAACAGGCTAGTTATTTTGGTCTTAAAATGTTGGTTTGAACCCGTTCTACATGATTCTGGTATTTTTATTTCACTTTTTTGTCCTGAAATCAAGACATGAACATAGCATAGTGACATAGCACTTTGGTTGCTATGTCACCAAGCTTCATTTGACTGGAGTCGATACTATGGGTTACTTTACACTCATACCTCACACCTTAGTCCACTTCTTCATACAGTCTACAGTTGGTTTGAAGTTTGTAAAAGACTTTTTGGAATACAGGATCATTTTCTGAAGCACAGTTTCCAGTTGTGAGCTCACAGTGTGTGTGTGTGTGTTTCCAGTTTGGACCAGGAGGTGGATTCTTCCTGGGGCTCGTACATGGGCCGTATGTTCTCTGCAGCCAGCTCCTACCTCCCAGCCCCAGTGTCCCACATGATGAGTCAGGAACGCGCCTTCGCCACCGCCCAACTGCCCCGCCCCAGCTACAGGAACACATGCGCCCTTGCTGTGTAAGATGACAATCAAATATACACACAAATCTTTAGCTTTCTTTAGATTTAGTTTACATTTTGGTTAGTTACACCTCATTGAGAAGCTGCAGTTTCAAAAAGCAGTTTGACATACATCCTTTTTCTTCCACTGGGGCTGTGGAAGCAGCAGTCTGAGCAGGGACTCCCAGACCTCCCTCTCCACACACACTTCATCCAGCTCTTGTGGCGGGATCCTGAGGTGTTCCTACGCCATCCCGAAGACTTAGTTCCTCCAGCGTTTCCTGGGTCTTCCCAGGAGATTGAACACCTCACAGGAAGATGTCCAGGAGCCTTCCAGAACAGATGCCCTCCCCGAGCTGCTCCACTGCTTGTGGAAGAGCAGCAGCTCTAGCCTGAGCTCCTCATTTATGATTGAGCTCCTCACCCCCCCTCTAAGGGAGCGCCCAGCCACTCTGTGGAGGAAACATTTGGTCCGCTTTTATCCATGATCTTGTCCATTCGGTCATTACCCAAAGCTCATGACCATAGATGAGGGGAGGAACAATGGGGAGCTTTGCCTTTGGACTCTGCTCGTTCTTCACCACAACAGTCTGATACAGCAACTGCATCACTGTAGGCGCTACACTCCACCCCGATTATGATCATGCAAATTATTTGCCATTATTACCGTTATTTGTTTGTTTACAAGAGCTCTACATATTACAGCTTTCAAAAACTGGAGCAGAATTATGCTGTAATTTTAAATTCACCTTGTACTGAAAAACGCATTGCCCCTCTCTCTATAGCTGCTTTATTTAGCTCATTTGTCCATAAATCAAGATATGAACATGAAGAGAAATATGATCTTGTGAGATTTTTTCATCTTTTTACATTTGGATTGGGCAAGAAAGGGTTATGTGTCAATGAGTTACATCTCTTACAGTTCCAAAAAGCAGTACTAGAATGGTAATGAAAATGTTTAAATAAATAAATCAAAAATTGAAAAATGAGTCACACAATTTATATATTAGGACTTATGCTGAAATCTTGTTTTGTCTCGTCCGTCTTGTGGCCCAGTCTTGTATTGCCTTGTGGAAACTGGGCCTAGATTTGACTTTAAAACCTTTTTTTTCTTTTGTTAGTTCATTGAGTATATTAAACTGATCCCTGTGTGTGGTAGGATCCAGAAGCTTCCTCGTTTGCTTGTCGCTACGTCTGACAGCATATTGTACGTGTTCACCTTTGACCCGGCCGAGGGGGGCAAGTGCCAGCTCTCCCACACACACCAGTGAGTTTGTGTTTGTCTCTTCTCTCCTCCTATTGTTCAGTATATGAATGCTGAACAGATATTCTTCTCTAAAATCTCTCTCTCTCTTCTCTGTCTCTAAATCTCCTCTCTCTGTCACAATAGCACATTTTGAAGCATGATGTTTCACTACAGAGACATTTTACGATAATATTGAACCGACTTTATGCCACTGTCACAAAGCAGGATAATCCCAGTAAACCCATTTTTAAATAGACAGTAATTATTATGACAGGCCTACTCCCTCTCTCCCCTGACTCCCTTTTCTCTGAGTCTCTTGTCAGCTCTCCCTTTCTCACTTGCATCTTCTCTCTCCCCCGTCTCTTTCTTTCACCTTTCTATTTCTTACTCTCCTCTATTTGCTCTCTTTCCTCTCTTATTTGTGTCTTCACTCTACTCTTCCTCTCCCTCTTCATATTTCTCTCTTTCACTTTTCTCTCATATGTGTCTCTCTGTTCTTTTGTCTCATCTGTTTCTCACTTGTATCCTCCCTTTCTTTCTCTTCTGCCTCCATCTCTCCTTTCTCCCTCCTTTGTCTTCTCATTCCCTCCTCTCTCCCCTTAGACTCCCCTTTGTCTCTCAGCTCTGTCTCTCCGCTCTCTCTCCTGTCTCTGCTCTGTCTCTTTTCTCCTCTCTCTCCTCTCGTTTTCTCTTCTCTGACTTCCCTCTGTCTTTCTCTCGCTCTCCTCTGTCGCTCTTTATACTATCCCTCTCTCCTCTGTCTCTCCAGTATTCAGTTGCTCTTGTATTTTTTTGCTCTCAGACTGTTAGAGGAGCTTCAGGGCCAAAGTGAGGGTAGAGTGTGGGAGGCCTCTGATTGGTTGGGACCAGTGACCCCCTGTCCCACATACGCTGCCACGGCTGCCTTACCCCCGGCCCCCAGCCTCACTCCGGGGCTTACTGCAGCCACGCTCACAGGTATGATTGCCAACTTTCACTCACATCATATTTAACACACAAACACTGCATATTAAGGCTTATTACTTCTCTTAGATTGAAAACACACTAGTCCCCCTTGTGCTCCACTGTGTTTTTATACTCTATACACCTTCACTAGAATCATTTGGATCAGGGGTTTTCAAACTGGGTGAATGTGAGCATCCCCGTAGATTAGGTGAAGACAGCCGATCCTCCCTCTTGCCCAAACTCCCATCCACCTGCCTCCCCCACACAGGCCTTTGAAGTAAGTGCATCTTTTGTGTTCCTGCAGTGAGTTTTAATAACGACTGATAATATATTTTTTTAACATTGTATTTTCATATTTATTTTCATATATTTTTTTTTAGGTGCATTCATAAAATGATTTGATTTGATACTAGGCAATGTGGGAGAAGTGTCTTGCCTAAGGACACAATGATTGAATTGATTGTATTTAACTGACCATGACTATCAACTGTTCTGGAGACCTGGAGCATGTTTTGGGTTGATGGGGGAAACCGGAGCACCCGGAGGAAACCCATCCAGACACAGGGAGAAACATGCAAACTCCACACAGAAAGGCCCAGGCGACCCGGGGATCGAACCCAGAACCTTCTTACTGTGAGGCATGAGTGCTAGCCACTCAGCCACCGTGCCGCCAAGAATGAGGCAGACATGTTTGAGACATAAGCTTGCACTGTTTGATATTTCTGAATGGTGCTTATTTAAGACGAAATACGAGCGAATCTGATTTCGGGGAGGGGGGGGTTGCAAGCACACATTTCTGACCAGTAAAAATTGAAGACTGGGGGACAAGGCAGTTTCCCAGTTGTACAGATTGCCAGTTCAAACCTGGGATTAGGGTACTGTAACATGGTTTAAAGCTCACAAGAATCCATTTTGTGTAAGATAGGACCTGTAACAAAGATGTGACAGATGAGTGAGCCAATCAGGGACACTCAGCAGTGTGTTACCTAAATGAATCTAATGTGAGAGAAGGTTGATTTTGTTGTGTCTCCCTGTGTGTGGGCAGGCTACAGTGAGGACGGCGGCTGCAGAGAGGGGGAGGTGATCCCAGAGCATGAGCTGGCAGCTGGACCAGTGCGCCTGGATGATGAGAGCGAGTTTCCTCCAGTGAGACCCACCCCACGCACACATGCCTGCACACACACGGTCACAGATGCCTGCACACATGTTCACACAGGCCCTCGCACACTCCCGCACACAAGCCCTCGCACACGCCCTCGCACACACCCTTGCACACACACTCACAGTCGCCCATACACATGCCCTCGCACATGCCCTCACACACGACCTCACACACGCCCTCACACGTGCCCTCACACGTGCCCTCACTCACGCTCCCAGTTGCCCACACACATGCCCTCGCACACGCCCTCGCACATGCTAACAGACGCCTACACACGTTCACAGATGCCCGCGCACAAGCCTTGCACGCATGTTGGCAGTCGCCCACACACAAGCCCTCGCACACGCCCTCACACACACCCTTGCACACGCCCTCACACACGCCCTCACACACGCCCTCACACACGCCCTCACACACGCCCTCACACACGCCCTCGCACATGCCCTCACACACACACCCTCACATGTGCACACATGCCCGCACACTAGAGCATGGAAGCATCGAAGCTACAGGATTTTTCGGTCTTAAAGGATTTTCAAACATCCAACAAAAAGCGCACACCACAGATGGCTGCAGATGGCTGCAGCAGGATATGGCTGTGGACCATTATTTATTTTATTTATGTTGCTGTAAAAGTACAGATAATCATTAAAATACTGTTAAAATACTGCTTAATAGTATCAATAAATCCTTATCAATACCTATGCACTCACACACACACACACCCACATACCATTCATCTGCTACACAACACACCTTTATGTGTCACAACTGCAGGTCCAGCTACAAAGAAGGAATTAATCCTTCACCACAAATGAGTCAACTGTATGCACAAATGGTTCACCTGTTGTCTATTCCTTGTTATTGCTTTGTGTGAAATGTTCCACAGTATAGCATTAATTTTTGCTTTTGCTATGATGAGCAGTTTACACCACAAGGCCAAGTTATAGGTCAGGGATCTCATTTATAAGTATGTGTACATCCAAAAATGTTACCTAAGTTTGTGATTTATGAAAACACTATTTGACTCAGAAATGAGCGGCCAGTCCAACAACTGTCAACTTTAGCCGACAGGGTTTTCAGCGATGAAAAGTGAGTAATGTTATTAGGTTATTTTTTTTCAGACCTAATGTTACATATTTACTTGGCCTGAAAAAACCCTAATAACATAAATTATCAGAAGACCAAATGAAGCTCATTGGACAAGAAGTTAGAAAGTTTGAGGATTTTTGTAACAATATGCAACTGAAAGCCATACTGTGGAATATCAGGCAGATCATCTAGGACCTCTCCACCAGAAAAGTGACATGAATTGAACACATCTGATGGCAATTCTTCTGTGTTGGTAGATCAAATGTCGAGATGGACGTGACAATATTTTGGGCTCGCTCACATTTTCTGAGATGGACAGCTTCTGTAAACTCTAACCCTAAAGAACATCAGTCACCACTGGACCTCTCAAGCATGAACTACCCACAGGAGCAGCTGTTTCAGACACACCAGATTATGTTGTCAAAAGTATCACTACAAACTAGTATCGAAACTAAACTAAAAAAATAATAATTTCAAAACGTAAAAGGTGACACTGAAATTTAAATATATATATATTGATACTTTGCAGCTGATGTCATCAACATTCCCCTGGGGGTGTGAATCCTAAATGAAACCCTGCTCTGTCTGAAGCTCTAAATAAGATTAGTTTAAATAAAACTCAGGTTCAGAACTGACCAGAAAGTGCTGAACTACAACACGTGAGCTAATTCATGCTGTTAAACAAGTCTCTCATGCATTAAATTACAGTCAAATGAAGAGAAATGATTCCTTGATGAGTCTTTTAACAGTGTAACACCACAGGCTGTGCAGTGTGGCGCCTCACCAGCACCATGATAACTGTGAACAGCCCTTGGTCCCTTTATTTCAGATAAACTCATGCTCCGTATGTCTGAAATACTGTGTACACACCTTTTTCCTTTGTTTTGAGATAAAATGTTACACATTTATTTGTATACTATATAATATATCATTTGAAATGAGACCAGAGGCATCGTAATGTACAGTATTGTCTGGGGAATACTTGTATTTGTGTTTGTGTGCAAAGGATGTGTTTTTATGTCAAAGACATGTCGGAAATGGCATTACATTTCCAGAAACATGAATACGATATGAATTTTGCCAGGTTTACAAAATCTTGGTTTGATTTGTTGATGATGTGTAAATGCATATTTTTTACAGGTTTGGTGTCCTCTCCATCTGCCCTTCTCCTCTGCTCCGTCTGCCCCTCTCCTCTGCATCCTCTGCTCCATCTGCCCTTCTCCTCTGCATCCTCTGCTCCATCTGCCCTTCTCCTCTGCATCCTCTGCTCCATCTGCCCCTCTCCTCTGCATCCTCTGCTCCATCTGCCCTTCTCCTCTGCATCCTCTGCTCCATCTGCCCTTCTCCTCTGCATCCTCTGCTCCATCTGCCCCTCTCCTCTGCATCCTCTGCTCCATCTGCCCTTCTCCTCTGCATCCTCTGCTCCATCTGCCCTTCTCCTCTGCATCCTCTGCTCCATCTGCCCTTCTCCTCTGCATCCTCTGCCCCATCTGCCCCTCTCCTCTGCATCCTCTGCTCCATCTGCCCCTCTCCTCTGCATCCTCTGCTCCATCTGCCCCTCTCCTCTGCATCCTCTGTCTCCATCTGACCCTCTCCTCTCCCAACTATCTACAAATATGCATGCTGGACCATTATTATGTACTGTATGTAAAGAACATTACTTGAGTTATATTTTATTTAAGATAAAATATTTGAGTATAAAATAATTCTAGGTTACGCCAATATTCTTGTAAAAGATGTAACTTAATGTTGCCTTCTCACACTTAGAGGGCTGTTTGTGCCTGTAGCAGATGTATATGAAACTGTCAGTCATTTTGCACAAGACCAAAGCGGGTAAGACCGAATAAAAAATGACAACATGGTGTTCTGAGTTTTTTGTACTGTCATATGTGGAATATATTTAAAGAATAAACTTAACAGAACTTTCAAATAGAAATATATAGCCAAAAGTGGGTTGTATTCACTTAATCAAAAATATGTACAGTAAGTGAGCAACTTTTTAATCTAATTGAGTAATATTTTTATTGAAGTAACAGTATTTTTACTTTAGGTTCCTTACTGTGTGTAAGTCTACAAGTGATAAAAGCTTTATGTTGACAATATGAAACTATTTGGACATTTGTGTTTTTGCACTACTTTATGCATTATTTAATGTTTTTTCCACCAAATTACATTAACTTCAAATTATAAATCAGATGTTACATCTTGGCAGTTACTCTTACTTTAGTAGTTTTCCCAAATACTTTTTTTTTTTTTTTTTTTCTTGAATAATTTCCTGGAACACTTCTTTGTGTTTCTACTTTGTATTTTGAAGTAACATTACACAAGTAAAATTTTTGGCTATTCTCTCTCCACCTCTGAACATATAGACAACATGTGATGGTGGCTGATTTTAAACTTCCTTTAAAATCACTACAGGTGCAGAATGAAAACCATTTTTGGTGAAACTACAGTAACAGGGAAACTACTGTTTATGGTGATCAGTAATTTTGTAGAATTTGATTGTGTGAAACGTTTAGAAGGAGGGCAGGGGCCTTTATGCTCTCTGTGGGTCATTATAAGCAAAGCAATAACATCCCTATAATGACAGAGATTTCCTTTGAAAAACTATGAATCATGTTAAACTTGGTTTAGTTTTAATGTTCAACTAATTACACATTAAAGGGCAAAACATCTCTTTTCATGCAGCAGATTCTGTCCATAGCGTTTTACTCCATTCAGATGACATAGTGCACCTTCAAAATCCTCTCCAGGATGTTGATTTATAATAATGAATTTGTAATAAACAATGCATTCTCATTCATCTCATGGGATTATTTAAAACTGATTTGAAAAGGCATATGGTAATAAGAAACACAGACAATTCAGAGATTAGACACACTCTGTGTCTATACTTCACTGATCTGCTCAAGCTTCGCTCACAGCAGTGTTTTATGAATAAATACTGTATTCAATGCAAGTGCCCCCACTTCCTCAATGTGAATGTACTTGTTCTTACAGTTCATAATGTACACTAAGTACATTTTCATCATAAGTCACTGTAAATGTAAAACTAGGACCTGCTAGGACCCACTGTGTTTGTATGTATATCAAATGCCATATCTTATCAAATGTGCACTGTAAATCCGTCAATACTGAGAGGGCTTCCAGTCATTTTCAGTTAAATGCCTCTGCCCATCTTCTGTCTTCACTGCACCTTCTGAATCTTTCCGCTGTATCCTCTGAATCTTTCCGCTGTATCTAGAGGTGCCAGAGTTATTAAAATGTACAGAAAGATTGAAAATGTGTGGTGACTATAGAAACTCACTGTAAAACCACAGCAGGTGCAGGATGAAAAGCAGTTTTTCGGCGAAACTACAGTAATAAGGACACTGTTTCTGATCACGTTTATTCATTCAGTTGTTTGAACATACAAAATCTCTTTCTCATGACATCATTAGGAAAGATCAGGGGTGGACAGTAACTAATTACAAATACTTGTGTTACTGTAATGAGTACATTTTTGGGCTAACTGTACTTTTTTTGAGTAGATATAAACCTGTTTTTGTACTCATATTCTAACCATGTAATTCTAATTATTTACATCTTAAAGGTTCTATATTACTCAAATTGGACAAATGCACCCATATGGTACTGGTATATAGACGCCGATCCATGAAAATAGATGGATTTATTGTTTTGCCTAAAATATTCCACGACATGGCTTTAAACTTGTATTTATTCCATTCACTATCAGTCAACATGTTTTTATTGTTAGAAACCAGAGATGTGCAGTGCTCTACTTAGACTTAGACTTAGACTTAGATTTAGACTTAGACATAGACAAACGTCATTAATCCACATGGGAAATAATTTCACTTCTTGAATAACTTTAGTAAGTCTAAAAGCTTTCTGTTGACAATATGAAATAATTTGAACTTTATTCTATTGCAAACAGAAAGTGAAATCACAGACTGAAACAGGAAACTGAATGTTGCCACCTATGACCATATGGGGAATACCGTGTGTGTGTGTGTGTGTGTGTGTGTGTGTGTGTGTGTGTGTGTGTGTGTGTGTGTGCATGTGTGTTTAATTTTTGTTTTTGCATTAAGTGTAATATTCAGGAGTAATAGTATTAATAGCATCAAGAATTTAGGATTTATAATTTTAACAAACACATTTTGTTACTATCACAGGTTCTTGTTGTATCTAAAAGTTTATACAATTTTACATTTTCAGTTGAATTATTTTATTTTATTTTATTTTAAATACACCCTTGGAGCTCACAGCACTAAGTCTCCAGCTGAGAAAAAGTCAAAGTAAAAAGTAAAAGTATGCATTGCCCCATGTACCTTTTGACTTTCCAGGGTATTAGTAGTGCGGTGTGTCTCTGTAAATCAAACTCAACAGGGCCTTTCCCTCAATTTCACTTTTCTCTTTCCTGTCTGTGGGATAAATATGGTGCATTTAGTTAGTGTTGATCAGAGCGCCTCGTCTCCAAAGCACATCAGGAGGACTTTGATTTACTGCACACATATTGATGCACACATCTCTCTCTTGGTATATCTGAGGATATTTGGTGATTTTGTGTGATAATGTTGCGTTGGGTGATGATGCTGGGTGCAGCCACAGCGGTTCTGGCCTGTGAAGGACTGAACCTCTTCAGCAGGAACACAAATGACTGTCTCAAGCAGCTCAAGAAGATGGTAAGAAACTGTACTTGGCAGAATACTTTTCTAACTTGACTAATATTTTTATTGAAGTAAAAGTTGTGAGTACTCTTCCCACTATGAGTAAGTCTACAAGTGACAAATGCTTGACAATATGAAATTATTTGAGTATTTGTGTTTCATACACTGCTTCTTCACATATTTATTTTGTCTACTTTTTATGTATTTTCTCTGAAAACACAAGATTATGCACATTATTTGTATTCATTATGTTTTGTCCTTCAAATAACATTAACCTGAAATTACAAATCAGATGTTACAGTCACTCTTAAAATGACTCTTACATGAGCAGTAGTTTTCTCATTTTATTTATTTTATTTTTTCTTTACTTTTACTTGTGTAATATCTTGGACCACTATTTTGTACTTCAACTTGAGTAATATTTTTAAGTAACATTACTCATACTTGAGTTCAGTTTTTGACAATTCTTCCCACCTTTGTTTACATTTCATAATTCATATTTCTTAACAGTTTTATTAGAATAATTCTTCCTTAAATGTGCTGTGTTCCTTCGACAGGGCGGCGGTGTGGACATGACAACTAATGCCCACTTTCCAAACAAACTCTACAAAAACATCAGCCGGCAAAATGTAATGTTTCATTATTAAACATTTTCAGATTTTACATTTATAGATACTGCCATGTCAGTAGAGTATTCACTATGTGTAACTTTTCTTGAGGGGACAATATTATTGCTTTGCCTGAAATGCTCCACAGTAGGGCAATTTTACCATTTCTCTATCTCCATGGAGACAGAGATGACTCCTCTCACAGTAAAAAAAAAAAAAGCATGGCTACAAAAATTGAATTGCAAGGTCAATAAATAGTTTTGAAACATATTCAATGATATTATAGACAATAATAAGCATTCATAAAATAGTTCATTGTTATGGAAATGATCCAAATATTTGCTCCCGGTGAAAGTCAGATATGTATCCCGTGTGTCTCCAGGTGGAATCTCAGCTGGTGTTTGTCCAGGAGAACTTGCAGCACATCTTCCAGCTCTATCGCCATGGAAACCTGTCAAATTTGGGTTGGGATGTGAGAGGCTTCCTGACCTCGCTGGACAGACAAGTGGACTGCCTCCGCCCATGTGTAAGCCCCGCCTCTCTCCCCCACACTCTACTACACTTTTATAGTTAGTTTTTAGAAAAGACCCAAAACTGACTGATGTGAGCTTTTGTCATGTTGTAATGTCTCTCCACAACAGATCTGGACTTGTGTTTGTGTTTTGTTCACACATGTTTGTAATCGTGCATTATTAGGACATGCCAAAGCTCAAAATGCTCCGTTTCAATTTGTGGATTAAGACTTGTGGATTGTGGATTAATTCAGGAGTGGTTTTAAAGTTAACTGCTACTTTAGGCTCAATTTAATTGCTTTACTCTACAATACTTTGGAATACCCTGAAGATGTTGTTTTATTTTATTTTTTAAAATTCAAGTCTCTAATATCAGATTGTGGACTGAGGAGTAAATCAGTTTCAATGAGGCAAACACAATAGCTGTAACTTCAAAGTTAGGCAAATCCAAGGAAATTAACAAAATTAAACTAGTGAAGGTGTATGGAGTTTAAAACACAGTGCACCTCCTGTGTTTGCTGACACTTGATGACATCACAAAGCGGAACAGAGGTTTTTCAAAAACTCAGCCTAAATATGCAGGGTTTGTGTGTCCAACATGTGCAAATGAAACAAAACACAAGTCCAGGTCTGTTTGTGAAGAGGAAACAGAATTCTAACAAAACAGTGCAATACAAGTCCTATAATGTATTGTGCATTTCAGGTCTCCACGAATGAGAGTGAGCATTTGGATGTGAGCAGATATTACCACCGGCTTCACAATGCCACACAACACGCTGTAAGTGTATTGAAAATAGCAACCTACATCAGTTTCTCAATACATTGTGTGCGACTGTGCTCTGCTCTGTCTGAAACTCTGTTAATCAGTAGTATCAATAGTTACATAACATTAGTTTCTTGGCTATAGATACAGTTCTTTTTTTTAATACACACCAATACATACACCAATTTAGGCCTGGAATAGTTTTTGTTATGTTTTAGACCAGATCTGGGGATATAAAGAACAGTGAGTATCATTTCAAACTCCCCCCATCCCATTGTGTACCGTCCTGATTACACCCACGTGTTTCTCATTCCAACACATGACACGATCAGCGCAGTAGTGATGAGAGGTCTTGCAAGTGATGAGGGGACTTGCAAGTCATGACTTGGACTAGAATCAGACTTGAGTCACTATTTCTAGGACTTAAGACTTGACTTGATAAAATGGACTAAGACTTGACTTTGACTTGAAGGTCAGTGACTTTTGACTTGACTCGGACTTGAGGCCTGTGACTTGAGAAGACTTGAGAAGCACTTTTAAATCTGAATTTGTTCTATTAATGTTCTGTAATGATTCACTCTAAGATCTTATCAAGACATTTAAAAAGGAAAAATTTGCATTTCCACAACTCTTATATATTCTGTAAATACTCATATATAAATATACTGTGACTTTAAAAAAACAATTTATCATAAAAGTCATATAAATAGCAAAAATCAAAGCTATATTTGGTACTCTAGTTTAAAGACTTGAAATGACTTGAAGCTCAAAGCAGACAACTTGGACTTGACTTGCATTTGACTTGGAACTTGACTCAGACTTGCACTTCCTATATGACCACATGACATCACATGGTTTTCTGTTTGAGAGAAGAAGTGCTAAATCTGCAGGGTTTGTGTGTTAAACATGTGTGTGAAACAAAACACAACTCCATGTGTGGTTGTGATGAGGAAACCACATTATATTAGATCAGAAAATAGTCCACTATGGGCCCTTTAAATGACTTTCCTTCACTACATAGTGTGCTTCTTATAGTAGTAGTAGTAGAAGTTTAATGCCATAAGGTGAAACATTATAGGCAAAGCAATAACTTCTTCATGAAGACAATCAGGTACCACAAAAGTCTATCAGGACTTCACTGATAAAAATGTGTATCCATTTCTCTTATTTAAAACGTTTGATCAATTCAGTGACTTATTTCCTCACAGAGGAGACGCTTGGTGCTGTGGCAAAAGATCAACCACATCACTCGAATTCACCTGCACCGCCTCAACATTCTGGTCCTGTCCATCCGAGACCACTAGGGGTCACTATGGTAGAGAGACTGCACCTAAACGCAGCAAAATGAGCCATACCAGAGACCGGGCCCTTGAACGCATCATCGGCAGAAGAGCAGTACCTGAACGCACCACTAGAAGACGCCACACACTTGATCACTGACATTGAGCCATTCCATTTCATTATTTATTTCATTGTTTATTTATTTATTTATTCATTGAATTAATTATTTATCTATTTATTAAAATCTGTATTGATGCTTTGCAGCTGATGTCATCAACAGTCCCTGGGGGTGTGCTTCACTGTGCTCTGTCAGAAGCTCCACTAAACTTTAATCTTTCTTTTAACACAATCTAAAAGAAAGAATTTATTTAGTTGGAACTACAACAGCTGATGATTTTTGCTGTCTCTCACACACAAATAACAGTTTTTTCAGTTCATCTGCTGATCATTCTGCCATAGGCATACATGCAGAACACCCCCAGTGTGATGTCACTGCAAAGTGCCCTGTAAAGACCCCTGTTAAAACTATTTTTATATATATTTTTTATAAATTAAATGATGCTGGAACAAATATTTATCAGTTGAAGCTTTTCTCTCCCATCAGTTCTGTCTAAACTTATTGCGAGAGTGTCCTGTCCACAAAACTAGGATTGAAACTCAATACTCATTTAAGCAAGTGTCAATGATAAGTCCCATTCACAGGACAGTTATGCACCTTTTCTGAATAACTTTTGAATGATCTGGATATATCAGAACCACACTGCATGGACATAAGTTGGATTTAGTTGAGTCAAAGCTTGGTTCAGTGTAAAAAATACTGTATTTTTTAGAAGAATCACAGACATATACAAAGAATGCACAGTGGTCACAGTCAGTCCATACCAACATTATTACAATAAGACTGGCAGATACAGGTCACTGGATCAGCACCACAGTACTGGGCTTTATACACTGATCGTTAGAGATGGGTAGAGACAAAGACTGTATTTAAGTAAGAGTAATGTTACTCAAGTGGAAGTACAAAGAAGTGATCCAAGAAATTACTCAAGAGTAAAAAAGTATTTGGGAAAACTACTACAAGCCATTAAGTTAATGTTATTTGAAGGACAAAACATTAAATAATGTATACAGTCTTTCAAAGGACAGACACAAAACTGAGACAAACTAAATCATATCTGAAGGCGCGGTGCAAGAAACACAAATGTTCCAATCATTTCACATTGTCAGCATAGTGTGAGGAGTAACCAAAACTTAATGTTACTTGCTTTTACTTCAATAAAAAAATATTACTCAGGTAGGAGTAAAAGTATGCTGCTAGAAAAGTACAATTTCTTTAAAAATGTACTCAAATAAATATAACTACTGCCCACCTCTGCTGACTGTGAAGGCAACACGAGTATGGCACACTTAGCTTTGGTCCAGAACACAAACACGACCATCAAAGACACACACAACTGCCATGGTCACGCACCTACTGACACTGTCCACAGTTCACACCCTAGGAGACACAGGACTCACCACAGGGACATACACCAAAGGGGATCGTGGGACAAGAACTAGAGCCACAGGATCTTGCCAGATAAAACTGTCATGAGATTGTGCACATGCGAGGACAAAAAAGGGTTAACATTGCTAATGCCGAAACATGGAGCCTGAATGTACCTGCATTTTGCCAGAACAGTCATAGAAATGACCAAGAATGTCCAAGGAATGTGTATATGTGAATATAGCCAGAAAATGCTTAGTGGTAGATAGTCATAATCCGTAGTTCTGGTTTCCATTGTAATGAACAAGGCTAAAATGTTTTTGTCTGTTTTATATAATGGTGTAAGTTGAGATAAGTATTTAGGTGACAAATGTATTTTTAAAATTGCTAAGATGTCTCCCGAGTGCTCTGACTTACTGGGAACTATGTGTGAATGGGACTTAAGTTATATTATATAGTTATAGTTATATAGTTATATGCAGAAGTAATAGTTCCAAAACGCAATGCTATAATGACAAAAAATGAAACCAAAATTGTGAACTGAATCAAAATGACTTAAAGGTGCGCTGTGAAACTTTTCTGGTGGAAAGTTCACTATCTGTTGATCTCAATGGAAATGTTCCACTGTATGGCATTGAACCTCTGTCTCCATGGAAGTAAGAACCACATGGCCAAGTTACAAGTCAGATCTATGAAAAGGCCACTGCAGAATGTATGTCTTTAAGCCATTTTTAGCAAAGGCAAAGCAATTACATCTTCATGGAGACAGATGTCAGACCCTCCACTAAAACTCTCCCTTTTTTCCACTAATCTTGTCTTCGTCTCATGGACCCAGTCTAAAGGCTTGTGGGAACTGTATCTCATTGCACACTTTTTAACCAGTAAACCACTAAAAACACAAAGGCGCTGGTTGTGTATCCAGGGAGGTTGAAGACACTGTTGGCTGCTGGGGTTTCTGGGGCTGGAGCTCCAGTGGGGCCTGGAGGTCCTGGGTCACTGTGAATAGGAGGTGACCCAGTGTTTCTTCCTCTGCATAGAGGGGCTGTGTTGGATGAGGAAGCCGTCTACGTCAGTGCAACTGTGGCGGGCTGCCCGGGTGCTCACGGTGCCCTGGTGCAGAGTGGCAGGCCATGGTCCACGTCGCTCAAAGAAACCACACTGAGGACACAGGGGAGCACAGGGTTCATCTACAGCTACATCTACAGCCTGATCAGAACTGGTACGCTGTCATTTACTCTTAAAATGCAACTGTCCTGGGCCAGACTGATAGAGCAAGGCTGCAAATCTGTGTAAGCAGCCCTTCTGACCAGTCACACACATGTTTTTCGCTGATTTGAGCTAACTTAAATGCTCTTTAGAATAGTTGACTGCACACAAATTGTTATCCTATAGTTTGGATATGATGCTCCAACAGTGATTGCTTTCTTTACCTACTTTAGTTACTACTCCTCCTACTACTACATTTGTGTTCATATAACTATTTGACTCAATTTTATGAATTTACTACAAACACTGTTACTGTCAATATGCCTGGCCCATATTCAAATGTGTATAGAAGAAAATAAACAGCAGCGGCTGTAATGAAATATGATCGCACTTGTTGAGTGTCAGACCTTGAGTGAGAGACAAGACCGAGTCCAAAAGCGAGTCCGAGACGAGAAACGGTGATCTACCCACACGACCTTAGCGATCGACTGGTAGATAGTGATCGACGTATTGAGCACCCCTGGACTAGAGCATACATACCTTCCAGAGCAGCAGGCAGATGAGAGCCAGCACAGAGACCCCTCCCACAGCAGACAGCACAAGGACTCCGAGTGGAGGGCTGGGAGCCACAGGGAGGGACAGGTCTGGGAAGACTCGCACTGAAAACTGACACACACATTGCAAGGGTTTGTACAGTACCCCCTGGCATACATTTCTTATTAAGCACAATAGAAATTTTACAAACCCCCACATTACCCCCATACATTGTTTAATGTATAGACTAGTTAGTCCATAGAAAGCCTATATGGGAGGAGATCACTGTTGCATTATTTGCTATAGTCAACTATCCCAAATAGAATTAAGAATTGTACCTTGATTGGAGTAATGTTTTTGTATTTCAAGTACAAATTCTCTACTCCAATCTAAATAAAACATTTCTTCAAGATTAAAAACATATATTTTTTTCTTATTTAAAAGCAACAACACTTTCTTGTGATCTGTCTAATAACTTGCAACCATATGGGATGTGTAAAATGTCATAGTTTTTCTCTCATTTGACTCTTTTGCAGTCTGTTGACTGAAGTTTCTCCCCATGGAGTGACCGGACTTGGACAAAGTCTGCAGAGCTTGGTTCTCCCTGAGTCTCACTGGGCAGGACACAGGCTGTGCTCTGAGCCTCAAACAAGTGGAGAGGTCTTAGTGAGCTCTTTACCCATACTTTGCTCTGCTTAGCTTTGCTTCTGTTTTATTCTAAACATGGTCACTCTGCTACAGTCACTTTTCAAAGATGTGCTAATAGTGAGTAACTTCAGTCTCTTGTTAATGGTTTGTGGAGCCACACTGGGTAGCCCTGGCTTTATATACAGATTACAATGTAGCCTAATCCCAACTGCTACTGCTTTGTCCTGTTTCTGTCTCAGTGTTAGGGGCAGAGTCCCAAACGGCTGTCTGGTCTAGCGGCTGTCGGCCATACTATCAGCAGAGGGTGCTAATACGATAATTTGCTTATTTGTCAACCATAAATTGCATGTGCCTAAAAGTCCAGGGCTGTTTTTGGTCCCAGTCCATCCCTGCTCACTGTGTACAGTTTAGTCCAAAACACAAATCTGAAAGTGATTTCAGTCACTCTTTACATGGAATTGACCATAACATACCGTTCCTCAGTGAGTGTTTGGAGCACTACATCTACTTTGGATCTGTAGCTGTTCCAAACAGACTGCATAAACATGAGCTGCAACTGCCAAGCCTGTGAACAAGTGTCAGTAATGGCAGAAAGCTCAAAGCCAAGGGAACAGATTTGGTGAAACTCGTGCCAAGACTTGCACATGTGTATTTGACAGTAGATTGGTTAGAGTCATTCCTGGGAAAATGGGCCATAACAAAATATACATCTCCATTATCTCCATTGTCTCCATGGAAATGAAAAATTATACAGTGCTCCTTCAAGTGAAATATCACTTTCCATGTTACTTATCTACATGCATCAAGAGAATAATAATATATTTTATTCAATCTATTTGACTTTTTATGATCGATTAATGCAACATACATACTTTCTTTGATAAAAGTTCATTCTGTCTTCAGTTTTAAACTTAGAAATAGGCATTCTTTTTGTTAGAGGGGAGAGAGTTTACCTGCTTTATTTTGTCTTTAAATAAATATGAGAATTAGTACCAACACTAGAGTAAAAAAAAAAAGTAATATATGACAGTTAGGGGGCACTATACCTGAACACTCTGTGGCTTCATGTTCACAGCAGGTTGGTCTGTTTGGAGTTGCAGAGTGGCCCTTCCAACAATGGTCACTGAGCTGGCCTCCACAAAGTCCTGTGACAAATCAACACACAAGACACAAGCTCAGCACAAGCCCAAAACAACCTTGTTTTGGCAGCAGAGAAAAGGCTATCACAAAGACATGGATCACATAGAATCAATCAACTATTTGCTGTTAATTTGACACTAAACTGAGTCTAATCACTAATATAAATGGGACAGATATACCAAAGGATGTATACCACATTTTATCTAGATTCATTCACATCAGCTAAGTCTTGCCAAAAGACACCATTGGTGCCTCACTGTGTAATCTCCCATCCAAGTACTAACCAGGCCCAGCCCTCCTTAGCTCCTGAGATCAGGAGCTAAGGAGGGCTGGATCACAAGGAGGTTTGTCCACAAAAGCCATGTGCATGCACTGTGTCTATGGTAAAGACCACACCTGTACAGTGTGTATGCTAAAGCGCATGGTACCTCCAGAAAAGTGCTGTTCCAGAGGCGTGCTCTCACGCTCAGGGTCACAGTGTGGTTCATGTGGATGAGAGGACAGTGCACCCGCACACATCTGGCCCCCAGCTTACAGCTCTGCAAAACATCATGTGGGGAGTACTTAATTACATGTACTTGAGCAAATCAAAGTTATACTTCTCAAAGTAGTTTTCAGACACCATATACAGTACAGTTAGTACAATACAGTTACTTCAAAATTATATTATTCAAAAAGGAGTACAAAGTAATGGTCCAAGAAATTACATAAGTAAGATTGAAAAAGTATGTGGGTAAAACTACTACTCAAGTAAAGGTAATGTAAAGAGTAATGGTCGGGATGTAATATCTGATTTATAATTTGAAGTTCATTTGAAGGACAAGACAAATAATGCACAAAATCTGGTATTTTCAAATCATACAATAGTGAACTACTGCATCCAAATTATTTCCTTGTGGATGAATAAAATTTGTCAAAATCATATCTGAAGGAGTGCTGCAAGCAACACAAATGTTCAAATCATCTCAAATTGTCAACATAAAACTTTTTTCACTTGCCATTTTATAGATCTGTGGTCAACTCAATGTACACTGCCTTGTCTCTGTTGTTTTTGATTTATAGATCTGCATCGAGGTCTGTGTGGTGCAAATTAATTCACTGCCACAACTCCAGGAGGCTAGGATTTTAAAATGCCATTCGTGTTACAAAATGATGCGGAAAAGCGGAGTACTGCAAAAGTATGTAGAGCAGTGGTAGAGAGGATCAATCACAGCCCTTATTGTCTACGTTGCTTTCCCCTGCTGTGTGCGTCTGTTCGATGTGTAGTTACAACATTTTGGGGGTGCATGTCAGATGACTCAGAAGCTCTGCAGAGGGGTTCAGGGGGTCACGATGCAGACTCTCTGCATCGTGACACAGAAGATTTGACACACAACCATAAATTGTGTTTTACTCACAGTAGGAAGAGGAACCACAACTTTTACTCAAGTACTCAGTAAAAATATTTTATGTTGCTAGAACAGTACTCTGAAAAGTACAATTTCTTAAAGTTACTAAAGTAGATAGTAACTGAATAAATGTAACTGAGCACTATCCACTTATGATTAAGTAATATATTTCACAGTGTAACAGTACTGTCAGTTGAGTACTTGAGTAAAACAGTTTTGTTCCTCTTCCCATTGTTAGTAAGCTTTATGTTGACAGTATGAAATTTCTTGAACATTTGTGTTTTGCAGCACTCCTTCAAATATGAGCTACAAGCCTAAGAGCAGCCTTCTGTACCAGTGTGGGGGATGTCCTTCTGGGGGAGTAGAGGTGGAGAATTGGAGATACTTTTGTCGTTTCCTTTTCTTCAAAATCCTGTTCAAGATTCCTCTTCTTTCTCCGCACCTCTTCCTCATCTGAAACCTGACCATTCACATGTTACAAATCTAAGCATCAGATTCCCCAACCACAAATACACAAAGCGCCTTTTTCAAAAATAGGGAGTTGAGTAAATGGTAGTTACCGTAAGTCTGAGAGGGTTGAGTGAGTGATGGTTACCGTAAGTCTGAGAGGGTTGAAGTAGTTGTTACCGTAAGTCTGATTGGGTTGAACTAGTAGTAGTTACCGTAAGTCTGAGAGGGTTGAGTAAGTGATGGTTACCGTAAGTCTGAGAGGGTTGAGTGAATGATGGTTACCGTAAGTCTGAGAGGGTTGAGTACCGCAGATGGTGAACAGAATTCCACAGAGCTGCCAAGTATCTCAATCCGGCTAAGATACAGCAGCCACTTCCCACTGAACAGCTCCAGCGGCCAATCAAAAACCAGCATTAGATTACCCAGGTGGTGCAGAGATCGCCCACTTTTCTGCACCTAATATAATAAAATAAACAAACAAAAAAACATTTTCATGCAAGTCAATTAAGAGGCATGTCCTAAGCTATTGCTAGAGGGCCCACGTAATCCTGTCACTCTAACTCAATATTAATGCTGAGGAAAATGTGTAATATGTAATGTAATATGCATAAGTACATTATATACTGAGTCACTGTATTTACCTGAAAGTCAAATGTTACTAAAGAGCCTATATCGGAGGTCTTTTTAATGGCAGACTCGCCCATCACATGACCACTGAAGTAGATGGGGTCTGGAGGATTCAGCCTGTTCAGGGTAAGAAGAGAAAACTATAGACTTAACAAAACAATGAAGCGTTACAATTATGCAGAAATATGCAAATATTTAAAACCTAATATTTACAGTATGAGAGAAGCCTGCAGAGACACTTCCACCAACATGGAGACGGTGAGTGGAAACAGGTCCCACTGCTCGCTCAGGCTGAACACACCATACACATCATCAATGTTTTTCTTGTTTTGTTTTTTTTCTGTACCAGTTTCTACATTTCAGATAATATGGACCACATCAAATACAGTATATGGTGCAAGATATATGGAATTATGTAGCAAAGAGAACATTGAAATGACTCTGAAATACTAAACTAATACTAAACTAATTCTTTCTTTTACATTTTAGTTTCCTTCCTTTTGGCCTTCTTTCAGTGAGCTTCATGATGAAGTCACCTGAAATGGTTTTCACTTTAAGATGTGCCTTGTCAGGTCAAGGAATGTCAAAAGTTTTGAGTTATATTGAGTTTTTTGTCCATATATGTTAACTTCAGTGAGAATCTACAGTGTAAGTCTGAGGGGGTTGTGGCCATACCACCTTTTCAAAGCCTGATCCTGTCAGATCTCAGATCTGGATGATGGATGGGAGACCACTGGGAAAATCAGGTGCCACAGGGGGCCACCAGTTGTGTCCTTAGGCAAAGCACTTCACCCACATGGCCTAGTATGAAAGTAGTGTGTGTGTAAGAGATGGTGATCGGAGGGGCTGATGGTGCAGATTGGCAGCCAGCCTTCCATCACTCTGCCCCAGAGCAGCTGTGGCTACAACAGTAGTTCAGATAATTAAAACTGATAAAGGCCATATCTTTGGGAGAGTGTATGCACATCAGTGTATTGTTTTGTAACTGTGTAATGAGGCAGCACAGTATTTACATGACTGAACACATTAGAAGTTAATGTGAGCTGATGTGAGGCCATGTGCACAGTCTGAGCTTCACTCACGTGGAGAGCTGCAGCTGGCTTGTGATCTCTCTGCTCCTCAGACTGGCCTCAGAGGGCTGGAACCGAATCCACACCTCCACCTACAGAGTCAAAACTACAGTATTACTGGGGGACATAGACATTGGCCCTTATTTACTTACATTGTGGTGAAAAGCGTGTATATTTGTGTGTATATTTTGCATACAGCAGAGAGCGCGTGGTATGTATTATTCTGTGTGCAGAGCTCTGATCTTGCCATACACACAAGCAGCTCGTGATAAATGGCAACGTCATTTGAATGGAATGCTGCAAAATATTCATGTTTCACGAATAGAATATATAAAGATGTGGACTAAGTGAGTGTAACTTCACCCATAGTGTGTGGCTCCACTCAAATGAAGCTTGTGATGTTAGTGGTTATGGGGCGAATTTGGAGCCAGGCTCTATATTAGGAATATAATTTTTTTAACGGACAAAATGGTGAAAAAAAACAACAACAAAAAACCAGAATCATGTACAGCGGATTAATACGAGCATTTTCCCTCGGGATCTCTTTAAACATTGTATAGTGACAGATCCAAAATGAATGTTTCAAGCCTTATTAAAGTTACAGTGGCTCTCTATTAACAAAGTTAAATGCACCAATCTGAATCATTCATTTTACTGCACTGTAGTGTAGTGTAGTGTAGTGTAGTGTACTGACCATCAATCTGAGGTCCTCCATTTCCAAAATGTTTAGAAGTGTGTCCCTCAGTGAAAAAGGTTTGGACAGCCCTGCTCCTGCCCTCTATGATGAAGTTACTGTAGTTGTACTGGTTAGCTCACTAGTGCAACATACTAGAGTTGTTTTTCACTGGGAAGTTGATTCATAAAAAGAAGTGAAAAATGTTCCAGGTGCAGTGCTTCTGCTGAATGGAAGTTGCTTGTCTCTGCTCATACAATGGTTCTAAATGTCATCTTTACCCTGTCTCACTGACATGTACTACCAACCATGTCTCTGAGCCACAACTCAAGATTCCCCTACAATCACCCGGCTGTAGGCTTGATGATGGTGGTGAGCAGGCTGGAGTGTGTGGGGCTGCTACCTGCTGATTGGCCTTTAAAGGGTTTCCCAGGTCACAGAGCAGAGCCCTGCCTTCCACAGCGCACCCCACAGCCTGCAGTGCCCCCTGGAACAAGACAATGTGGAGATGGGGTGAAACCATATATCAGGGCTATTACTCATATAGACCATTATGTCTTTAATTTTGTTTATTGGTCGAGTATAGAAAAAACACAAATATTTATTCTAGGCTGTACAGAGACTGACCCATTCTCCATGTGCCATGTGTCATTCCTAGTTTTTACCTAATTCATTACATGTATCTTTTTAAAAAGCCCATATTATGCAATTTTCTGATATATAATGTTGTTTCCTCATAAACTAAAACATAGCCAGAGTGGTGTTTGGTTTCATCACACATATTTAACACACGAACCCTGCATATTTAGGTTGAGCTCTTCTCTCAAACAGAAAAGAGAAAACACTTGAGAAACCTTGTGACGTCATGCGCCTCTTTTTTTCTTTATTCATACACCATTTCAGCTTGCCAGTCACTACTGAACTAAAAGTTAAAGGAGCTGTTAACTTGAAAACTACCTCTACTTGATATGACAAGGTGGAACTGAGTATTTTGAGGTTTTAGAAAGACTAACAAAAAGGCTTACTCAAACATGTGTGAATGAAACAAAAAAAACAACTGCAGGTATGTTTTTGGTGACGTCAGTTTTGTGTAATATAGGTCCTTTAAAGGTGGATTAGGCAGACTTTTAGGTAAGACACTTGATTGTCTCCATGTAGATATTATTGTGCCATCTGAAATGTTCCACTGTATAACATCAAGCTCATTTATTACTTGTGGCCATACCAGCTTGTCAAAGCAGGGGTGGGCCTGGTTAGTACCTGGATGGGAGACCACTGGTCGCCAGTGGTAAAACTACTGCTGTTGTGTCCTTAGGCAAGGCACTTTACCCACATTGCCAAGTATGACAGTGGTGTATTATTATTATTATTATCATTATTATTATTATTATTATTATTATTATTATTATAAACTGATATATCTTGTTCTGAATGTTTTGAAGAGGGCATGACTTCTGCATTTGAGAAACTTGATACAAATGAGAGGTTACAAGGATGAAGGTTTCTCACACTCAGAATTCAGACAAAGTACAGAAGGGAATGGCAGCTCGGGGAAATGTTTATCACAACAAAATATGTCCCAGATAAATACAGTTGATTATTTTCACTAAAGTTAAAAGTTAATTTGACGACTTTACTGCAACTTCTACAAAATACCTTGCAATAGATTATGATATAATACTCCTATGTAATATTAATATCATCATCTGCAAATATCACAACAGGAAGACAAATATCAGAACAAATAAAAAACATAATTCCATATTTGACCATCGTGCTTCAGAGGAGTTGTACCTTGGCCCTTACTCCAGAGTAGACAAGAGAGGGAGGGATGGTGACGTTTAGGGCGACATTGTGGGCGTCCTCAGCAAGTCTCCATGGTGACAGGGTGTTGTAGCTGTTGTCTAGGGGTCGCCATGGAGATGAGACTTCGTGGGTATGGTTGACTGGTTTCCATGGTGATGGCAGGTTGGTGACATTGATGTGAAGGAGCAGCAGATTCAGATTGGAGTCCAGGACCAGCCGCTGGTGCCCCTCTGCCACACTGAGACACAAGAGTGATTGTGCTCTTGAAGGTACATTGCACAAAATAAATATTAACATTCTACATTTGTTGAATGTTTCAGGGTCTTTCTAGATTTGTTTCTATTGATTCTTTGCAACTGATGTCGTCAACATTCTCTGAGGGTGTGATGCTAACTAGGGCTTTCGTGGTTAGGGAATTGTCTATAGCAGCTGCACCCCCTCCCCATCCCCCATCCCTCTGAGTTACAAAACTATTTTGAAAACTATCTGTGATGATGCGCTTGTTGCACAGATGCACATGTATCTTAGTTGTCGCTTGGATAGAGTGTGTGTAGCATGGGAGAAGTAACATTTGGCTTTGAAACAAGTGCTGCTGCCATTTCTCCAGCTCTCACTGTGGCAGGTCGGGGTCAGAGTCCTGCACCAAGTCAGGCACCCGCGGACTTAGAGAGAGAGAACCCTGAGCCAGCAGAGCAGAGTGTCCGTGAAATGCACTCGGGCAACGGCTGCACTTACCTCCGTGCGGCGAGGAGCTACGCCTCACCCAATGGTCTACATGGGTGGACCTTAGTCCTGGTTTAGTCCTGGGTTAGTCCTGGGTTATCACGGGCACGGGCGGTAACGGGTAGAATGTTAACGGGTCCAGGCTGGTGCGGGTCTTTAACAATGGACCCATGCAGGACTCTGGGTCGGGTCACGTTGGTCACGTGCAGTGAATATGCACCGCGGTGGGCCTCTTAGTACCACGGTGATTAAATTTTGTGGTTATCGTGACAGCCCTAATGCTAACTGTAAGCACTGCTCTGTCTGAGGCCTGTTAGTCTTTATTCTGAGTTTTGCTCTAGCAAAATCTCACCAGAAAGTGCTGACTTCGCGGAACTACAACAGGTGAGCTAATTTGTGCTGTTAAACAAGTCCCTCTCAAATGACATTACACTTAACTAGTTAAGTCAACTTTTGTTGAATACCTAAACAGGACAATGAATGCTCATTGCTCCTGAAAATGTGTTGTTTATATCAATTTTGTATCTTTTCTTGAGTTTTCAGATAATTTATACAAATTTAGCAGTGTTTTTGTCACCATGGTAATATACCCCCAGCGTGATGTCACTGTCTGCAACTTTGCAATGTACAGTATTGATACCTATCATTACATTACTTTGAATTTTGGCTAGCCACCCCGTCTTGCATTCATTTGATTGAATTGTCAACAGAGCCAATACACTGGTGGACTACAGGAATTCACGGTGTGAATTTGATTGATACTGTAATATCAATCTTAAGGCTTAAAGCTATTTCTACTAACAACAACTTTCTGAAACATTGTATAAATTAAGCTCTCTAACTGCTGAGATATTAACCATAGACCAGGACAAATATAGACAATGGCCATGTTTACATGATGTTTTTAAATTCCAATTTCATTACTCAGAGTTAATTAATTCGGAATTAAATTATTCTCGTTTGGGTTTACATGGAAATAATAATTCTGAATTAAGGTTTACATGGAAGACAGGTTAAATCAGCTTTATTTAATTCTGGTCAATGTCTTGGGGTGGGAAAGGGTTCTGACTAGACAGGGACATGAACGTCTTTACGTTGACTGAAAGAAACACACACTTCAGCTGCTACCGACTTTTTTGTCATCTTGGTTTGTTGTTACGCGTGTGGGGATATGTACCACTGTTCACCTGCACATACAAACTGAGGAACGGTCCAAACCCAGACTCTGGAACCAGCAGGAGCAGCTCTGGTTCAGGTCGGGCCCAGATCAGCTAAAGCAGGGAGTGGTGTTAGGTGATTCAGCCTGAGAAGCGTTTTCCCCGGGAAGAACCAAGAGCACAGAGGATGGATGCTCGAAACAACATAACGAATCAAACGGGATTCAAGTTTCTCTCCGGATGTTTGGACCACCTCAGTACCAGCCGAGCTCCTCGAGCACAGAGGACAAGAGCAGCCCGGCCAGACCTGTAGTCCACAGCGCATTCTCACTTTCGCCACATGGATCCAGTAGTCTTGCTCACCCCCGTCTGGACCCAGCACATGGAGGACGGAGCCTATGGACCTGTCTGACCAACCCGCTTGGAGGATGACACAAGACTAAGGAGGGGCTGCTCGCTATGGCGAGTGCTCCTGTGGTTTTAATAACTTAACTTTTGATAACATGGGATGAGGACGGCTCGTGGTGTTAACAGGGAACCTCGGTACCTTTCGTAATTACATAGGCACCAGGAAACGGAGGTACTGGGGACACAAACATGATACAAACTTTTTCACCATATTGCAGTGCGTCATCGCATCAGAAGGGTGATCCAATGTGCATGCACTGAACAACCGGAATTATTTTTTAAGTGGAATAAACGTTTACATGATCGCGGAATAAATTTATTTGACTTTAAAATTTGAATAAACCACCCACTTAATTCGGATTTAAGTTTAATTCAGAATAAGATTATTTCCAAATAATCATTAGGAATTAAGTGTTTACATGGTCTTTTTAAAGCAAAATAAATGTTTTATTCCAAATTTAATTATTTTTTATTGGAATTAAAGCTCTCATGTAAACGGGACAATTTTGAAATGTTGGGATGTCATGTAAACCCAACCATGTGCTACAAGAATTCACCAATGGAACAATTGTAATTTAGCAGCAGCTTACATCTTATGTTGTATTATGATCACAGTTTGAACGTCACAAGGTTAGTCCTTATTGGTGAGTTCCAGATGACATCACAGCATTCTATAGGCCAGTGTTATTTAATACAAATGGGGGGCAGCAAAAATGAATATTGTTCACTGCAGATGCTTGTTGTAATATAGAATGGTCTTAGGTCTAGTAAGTAATAGAAATGATCAGGTTTTATATTTGGGAATTTACCTTTCCAATATTTTGTGTCAAAATACAGCAACAGGAAAAACTGTCTCTTGCCCCCATAAGGCATCCTTGGACTAAAACTGTTTGAAACCCTGGTACAAGTACTTACATTTGGTATGCATGAGTTGTACTCACGTGTCCAAGGGCCTTTGTCTATCGTCAGTGAACTGCGCAGTCATCTGCAGGTTACTATGGCAACGGTTGTCATTTCCACATGCCTTTTGAATATGGATCTGTCAACATATTTCATACATGGACTTTTTTATTCACTACAGCCACACATATACCTAATAATAACAACCTCATAATAACTAGTATATCTACCTAATGTAAAAAAGACTTATTCCCTGTCTACTTAAAATGTCCAGTACCAAATTTGAGTAAAATTCTTCTTGTCCCATTACAGATATATCAGAGGAAAAAAATAATGTAATGAATTTATGAAGAAAATGTTGTATGTTTGTAATCTTGTGTGTAACCTTTTGCTCCCAGGCAGGGCTGCAGTCAGGGGGAGGTGGGGCATGTGCATGGCTGCCTGTCTGATGGGACCAGTCATGACGTAGGTTCACACTGTGATGGTGTCTTAAGTGGACAGATTGGCTTCACATGATGTCAGTTCATTTTTAAAAGGGAAAACCACTTTTTTTTTGTGGTTCAATATAGAAAATAAATCATTATAGATTTTTGTGAGCTTTTTGTCATGTTTTAATCTTGTGACCTCCTCAAAAACACACCTGGTGTGTGTTTTGTTTCATTTGTACAGCTTTGAGTAAAGAGGATAATAATAATAATAATATTGATGTGAAAAAGTATTCAATTGGGATATTCATAGACTTAAAGAAAGCATTTGACACAATGGGCCACTGCATACTCTTACAAAAGATACAAAAATACATAATCAGAGGAATAGTTCTAAAGTCTTATTTAACAAACCAAAAACAGTATGTGCAATGAGGACATCACAAATCCATGTGTGATACCATTGTTTGTGTTGTGTTTGTCCACGGGGAGCTGTGCTAGGCCCCAAATTATTTCTTTTAAATATAAATGTCTTGTACTTAGTTACTGAAGAACTTAAATTAGTTCTCTTTACATACAACAATTGTGTGTTCAGGCGGGGACCTTCAACGTTTAGTAATTGAGGCTACACACGAAACTGAAAAGTTACAAGTGTGGTTTTCCAAAAACAGTTGCCTCTAAATATCATGAAAACAAAAGCAATGTTCTTTCGAAACCATGAAATAAATCCACACACAAATTAAAATGAATAATGTAACCACAGAAAAAGTACATGACCACACATTTCTTGGTGTAACTCTTAGGTTGTCATTTTGGGTGTTTTCATCATTTAAGTTTCCTTCAAAATATACTCTACAGTCATATACAAACCTCCAAAGTTTTATTGATGATTTTACTAAGATGCTTTCAGTCAACATGCACAGACTTTGATGGTTTAGTCATTACAGGTGATTTTAATGTATTTTAATGTGAGTGAGGTACTTTTTGGACATTATTGGAAATTGCAGTAACAACTCTTGTGTCCTGTTTGCAACAGTGAACAGATGAACAAATCCTCCAGCTCCAGTGCCGTTAGAACTAATTTCCACATCTAAGTGCAGTATTCTTTAATGACAAGGCTCGGGGTATCAAAATGCATCAATTCCACAACTCAGAATAACTTAGAGCTGAGACACTTTGCACCTTGCAGAGATCGTCACCAATCTAAGTTCATTTACATGCTGCCTAAACAAGCTACCCACTAGATTTCTAAAGTCCGTCCTCAACAGTTTGCTTTCATCACTTGCTCACACACTTCACATGTCACTTCAATCTGGAAAATTTCAAGAGCTCTGAAAACTGTGGTCAGTAAGCCTCTCCTAAAGTAGAGCAGTCTTAATGCCACAATTTCTGACTCATCTCAAATTTACTGTTTTTTGGCAAAGTCCTTGTAAAAGCTATTTACCAACAGCTTACAAACTTTCTCCAAATAGACAACTCCTTAGATGTTTAACAGCCAAGTTTTAGAGCCCACCACAGCAGTGAGACTGCCCTTATCAAGGTGACAAATGACAACCGCCTGAACACTGATGCAGGCAAAGTCTCAGTCTTGATCCTGTTAGATTTCAGTGCTGCTTTTGATGCTGTCGATCATGGTTGACCATCATCTCTTATAGAGACTAGAGGACTGGGTGGGCATCTCTGGTATTGCACTAAACTGGTTCAAGTCCTATCTAGAAGACAGAAAGGATTTTGTTGAAATTGGAAACTGTGTCTCAGATCACATGGCCCTGACCTGTGGGAGAGCTCCAAGGGTCAATCCTGGAGCCCCTTTTGTTCAGTCTCTACATGCTGCCCCCTACAGGGCAGTTAATACACAGCAATAATGTGTCCTACCACAACTGTGCAGACGACACTCAGATCTATGTCTCACTGCAGCAGGAGACTGTGGACCAGTGGACTCACTCTGCCACTGCATCCAACAGATCAGACAAAACACAATTAATAGAAACAAAGCCCACAGAAACAAAGAGACAGTGTCAGCAGTCACCTCCAGTTTCTTTCTCTAAAACCTACAAATCAGGCAAGAAATCTCTGGCTAATAATGGACTCATACTTGAACTTTAACAGCCACATCAAATCAATAACATCTGCAGCCTTTTACCATCTAAAAAACATTGCAAAATCTAAGTTTTACTGTCTAAATCAGACTTGGAGAAACTTATCCATGCGTTTGTCTCCAGTAGGTTAGACTACTGTAATGTTCTGCTCACTGGTCTCTCCAAATGAGCTGTGAGACGCTGCAGAACATCCAGAACGTTGCAGCTCAGGTCCTGACTTGAACCAGGAAGTACGAGCACATGCATCCTGTGCTCAGATCTCTGCACTGGCTTCCTGTGGCTCAGAGAATAGACTTTAAAGCGGCTCTGCTTGTGTACAAGTCTCTCCATGGCCGAGCATCAAAGTCCATCTGTGACATGTTAGTGTCATATGAACCATCGCACACTCTGAGGAGCTCAGGGTTCGCCTCCTGCTGGTGCCCAGAGTCACGACTAAACAAGGGGAGTCAGCGTTTCAGATTCATGCAGCTAAAACCTGGAACTGTCGTCCTGAAAGTGTGAGACAGACTCTTCTTTAACGTTGTTTAAATCCAGTTTCAAAACAGTTCTGTTTAGCTGCATATGACTGAAAGGTTTTAATTTTTTATTCAGCACTCTTCTCTCTAATTTAATGTCTCCCTCTCTCTTTAATTTCATGATGATTATTTATGTTTTGATTTGTTTGTATTGTGATTTGTATTTCTTATTCTGTAAAGCACTTTGAATTACTTTGTGTACAAATTGTGTTATACTTACCTTGCCTATATATAATATATACAATTTCTTGATTCTTTGATGATTACGGTTTGCAGATAATGAAAACCCAAATTTCAAGGTCTCAGAAAATTAGAACATTGTATAAGGTCAATAAAAAAGGATATTTTATACAGAAATGTCAGACTTTTGAAATGTTCATTTCTATGCACTCAATACTTGGTAGAGCTTCCTTTGGCATGAAGCTGGTCACCTGGTGACCAATGGAGGACTGGTCAGTGGGTATGAGACTCACCTGGTGTCTGACTGGAAGAAGGGGGTGACTGGTCACAGGAAATCGTCTCAAATCATACAGTCCATTGCGTTTCTCTGGGAGTTTTTGGACCATGGAGGCATTCAGAGAAAACACCAGAGGCTGGACTTGATCTCTTATTGGATTCTGAAAGAAAGGTGGGGGAGTAAATTTTTCTTTTTTCTTTTTTATTAAAATAAGGCAATATAATCGCAACATATGAAATCAAAAACAACATTGGCAAATATAAAAAAGAAAATTCTCTTTTGTTAGGCTGGTTTTTGCTCAAAGAATGGGACTTACACTTATCTTTTCATTCTTTTAAACAAAAACACATTTAACAGCTGAACTTATTTAAAATCACACCCTGCATCTTGATGTCATTGGAAATTTCCCTCTGGGACAATGTACTCATATTTATGTATTTTTTTACATGGCTGGAATTGTACTCAACTGCAAGTACAAGTAAAAGGTCCATATTACACTGTTTTCTGATCTATGATATAATGTAGTTTCATCACAGACAGACTTGGAGTTATGTTTTATTTCATTCACACATTTTACACACAAACCCTGTATATTTATTATTTATATTTATATTTTTTCTTATACTTCTCTCAGAGGGAAAAACTGTGCATCAGTAATTGTAATCATTTGTCTTTCCATCCCTGAATAGAGTGTGATTATATGGCTAAAGTCTAAAATTGTTTCGATAATGCTATGACTTCTATCTGGTCAGTAGGAAATGTAAATGTGTTTTGAAGCTGAGATGCAGTGGAGACGTTTCCTCACATGTGCTCTGTGTGCAGCTGACAGCTCTCACTACATTCTCCAGCTGTACGCTATAGAAATATTGTTGTTGTTTTGGAGAAGGAATGTCACAATATCACATTTTTGTGTTACAATAAAAAAAAATCTATCTATCTATCTATCTATCTATCTATCTATCAGTCAGAAAAAGCACAATATGGGCCCTTTAAATTATATATATGTATAATTTAAAGGGCCCATATTGTGCTTTTTCTGATCTATGTTGCAGTGTTGTTTCTTCATCCAAAACATACAGCATACAGCTTCACTAGAATCATTTGGATAATTTCAATCCTTGTATTGCCAATCTCTACTGAACTAAAGGTAAAAGGAGGAGGTAGGACAGAGCATTTTGTGCTTTAGAGATTAGCGTAGACCAGGGGTGACTCATTTTGGTCTGGGGGCCGTATCCAACCTACTTTGATCCTAAAGGGGCCGGATCAGAAAACTCGTGACATACAAACCCCAAAAATAACAAGAAGTTCAAATATTTGTGCAGAGAAACACAAATCTATTATAGAACAAAGTGTTTTCTGTCTGAGAGAAGAACGCTCTTAAATAGTACAGTACAATAATAGAGGAACTTAAATAGTACTTGAGATTTACAACAGGCCAGGGTAACTTGTAATACCATAGACTTCTCCAGAGTTTGTAAGGTGACAGTGTTGTGTGTGTCCGTACCAGGAGACCGGCTCTGAGTGTGCGGCAGTGGGCTGTGGGCATGGACAGGAACGACCACACGTGGCTCTGTCCACTGCTCAAGAAGCTAACACGTGCCTTCACACTGGTCACATCTGCACTCACCCAGAACTGCACCGCTACAGCACAGGAGAGATGCTGTTAACTCTGAGTCAGGTTCATGTTAATGTTTGTTTTTTTTGAATAGCACCAGATCTAAAGCCAGACTATATCAGGCCTAAACAAGGTCTGAACATGGCCTAAAATGAAACTAAAGGAGGTCTAAGTCTAACCATGAATCATAATGTCTCTGCAGGGGGCCTCACATGGGTAAGAGATTTATTTGTTTTTAATTATTTATTTATGTGACAGGTTTGCATGTTTTCCTATTTGTTTGGTGGTATAGTTTTACAACAGTCAAAAGCAGTGTAAAAGGAATCGCTACACAGCTGCAGAGAAAACTGACCCAAGACAGACTCTGCGAACTAAAAGCTGCTGTCATATATTCTGTGTGTGTATGTGTATATTCATTGTCAAATAAAGAGGAACTGAGACTTGGCTCCTGTTTACAGCATTACATCTACACAAGTCACATCTGCTGTCTAACAAGGGGGAAAGAACTGACAGAATTAATATTTTTATTCAAATCTTTCATTTTGGAAATGGTGCCAAAATATGTTCCAGAGGTCATATGATCATACGTCTGCATATTAATTTTGCAAAAAACAATATTATTGTTTTATTATTATCACAGCATGTCAATTGGCTGCTGTATTTTGGGTAAGTCTCAATACTCCACAGAGCTCTTATAGACCTATCTGTATTAACATTAGCTTTGCCAGGTTATGGGGGAAAGGCATTTGGGAAAAATCTATAGATGAAGCTTAATACAGATAATATAAACCATTTTAACCATAAACCATTTTAATTAGATTGTAGACTAGACATTAAAACTGTTTTGGTTGTATCTCCTCTGAATGTAAAATGAAGGTCAAAGAAATGGTCTTTTTCTAGTGGTTACCATTGAGTTTATTTTATGAATGCTCTGGAAAAGCAAAATACAAGCACTCTCAGACAGCAAAGTACCTTTCAGTTACAGCACATTTTGTATGTCCTCATTTGTTCTGCTTAATGTTTTGCTCCTATTGTCTCATGTGACATCAGTGTGTGGTCTTTAATCTTGAGCCAGGGACACACAAGGGCAGGCGGAGGAGACAGACCACAGTGTGTCATCATCATGTGATTTAGCACCAGCAGAGGGCGAAGGGACAAACAGAACACACTGTCATCCATCTATCAACCAGCACCATCTCCAGCTCTGCTGCCTCTGTCTACCTTTTATTTTAAAAACAAGTCATTTATTTTAGATTTAATAGAGCCCTTGTTAGAGCCACTGTTAAAACCAGCAGCTAAAATATAAAAATCTGAATATATTACAAGCTCTTTGCAGCTTCCATTGTCCTTAATGTATTAAATTATTATGTGTATTATGTAAATATGTATGTTTTTGTAAATGTTTTAACATGAAATTACCTTTTAGTTTGATTTTCATTGTTTAGTTGTAATAGTTGTGAATGGTTAAACTAACCTGATTCTTACCTTGATGATAGGGTTGTCAAAGTATTGAAAATCAGATACTAATTGATACACAAACTAGTACTCATTTGAGCAAGTATCAATACTAAAAATGTCACATCAACAGGACAGAACTGAACCTTTCCTGAATGTCTTTAGAATGATCCTGAGCACAGAGACTAGTATGTGCCTACAAAATCTGCCTGAACAATTGAGAGACTACACAGATATAAGACTGCATGGTAATATACAAGAAATGATTACCATTTAATATTGAAAATGACAATGTACTGTCTAAATACTGTTTTGTTTTTAAATTATCATCATGGTATCGGAATCTGCATCAAGTCTATCCCTTCATATGGAAATACAGTTTAAAATGTTAGTATTGTTACAAAGCTATGCTAAACCACATGCTATGCTAATGTCCTGTGTTTGGATAAAGTCACATGAGGACAGTAGGTGTGAAAGCGAAGCAAGACTCACTGATGTTGTCTTCGTCACTGCTCCCTCCAGATCTGAATGTGTATGAAAAGCACACCTTCACACGTATGCTACAGGAGGGAGAGAGGAGGACAGGAGGAGGAGGAGGAGGAGGGGGAGGAGGAGGAGAGGAGGAGGACAGGAGGATAAGAGGAGGAGAGGAGGAAAGGAGAGGAGGGGGAGAGGAGAGGGAAGAGAGGAGGTGAGGTGGAGGAGAGAGGAAGAGAAAGGAGAGAAGGAGGAGAGAGGAAGAGGAGAAAGGAGGAGAGGAGGAGGAGAGAATATTTTAAAGTACAGCACCAGATTAGTTCTGCATACCTTTTATACCAGGGTGTCAATCTCATTTTGGTCTGGGGGCCATATCCAACCTACTTTGATCCCAAAGGGGCCGGATCAGAAAACTCATGTCATATAAACCCCAAAAATAACAATAAGTTCAAATATTTGCACAGAGAAACGCAAATCTATTACAGAAATCTTTTTAATTGATGAACTCTTTCTTTTACAAAATATTATAATATTATGAACAACCTGAATCTTTAAGAAAAATACAATTTCAACACAATGTTTTAACATTAACTTGAATGTAAATAAGAATAAGTCTATTTTTCTTGGAAAATCCTGCACTCGGCTCCACTTTTCTCATGTTGGACATTTTGTTGATGAGGGTCAACAGTCAAGACGATCGTCCTTTCAGAGCGTTTGGAAAGAGACAAGTCTTCATTTGTGCTGATCTGGTGGGAGGGGCCACACACAGAGGCACTTCGAGACGCTGCTGTGCTAAGCACTGCAGAAAATTTACAATATTTTAATAGAAAATATAATAAAAATATTTTTGTAGAAAATAAGCCGAGGGCCAGATTAAAGGTCTTGAAGGGCCGGATCTGTCCCCCGGGCCGTATGTTTGACACCTCTGTTTTATACCTTTTATAGTATCTACTGTATACTTGTGAATACAGATTTCACTTTAGGACCAGGAACCTTTATTTTACGTCATAATTACAGAGCTTTTAATTATGAAGCATTTATACACCATCTGCATTTAAATGCAAATTCTGTCAATGAATTCTGACCTGTCCTCCACCCCAATAGTAATGTAAAGGCTCTATAGAATGCTATGACATCACTGTCTCGAAAAGCTCTATAAATCCAGTGCAATATTATTAATAATTAATGCAGAGCAGTGGGCAGGGATAGGGAGTATCATTATAATGCCACGTTTTCCATAACATCTTCTCTGACATGAGAATCAAAACTTTACAATACTTTGGCACTATCAATATTTTATTGTATTTTATTCAATATTATAGTGACATCTATACTGTGAGTTGAGTGTACAGTGACGTCTGTACTGTGAGTTGAGTGTATAGTGATGTCTGTACTGTGAGTTGGGTGTAGGGATGTCTGCACTATGACTTGGGTGTAGTGACGTCTGTACTGTGAGTTGAGTGTATAGTGATGTCTGTACTGTGAGTTGGGTGTAGGGACGTCTGTACTGTGAGCTGGGATAATGACCTCTGTACTCTGAAGCTGTTTTCAGGCTGGTCAGAATGGTGCCAGTTCCCGCACCAGTTCGACTGTGAACTAAAGTGCTCACTGGTGAACGACCTGCGTTCCCGCCCACTTATATGAACCCGTGACGCGTCATCAACAGAGGGTGTGGATTTGCCACCAAATAAAAACAAGGTCATACGTAAATGGATGTCACAGGCAGGAAAATAACAATCATGGATCGCATCATCGACATCAGCGAGCATTTATACTCACACAAGTCATTATATATGGGCGCCAAGCTATGCTGCAACATCAATCTGCTGTGGAGAAGGCGGCAGCGACGCCCAAATCCAAAGATGTAGTCTTATCAGGCGAACACGGATACGTGCAAGATGAAGAGTATGTAATAGTTTTTGTAGACTTAAAACTTTTAATTTCATACGTGATAGTTTCAATTGCTCTTTGTTTGTTTATTTTACCTCGTGTGACCTGGAAGAACGTGCTGACGTCTTGTGTCGCCACTGTTCGCTTAGAAAAAACAAGTTTTACTTGGTTCCCGTTGGGAACCAACTTTTCAGTTCCCGAACGCTCTGATTTCCAGTGTGAACATGTGAGTTGTTTCAAGATTAGGTGCGGGAAACAGCACCAGCATAGTTCTCTGTCGGCCTGAAAACGCCTTGAGTGTACTGTGTGTTCTGACCAGGATTTGCAGTCATTTGGATCCACCATGTCAGGGCTCACTCGAAGAGTCTGGGTAAGCTCCACCACAGGACGAGAGCTAAGCAGGAAACAAAGTATTAGCATAGATTGGGATAAGAAGATCCATTTGATTACCATGTGAACGGGTTGACTGAGTCATAATCATTTCAGCGTCTGACTTTAGAGTTCAGTTTGAAGGTCATTAGATAAAGTCATGGCAAAAAAGTAGTCAACATACCACACATCAATATGCTTTATTATTGCAGCATGTTGACCCAATTTATGAACAATGTCAATTGAAGGCACTGTACCCAATGTTTTTCCCAGATATTTGAGCAAAATGCCCCAGTACAGATATACAGTATTGTATAAGCAGTTCCTGAGGTCAAAATACTGTATGTCCTCTGCATGCTGTCTGCATCTTGTAAGCAAGCATCCGATAATCAGGAAGTGCGTGTTAGTGTGATAGCTGTTGTTAGGATTAATGTGATGGCAAAACTTCCCACTGTTGTCTGAGTTGTGAAAACCACTTATAACCTCACTGAGGTGAATAATTAGGATGCTCAGAACGCATAAATTTGAAGAACTTTGGACCACTGCAGACCATTTAAAATTTTTTAATCTGGTACAGCGTTTAAGACATATTGTGCTTTTGTTGCTTTACAATTATAAAATATGACTGAGTTATAATATTATGTTTTTGATCTGAAATGACTTATAACAGTTAAAAGTCAGATGTAGTGTAGTAGTGAGGCTAAAGATCAGACTTGCACAGAGCTGAGCAGTCCATACGAGGTAAAATAATGAGTACACCCAGAGTCATTACCGCAGCAGCACCACAGAGTCATCCAAAGAGCCGATCAGGAGGTCTGGGTGCTGGTTCTGGTCCACGTCCTGAGCAGGAGCCAAAGAAAAGCCAAAGGTCCTGAAGAGAGGTGAGATACTGCTCCCATGGATCACCTGGACACCAGCACAGAGGAGCATGAGAGGTCATGAGAAAGAGAAGGAGGTGAGGGAGACAGGGACAAAGGGGGAGCGCAGGGGAGAGAAGGTATGATAATAATAATAATAATAATAATAATAATAGTGCTTTTTGGATGCTCAAACTAGTTTTACATAGCATTATTCATTCTTTTCACACTGTGATGTTAAGCCACAATAGCCACAGCTACTGTGGGACAGAGTGACAGAAGCGAGACTGTCAACCTGCACCATGGGGCCCTGCGACCTCCACCAGCACTCAGGCACACACCACTTTCATACAAGGCAATGTCAGCAGAGTTCCTTGCCTAAGAAAACAACAACAGTTTTTACTATTGGGAATATCAGGTGCTACTGTATAGTGAGGTACTGTGGCACCTGATATTCCCAGTGGCCTCCCATCCAAAAACTACTCATGCCCGACTTTGCTTAGATCTGAGATCTGAACCCCCTAAAGCTTTTGGACCTGACTTTCAGACCATTAAAGGTGTAGCCATAAATCCTTTGGCACAAAACTTTTATTAAAGCCTTTTCTTACAATCAGTAATGTCATTTACAATTTACTGCAAAAGGAAATAAACATGAGTATTCACTCACAGTGTGAACTGGTGTTACCTGAGAAGGCTGAGGGGGGACACCATTAGGTCCACTGTTAAAGATCATCACACTCCCAGTACCATGAAACGGAGCTCCCACCACAAAATCTGGAGAAGAGAGACAGAAAAAGAAAGAAAAAGAGAGAGAAAGTGTGTTTGTGTGTGCGTGTGTGTTTGTGTGCTTGAGAGTGTGTGTGTGTGTGTGTGTTTGTGTATATGTTTGTGTTTGAGTGTGCGAGTGTGTGTGTTTGTGTGCTTGAGAGTGTGTGCGTGTGCGTGTGTTTGTGTGTATATTTGTGTTTGAGTGTGTGAGTGTGGAAAAATGGCTCAGATTTTTTGATTGCAGTTAGACTGAAAAACCATACAGGTTTGTGTTTAAGACGACTTTACCCTGGAATCCATCTTGGTCCAGGTCTCCAGCTGCACACAGAGCCATCCCAAAGGCTGAGTGCTGAGGGCCTCTGAGCACCAGAGTGGGCCTGGAGTCAAACCTGCCTCCACTGTTCAGGTACAGGTACACAGCCCCGCCCACCTCTTGCTGCCTCTGGAAGAAGAAGGGTGCTCCCACCAGCAGATCATTCCACCTGAATGCAAACACATGTTATTGAAGAGCCTAAGTCAACAGGATTCTGTCACCTGGACGCACGTTTTGAGTAGGGAATACATGTGGCCGCTTACCTAAGCAGCTTCTTCAGTTCTGACAGGGTTCTGGTAAGCGACTTGAAGCTGGGGTATACAATTTTCACCCCATGGAATGAGTGAGGCCCTGTACCTTCATGTATTTGAGCAAAATTTGCCTTGCCCCTGCCCCTCTTGAGGTCAAATAATGTCCATGTACTGTCTGAGTCCATTTAGAGAGCATTTTATTGTTTGATAATTAGGAAATGTGCGTTAGCATGCTAGCTGTTAGAAATACTGTGATGGCAAAATGTAGCTCTTGTCTGAGCACAGCTCCAGTTGTTAAAAGTGCTTATAAACTAATCATTCGGATTCTCGGAATGCACAAGGTAAGTGAGAAATAACTAGAAACTATTGCAAAAATCTATTAATCTACTATTAAAAATCAGGTACAGCCTTTAACTTGTCCGTAGCTCTTTAAATCCTTTACCACATTGTTCATGTCCACATGCAGTCATTTACAGGCGCCTGCACCGCTTCAGACAGAGAAGTCAAACTGTGGTGGACTGCCTAAGCGCAGCCAATCAGAGCACTGCTTTCACCGCATACTTCTGGGTTGGTAAAAGATACAAATAATTTCTTATTAGCTGCATTGTCACATAGTCATACAGTGCCACTTTATGATAAAAGGTTCTCCTGCTATAACTGTCTGAAGGGAGGAGTCAACTACACTGAAAGTAACACACCTTGGATGTTTATGACTCTATGTGACAGTTCAAATGGCAGGATATGAACTATTTACAGTAAACAGAAAAGATAAAAAAGGCAGTGGTGTTGCTCTGTATCCACATAGTATCCCTAATTTGTAAATGTGTTGAAAGCAAATCAATAATTATGGAAAATATATAAAAGTCTTGGACAAAATTGTTGGTACCCCTCTGGCAATGAAAGAAAAATCTATAGTGATGATTGATAATGATGGTACCTTAACCTAATATTTTGTTGCACACCCTTTTGAGGCAAACTCTGCAAGCAGATGATTTCTGTCACTGTCAGTGAGACTTCTGCTCTGGTCAATGTGTATTTTGACCCACTCCACGTAAGCAAACTGCTCTATTTGTCTCAGGTTGAAGGGTTCCTTCTCCAGACAGCATGTTTCAGCTCATTTCACAGATGTTCAGTAGGATTGACATCTGAGCTCACAGAAGAACACTCCAGAACAGTCCAATGTTTTGTTCTTAGTCATGCTTGTGTGTTTTTATCTGTGTGTTTTGTTCATTATCCTGTTGGAAAACCCATGACCTACGACTGAGATCAAGCTTTCTGACACCAGGCAACACATTTCGTTCCAAAATACCTTGATAGTTTTGAGATTCTGTTGTATTTTGCACAGATTCAAGATGCCCTGTGCCAGACGCAACAAAACAGCCCCAGAACAAAACCAAGCCTCCTCCATGTTTCACAGTAGGGACAGTGTTCTTTTCTTGCTCTGCTTCATTTTTGCATCTGTGAACATAGAGCTGATGTGTCTTTGCCAAAGAGCTCCAGTTTTGTCTCATCTGTCCAAAGGACATTCTCCCAGAAGCTTTGTGGCTTATAAATCTGCATTGTGACAAATTTTCCTCTTGCAGTCACATCCAGGGAGGTTGGCTTCAGTCCTGTGGACCTTAAACTTCTGAAGAACATGTGTAACTGTAATCACAGGAACATCAAGCTGCTTGGAGACGGTCTTATTGTCTTCATCTTTATACTTGTCTGTCATTTTTTTTCTAGTCTCCTGACACAGTTCTCTTCTTCTCTTTCTCTCGTCCATGTTCAGTGTTGTGTTCATCATGTCTCCAAACAGCACAATGACACATGTCCCCCTTTAAACAGACAGACTGACTGAGGACAAGTTTGAAGAACCTGTGATGCAGATTAGAGACACACCGAAGTTTAACATGTCCCAATAGTCCAGTTACTTTTACCTTTTCTGCAGGAACCATAATTTTTGTCCAGGACAGATTCATTTGTTTTTTTTGTTTTTTTAAAATAATTCTGTTGAACAACAATTCAAAAACAGTGTGTGATTTTCATTGATTATTTTCAGTAAATTTTTATTTATTGCTTTTCTCAGTTTCAAGTTATTTCAGTGACCAATGTTGATTTTTCTTTCCTTACCAGAGGGGTACCAACAATTTTGTTCACGACTGTATGTTACTATTAAAATTGAATAAAAGAAAATAAAGACGTACAAGTCACATACAAAAAAAAAAAAAAAAGGATGTAAAAAAGGATAACTTTCATAAATAACTTGAAGAGCAAAGTGAAAAAATTTTGAAAAAGAGAAACAAAAACATGACATTTCAAATGATCTTCCACATAATAATACCAGACTCGAAACTGTAAAAGAAATTGTAGATGGTTTCAATCACTATTTTGTTATGACTGTCACAGTTCTGCCTTTTGTTTACTTGTTTTCCTCCAGTCCAGTTCCATTTCTCACTCTGTTCCGGTCCTCCTTTTGCCACCTCCCTCCTTTCCCTACAGCTGCCTCTCATTCTGTAATCAGCCCAGGTCCAGTCTATATATACTCCCTCTGCTCCCTCAGTCTTTGCTAGATTGTCAACCTGTGAACACATACTCTCAAGCTCTTACCTGGAAATTCTGAACCTGTATTCTGTTTGCATTTTATGCATTCTGCTTTTTGTTCCCCTGTTTATAGTTCCTGTTTTAGTTTATCTAAGCACATTATCTACTTCGAGTGTTTCCCAGTTCTGGAAGAGATTTTAGTTCACATTATATGAATGATATATTCCTTTGTTGTTTTTTCAGTCATAGTTAGATAACATTACCTTAGAGGACATTTTGAGTTATTTACTGAGACTTTGTTTGCCTATATACTTGTGTTGTATTTGAGTCCAATTTACCTGCGTGATAGTACAATCTAGCCAGTATGGACTCGGCACACAAGGAAAGCCCTATGGAGAGGCTAGCTAGACTTGAAGAAAGCCTGCAGCAACACCAGGCCGAGCTAGCATCTGCTGCTAATGCTGCTCGGCAGTCAGCTGCAGCTAATGAACAAAACATTGCCACTTTAACAGCTCAGATCCAGCAACTGGCAGTCACTGTCACCCAGCTAGTCACTGCAGTTACTCCCGCTCCTCCCAACCCTGCCCCGCAACCTTCAGTTGAATTGATTGCACCTGGACCAGTTTCGGAACCCAGAGTAGGCACACCAGAACGGTATAGGGGGGACCCGGAAGGGTGCAATCCATTCCTGACCAACTGCTCCATTCTCTTTGCCCTACAGCCACACACATTCTCCACAGAAAAAGCCAAGGTGGCATTTGCCATCAATCACCTTACAGAAAAGGCGCGGCTTTGGGGAACCGCAGAATGGGAGCGCCAGACAGCTGCCTGTACCTCTTTTGATGCCTTTGCTAAAGAACTCCGAAAAGTGTTTGGGGCTACGTCATCTGGACCTGATGCAGCTGGCGGTCTAATGGGATTGCGACAGGGAGCCCGCACTGTTGCTGATTATTCTATAGAATTCCGGACCCGGGCCCTTCAAAGCCAGTGGAACACCGCAGCTAAAACTGATGCCTATCTTTTGGGTCTCAATGACTATATTAAAGATGAGCTGGTTTCATTCGATCTCCCCTCTGACCTTGATAATTTGATTGAGCTAGCAACCAAACTTGATCGCCGCATCCAAGCTCGGCGACATGAAAAAAGACACAAATTTCCTGAACCACGACCTGTCACACGTCCACGTCCTCCTGAGTCAGTTAGTCACTCCCCAGCTTCCCATGAGGGGGGTCCTGAGCCCATGCAGGTGGGCAGAACGAGTCTTTCTCCTGAAGAGCGGAACCGCCGTCGTCAGGGGAACCTTTGTCTCTATTGTGGGAAGCCTGGCCATTTTGTTTCTAGTTGTCCAGTAAAAGGGCAGGCTCATCAGTAGAAAGGGGAATACTGATGAGTCTTTCTTTCACACCTTCCCCTGTAAAACGTCCTCAGTTTCAAGCCCGTCTGCTGCTTGAGAGTGGTACTCACACTGTGACCACTCTTATTGATTCTGGTTCTGACATTAGTCTTATTGATGAGAGCCTGGCTCGGCAGTTAAAGTTAAATTTTGTTCCTCTTCCTGCACCTGTGCCAGCCAATGCCCTAGACGGCAGACTTTTGGGGTCTATAACCCATCGCACTGTTCCTGTTCGCCTGCTACTTGCTGGTAACCACCATGAGACCATCCAGTTTCACGTCCTGAAAACACCACAGTACCCTGTAATCCTCGGCTTCCCTTGGCTTCTCCGTCATAACCCCCATATTGATTGGTCTTCAGGTTCCATTATTAGTTGGAATCCATCTTGTCATCAGGTCTGTCTCAACCAAGCTGTTCCATCACTGCTGCCCACCAATAACTCCAGTACTCCACCAGACTTGACAGGTGTTCCTGAAGAGTACCATGACCTCAAAGAGGTTTTCAGTAAGACTAAAGCTACATCACTTCCTCCACATCGTCCCTACGACTGTGCCATTGACCTTCTGCCTGGAACTTCTCCGCCACGTGGTCGTATTTACTCCCTCTCTGGACCTGAAAGAGAAGCTATGGAGAAGTATGTCACTGAGTCATTGGCTGCAGGAATCATCCGGCCCTCTTCATCCCCTGCGGGTGCGGGTTTCTTCTTTGTTGAGAAGAAAGACAAGACCCTTAGACCTTGCATTGACTACAGGGGGTTAAACAATATTACTATCAAGAACCGCTACCCTGCCACTCATTTCTTCCGCTTTTGAACTTTTGCAGGATGCTGTAATGTTCACAAAGCTTGACCTGCGCAACGCTTACCATCTCATCCGGATCCGTGAGGGAGATGAGTGGAAGACTGCCTTTAACACGCCCACAGGGCACTACGAGTACTTGGTCATGCCATTTGGTCTCACCAACGCCCCCGCTGTATTTCAAGCCCTTGTCAATGACGTTCTGCGTGACATGTTGAACAAGTATGTATTTGTCTACCTTGATGACATTCTGATTTTCTCAAAGTCCAGAGAAGAACACATCCATCATGTTCAGACCGTCTTGCAACGTCTCCTGTCAAACTCACTCTTCGTCAAGGCAGAGAAATGTGAGTTCCACTCTTCATCCGTCACCTTTCTGGGGTATATCATTGGTCAGGGAAGTGTGTCCATGGACCCTGCCAAGGTGGAAGCAGTTACCTCCTGGCCTGTTCCTGAGTCCCGCAAGATGTTGCAGCGTTTCCTAGGGTTTGCGAACTTTTACAGGCGGTTCATCCGGAGTTACAGTTCTGTTGCTGCTCCACTCACAGCTCTCACCTCGTCCAAGGTACCTTATAAGTGGTCTCCAGAAGCAGATGCAGCCTTCAAGACTCTCAAGACCCTGTTCACCTCAGCTCCTATTCTCAGAATGCCAGATCCTGAGAGACAGTTTGTGGTCGAAGTTGATGCCTCTGATGTGGGAGTAGGGGCTGTTTTGTCTCAAAGGGCATCTGATGATTGTAAACTACATCCTTGCGCCTTCTTTTCCCGTCGTCTGGCACCTGCAGAAAGGAACTATGATATTGGTAATCGAGAGCTGCTGGCAGTAAAATTGGCCTTAGAGGAGTGGAGACACTGGCTTGAAGGTTGCAAGGTGCCATTCCTGGTCTGGACAGATCATAAAAATCTGGAATATCTTCAGTCTGCTAAGCGCCTCAACTCCCGACAGGCTCGATGGGCTCTGTTTCTGACCAGATTTAACTTTACACTGTCCTACCGTCCCGGATCACGCAATGCTAAGCCTGATTCCTTGTCTCGCCAGTTCTCCGCCTCCGAGGACCCCTCTGCTGAACCTGATACCATTCTTTCCAGCTCTCACATCGTTGCTACTCTCACCTGGGAGGTGGAGGAGCAAGTAAAAGCTGCTTTGGAAGACCACCCTGGCCCCAGCACTTGTCCAAACAATCTTCTGTATGTACCACCACACCTCAGGTCAGATGTTCTGCAATGGGCTCACAGTTCTAAGCTCACCTGTCACCCCGGGATCCAACGGACTAAGGAGGTTCTGCATCAAAGATTCTGGTGGGGTACCCTGGATGAGGACACCAGAGATTTTGTTAATGCCTGTCAAGTCTGTAACCAGTCGAAGCCTACTCACCAATCACCTGCTGGCCATCTTCTTCCTCTTCCTGTTCCCCACCGGCCTTTGTCTCACATATCCCTGGACTTCGTCACTGGCTTACCTGTTTCCAATGGACACACCGCCATCCTGTCTGTAGTTGATCGTTTTAGCAAGATGGCCCATTTCGTTCCACTGACCAAACTTCCGTCGGCAAAAGAGACCGCTGAGTTGATGCTGCAGCATGTTTTTCGGTTGCACGGACTCCCCACTGATATTGTTTCTGATCGGGGTCCCCAATTCACCTCCATATTCTGGCGTGAATTCTGTTCCCTTTTAGGGGCCACGGTTAGCCTGTCATCAGGCTATCACCCTCAGTCCAACGGCCAGACAGAAAGAATCAATCAGCAGATGGAGACTGTGTTGCGCTGTATGGCATCAAGGAACCCGTCCTCCTGGTCCCAGCAACTACTGTGGGTAGAGTACTCTCACAATACTCTGAAAAGTTCAGCCACTGGTTTTCCCCATTCCAGTGTGCTTATGGTTACCAACCACCCCTGTTCCAATCCCAGGAAAAGGAAGTTTCTTGCCCCTCTGTTCAAGCATTCATAAAACGCTGCCACAGAACCTGGAAACCGGCCCGGACTGCTTTGCTCACCTCTGCACAGCGCTACTCTGCATCAGCCAACCGCCGTCGTTCTGAGGCTCCTGCATACCAGGCTGGTCATATGGTTTGGCTCTTGACTAAGGACCTACCACTCAGGGCGGATTCGAAGAAACTTGCCCCCAAGTTTATCGGCCCGTTTGAAATTGAGAGGATGGTCAACCCGGTGGCTGCGCGTCTCAAGTTGCCAAGAGCTATGCGGATCAATCCCACCTTCCATGTCTCAAAGTTGAAGCCGGCTCGAGACAGTCCTCTTGCCCCTGCCTCACCCTCACCTCCGCCTACTCGTCTGATTGATGGAGAACCTGCGTACACGGTGAGGCGTCTGCTCCGTTCCAGACGCCGTGGTAGGGGCATCCAATATTTGGTTGACTGGGAGGGGTATGGGCCAGAGGAGCGTTCTTGGGTGCCTGCCAGTTTCATTTTAGACCCTCTTCTTATTAAAGCTTTCCATGATCAACATCCTGAACAGCCTTCAAAGGGCTCTTGCAGCTCATCCGTCTGAGTACTCTGACCTGGAATTCTGACCCTCCGCCAGGCCCCTCCTCCCTCCCATGGTCGGCCTTTTGGTTTTGGGACGTCAGGAGCCGTCCCTTGAGAGGGGGGTTCTGTCACAGTTCTGCCTTTTGTTTACTTGTTTTCCTCCAGTCCAGTTCCATTTCTCACTCTGTTCCGGTCCTCCTTTTGCCACGTCCCTCCTTTCCCTACAGCTGCCTCTCATTCTGTAATCAGCCCAGGTCCAGTCTATATATACTCCCTCTGCTCCCTCAGTCTTTGCTAGATTGTCAACCTGTGAACACATACTCTCAAGCTCTTACCTGGAAATTCTGAACCTGTATTCTGTTTGCATTTTATGCATTCTGCTTTTTGTTCTCCTGTTTATAGTTCCTGTTTTAGTTTATCTAAGCACATTATCTACTTCGAGTGTTTCCCAGTTCTGGAAGAGATTTAAGTTCACATTATATGAATGATATATTCCTTTGTTGTTTTTTCAGTCATAGTTAGATAACATTACCTTAGAGGACATTTTCAGTTATTTACTGAGACTTTGTTTGCCTATATACTTGTGTTGTATTTGAGTCCAATTTACCTGCGTGATAATGACTCTCCTCTGTGATGCAGTATATGGATCCAGAAACAATACATTTCACATACAGTGTAGGTATCTTCATTAAGAAGGCTTTAGATATTCTTATTCATAATTTCCTATTGCAAAAATGAGAAAAGTATGGATTCTGAGGACCTGTACATACATGGTTACAAAGCTACAAAACAGAGACCACTATGTTGAGATAATTAATTAAAAATGTCATGTGTTAAAATTAATAATAATGAATTAAGTAATTTATTATTTATTTATATAATATTTTATTATTTATATTCATGATTTATTATTTTTATTAACCCTCTCAGGCTCAAATTAATTTTTAGTATCAGGAAAAATCTGATATTTGGGGAAAATTATAATATGGGGTAGTAATATACAATTCTGACTTTTTTATCCTTTGTAAAAAAAAAAAAAAAAAAGTATTTTGCACTTCTGGCAGACCGTTTGCGTGTAGCCATTCTTGCACAGTCTGCATCGCCCACGTTTATCAGCATGGATGGGAGAAAAGGCTCCTGAGTAAAAAAAGCTCATATAATATGGATGTGGAGTAAGTAGGTAATTGGAATTTAGCTGTTGCAAATCTGCAACGCCTGCCTGGAGAGGGTTAAAGATGTAGTATGTACCATCTTGAAATTGCAGACCATAGCACTCTCTGCTGCTCAGGTGAAGACCAAAAGCACCTTGTACAAATGGTGGAGAGTTTGGTTTGATATAAATAAATTATTACTAAATATAGAAAAAACTAAATGTATGATATTTTCAAAATGAAAAATACTACTTTCATGTATAAATCATGCTCAACAATACACCCTGAAAAAAAGTTCTTAGGAGTAACTATAGACCATCATTTAAATTTGAAATCCAACATAAATAAACTTACAAAAAAATTACCTAAAGTAATCACAACTATATTTAAATATAGATATATTCTAAAATCATTAAAATGGGGGTGATGTTGCACTGTTCATTAAAAATTACCTGAGACAAAAAATGCTTGAAATATGACTAACTACTGATGAAGCAGTGAACTGTCTTACGGTGGAGCTGTCATTTGCAAACTGAAAAAATACAGTATGTTACATTAACAGAACGTCAGAATCAAAAACTGATAAATCTGTAAACTTCAGCAAAAGTACATTTTCCTGTGCAATGATTTTAACATTGACTTTTTCAAATGCAATGACATAAACCATCAGAAAACTCCATAAATGCTCTATATAATCTATCATTGTATCCAAAAATAGCAAGGCCTACACCAATGAGCCTACATAGTTCCTTATTCATCCATAACATATTCACAAACATTCTGAGTGAAGACCTGCAGAGCAGGATCTTAGTGCTTGTTTTTGTAGTCCAGAACCAAAAAAATATACAAAAAATGTCGCTAAAGGAAAATTTTAACCCAAATTCATTAGACGGATTAATGCAGACTCTGAATGCATTTACAGGAAGTCTAGAACAAAATTTGATTCATGGTAAATGGTTTTATATAATGCTTTTCCACCTTCAAGGCACAGTATTGTTCCTCTGCCACTTTAAATGGGTCTGTTTTTCTGTGTGTGTTTTTTTTCAGTTTGGTGTGGGCCAGTGACCATGCAAGTGGTGAACCCGTGGTGAACCCGTGGTGAACCCGTGGTGAACCCGTGGTGAACCCGTGGTGAACCCGTGGTGAACCCGTGGTGAACCCGTGGTGAACCCGTGAACCTTCTCGCTCTCCCTTAACCTGTTGTCTCTTTGTTCAGGTTAGTAGGAAGCAGCTCACCACATGGCACCTGTAGCACTCATTGATATTAAAGGGGTTAATGTTAAATTGGGTGTTTAACGAGATTTCATTTTGTTGTCTCTTTCTTCAGGCGAGGTTCCCGAGCAGTCGGACTAAATGCCCGGACCTCTGGACTAGCCCTCTAGGCCTTTTAACTTTTTGACAAACTCCTTAACGGACTTCCCCAACCCTTGTGATATGTTGATTCCCCTTTTAAATTAAAACTGCTGTGGATTATTGTAAATAAAACCCTTAAAACTAAACTCTGCTGTCCATAGTTCTCTGGTGATCCGCAATATCTGCCGTGTGGGGTGGTCAAGCACTTGGGGGGTGTTATACTTTACATCAAGGAACCACTCACCCATTCACACACACGTTCACACACCAGTGTGATCTGTGTGACTGTAAATGAGTTCAACAATTATTTTATAAACATTGGTCCACAACTGGCCTCCAAAATAATTCAACCCGGTGCAGGGCTTACATGTGATGTGACCACAAACCACCCCCCACTGAGATTTTGGGCACTATATGTAAGGCTAATACAAAACCAATCTTCACCTTGCAAAAAATGCCATATTGTTAATTACATTATCAATTTATAAAGAACCAACAAGTGCATTATGTAAAAACCTTCAAATCCTGAAATGTTACGATTTAGTCAACCTTTACACTTTGAAAATCATGTTCAAAGTCAAAAACAATCTCTTGTCAATCATTACACAATATGTTTAAAATCCGAAATAGTCAGTATGAGCTTAGAGGTACGGCCATGTTTATTAAAAAGAAAATCAGAACCAACATATGAAAATGAATATCTGCTAAAGGAGTGGACCTCTGGAACTACACAGAAGAACTTAAATTTTGTACTAATCTCTAATCACTTGAAAAAGAAAGTTAAATGCTTAACTCTGGGCAGATATATTAATTATGATATTTAGTCTGTGCTATACGTTGCTGTACCTTGCTGTACAGTTACTGTCTTGTGTGTTTCCTTTTGCTATATTTATGAATATGAACTGGTTTCAGGATGATGCTATGTTTGTGGAATAATGTCAGATAATAATAATGTCAATAATGTAAGACCAAAATAAACTAATCCATCCATCCATAACTGATCCTCCTTTCCATAAACCACTACAACGTGCTACTTTCAGTGTAGTTCGCATCATCCTTCAGACCAATATTTTGAGCAGTCATTATAGTGGGCAGTAACCTGGCAGAACTGAAGAAGCCCCTTGATGGTGACATTCATTATGTCGACTAGACATAGGTTTTGTCTAGACTCAATAAACCTATGTCTAGTTGACATTATTTCATTTTGCTAGGGTGTCAACCTGGACTACGGGAGGATTACACAGACATGTAACGGAATGTAACCTTGGTACCGTGAAACAGTAGGAGCATTACCCATCATTATTGAGGTCCAGCACTGCTAAGGCATTTCCATAGTATGAGCCTGTCTGCTCCCCTCTGAGCCTCTGCACAATCTGAAGACCAGCCTCAGACTTCAGCGCCAGGAACACAGAGCCACGAGCATCGTGTTTGCTGTCTTTAGGAGCCCCTGGACCAACCATACAAAACCACAGAGAAGGTCACAGAAGAAGACCATTGCTCACATTTGAAGCACACACCATCAGGATACCTCCTCCAGTCCACATGCATTCACTCAAACCTTTGGTCCCTACTAACCAAAAGTTCCCCGTGAAGTAACCCGATAATGTGATGAATACCCACACACAACCTGAGCATAGATAAAATGGTTCAACTGTAAGTGGTCAAAATTTATAGCACACTCTCCTATGTTCAAGGTACACAAAGTACTTTATGTCAAGGAAACACACATTCATACACCAGTGAATGAACACAGGCAAGTTTCTTGCCCATAGTCACTACCACAGTGTGCACCATCACATGTGTGCACCATGTACATATAAAATGTACACTAGGTTTCACTTGCGTTCAGGTAATTTTCTTTACTCAGAGCTATGAATTTGTGGATCTTAATGACTGTGGTAAAATAACAGTCACTTTCAGGATGAAAAAGCACATTATCTGTCAGTTAGACTAAGGTCAACTTGAATGAGACGAGTAACTTCAACAGTGACATTATTGCCAAGAGTCCAGCTCCATCTCCCACACTGTTCTGCTCCTCCTTTTGCTCCCTACCTGTTTATCCTACAGCTGCCACTCATTCCCTGATCCTCCCAGAGTGTCTCTGTATCCTCCCTCTGTCCATTCAGTCTCTGTATCCTCCCTCTGTTCATTCAGTCTCTGTATCCTCCCTCTGTTCATTCAGTCTGTGCCAGATTACACCTTTTCACCTGTTTTGTTTTAGTCGCTGGTCAGAAAAAGCCCCAGTCACTGCCTGCATTCACAAACTGCTGAATCCAGAGGGTGATAGTACATGCTGTTTAACGTTTAGCATAGCAGCGCAAAAGCTGCTAGATCCCCAGGTGAATTTCCACTATGGAAAATGTATTATGCAGTCAGAAATACAGCATGCGATGTGTAGGCTTTCAGTGAATAAAACAAGAGGATATGGGATGCCAATGAATGAAAAATAAAGATCATATCCAAAGGCAGTGATGTACATGAAATATACATTTCCCCTTTGTAAGCATGTTGCCAAAAATTGTATGAGGATTTACAGTGAGAAAACCACTTATAAACTGTAAGTAGCACCATAACAAAAAGAAAAGGGAAACCTGTTATGATGCTGTCCAGCTGTGGAGACAGCAGCCGAGGAGCCAGGGCCACAGAGTATCCTGAAGAGGTGACAAACATATAGAGACATAAGGACACACACCAACACACACCACATTGACAATCTTTTTATGAGATTTTGATTTACAGTATTCAAAAAATTCTTTAAGGAAGAGTGAAAAATATTCTGACTGTATGATATACCCTTAACTGATACTTACAACAAAATAAACAAATGATGAAGTGGCAAATCTAGTTTAACCGTTAGTCATACCTTCAAAAAAGTTACCTAGAGGGCATTTTTGTACACCTGAATTTCATTTGGCTATAAAAACAAAAATCTGAAGATTATTATTATTATTTTTTTAACTTTTTAAAAAATTTGCTCAACCAACATCTCACCTTATGATCCAGATTTTAAAATGTCTTTTCCTGTAAACCCCTAAATGTCTGACTTTCTTTCATAAAGTCAATGCATTTTATATTCCAAAAATCACAAAAAGTGAACTATCTTCCATATCTTTAATGCATACTGTGTCTTTTTGGTGCCATTTTAAGAGCCTGATGTATGTAAACATTTATCAGCCATAATTTTGCAAATGCATTACTTATTGGGCAATGATCAGTTTAATATAAAAGTCACGTGGAGGGTATTAAAGCACATTTTTGCACACTTGAAATATTATTTGGTGAAAAAAAAATCAGAGGATTCAATTTTCCCCCCAAATATACACATGGGAGGTACAGCATATGTATAAAAAATGTGCTCCTCACCTTCCATGGTGGTTGGTATCTCACCCTCATCCAGCTCGGGTCCTCCACCAGAGGCCTGGGAGCTTGAGAGTTCTGAGCAGTATCTTTGTGCTACTAGTGCTGCTCTTTTTTGGACTGAGATGTCCGATGTTTTTCCTGGTATTTGCTGTAGCCGCTCCTCCAGTTTGGGAGTTACAGCCCCGAGTGCTCCGATCACCACGGGCACTGCTGATGCCTTCACCTTCCAGGCCTTCTACAGCTCTTCCTTGAGCCCCTGGTATTTGTCTAGTTTCTCATGTTCCTTTTTCCTGATATTGCCATCGCTTGGTATTGCAATGTCCACCACCACGGCTCTGCTCTGTTGCTTATCCACCACCACTATGTCTGGTTGGTTCACCATCACCATCCTGTCAGTCTGTATCTGGAAGTCCCACAGGATCTTGGCTTGGTTGTTCTCCACAATCTTTGGGAAGGTGTTTCCCACCTTGACCTTGGGGTCTCCAGCCCGTACTCTCCAGCCGTACAGCCTACATCGTGGGTCTAGTCTGGTGTGGTAGATCTGGGCCTCTATTTACATATATATATATATGTAAAACAATGGCAATGGCAGGTTGTAATATTTGAGCTCAAGGGCTCGATTTAGACTGTGATTAGCTTTTTTGAGGAAGCGTGAACCTACTTTGTGTCTTTGTATGCGATTTTGAAGCCGCTGTGTTCCTCGTGTGTGTGTGTGTGTGTGTGTGTACGCTCCTCATGTGTGGCGACAGTGTGACTTTGAGCATCACCATGGCAACAGCCAACAAAACAGAGCGTCAGGTGCAGACAGAGTGACTAACACATACTCACAAGATACAAACTCAATAAGTAGTTAATAATTATTATTCACTTCTGTAAAGTTTTACATATTGCAGTATCAAGTATTGCACCACATTTCACAAATAATAACACAGTTTTGTCTTACATCTAAACTAGAAGTACAGTGTTCTGATCTTTTGAACACTTAAAAGTCAACTCTAGTTGTTTAACTCTAGACAGGAAACAGCTGATATGTGGTGTGCTCACAGCTGTATGGCATGTGGTACACAGCCATATCCCCAGCAGTCTTTGCGATCGGAGATTTAAAATTACACAAGATTCTCTACATGTCTGTGGTGTGCACTTTTGACATGTTAAAAAATCATTTAAGACTGAAAAATCCTGTAGTGTGGAGCAGCCTTTAGAATAGGTAAAAACTGAAGATTGAAAATGTTAAAACACCCAAAGATGCATCTTTCTGCCAAAACAGTCAATTTGCTTCAAAAAGGAAGATTCCATGGAAATAGAAAAATTAGAGCCAAAGAAAGCACATTTCCATGGAAACAAGAAGGACACAACCCTCCTCCAGGACAAATGGATCTTTTTCACAATAGCTGGAAGTGCTGCGTTAAAGGGTTGCCAAACTTCTAGTTAATGGTTTGCTATAGCAACATATCAGTGGAAATTCTCCACTAGCTTAATAAATCTGCCCCATCACCAAATCTTCAGCCAACAAAATCCACAAAGGATAAACATTCTTCCATGAAGAATTTATCCACAACTATCAAGGGAAGAAAGACGAAAACTTAAAGGAGAACAACAACGACACATTAGTGAACTACTGGCAAGTCTAACGTTATGGTCATGAATAAAACAGAAATAGCTTGATAACTCAGAATGATTCTAGAATTAAAATTAAAAAACTTATTTCATGATTTAGATATTAGCACAGATCGATTTGTGCAGTTTGAATGCACAACTCTATTGCGAGAATACGCAAGACATTTCTACACACATTTTGCCATAGAAAACCATTAACTGGAAGTAAGATTTTGTTCATTCTAATACTAAAGAAAATTTCTTCTCTGAATGTTTTGGTATTTAATATGTCAACAAAATAAAGCAAAACATTTATCAGATATACACCCCAAATATGAGCAATTTTGGCTTTTTAACACATAAAATGCCTTATTTTTATATAAAAACTTGACATAATAAAAATAAAACATGTGATTTTTAACTGCTGGTGTATAGTGCAGCAGGGAGCTCTGAGCTGAGGGGTGTACAGAAGTGCAGCTAGTGCTAGTAGCATGCTAGCAGCTCTCACCAATGTAGATGTTCCTCTGCTCCATGTTTGTGAAGGTAGTCTTCTTTGTGTCGAACATGACCTCAGGATTCATCCACAGTACATGGACATTGCCTGCACAGACATAAGAGTAAATATAGCCAGTGAATCGTGTGTATGAGAGGGCGAGGGCTGGACCGCTTTAGGGTCAGCCTGTGCATTGTTGCATGGTGGTACCTTGCCAGTCGAAGCTTCCTGGAGAGCCCACAATGATCTCCATTTGAGAAATGGCCGCGGACATCCCCATAGTGCACATGACCTCACCACTCACATCGCCCAGGTGACTACAGCCAAACACAGGTCATGGGACAGGAGAGGAATGCCAACCACCAATCACAACATGCAAAGTAGAGAACAGGATACATGGAAATGATTCATTGTGGTTTCCATGCTGTGTTAAATTAAAGATTTGAATTTAGAAAACGTCATGTAATATCATGTACAAATGTCTTGATATTTAAAAATGTCTATGATCTAGCATATTTTATTGCATTACTTATTATCATTACCAGTAGGCCTCTGCTCAACCAAGAATGACTTGTTTACCTTAACTTGTTAAGACATGGTTGTTTTCTTGCTACTGGACCTGGATAAGGTCACTTGCTTGGGTCACTTATATGCAGCCCTGGTTTGGGTTCTTACCATGTTGGGTTCTGCTTGGTTCATTGTTGAACTGTTTACAGGTTCTTGCTTGTGTCTGAACTACAGACCTGGGTTCTGGTTGGTCACTGTCAACTGCTTTACCTGCAGACCTGGTCAGGATTCTGCCAGTGAGCGTCTGAGTCGTTGTACTTCAGGTCATTGCCCCGGACGTAGCAGCGGCCGGTCATGTGTCGCAGCCTGTACGCACCGTAGAGTTTGGCAAAGCGATGGCCACATGCCTGTAACATCAAAAATATGCTTGCTATTCAACATGTAAACAGAATGTAAAGTTGAGGATATGGGCATACCAACACTCGTCCTCCGGGTGGACCCTGACTGGCCACAGAGACCCCGAGCCACATGTCCTCAATCACGTCCTCAGACAAGAGTTGCTCTGTTGATCACATTTTAGACGACACTCTATTATAGGTAAAACATTAACATCTCCATGGAGACAAACATGTGGTAGACCTTCTGCCACAAAAGCTAAAGTGTACCTTTAAGTGAAGAAACTTGCATGTGAAATATTTAAGATTGTTTTGTACAAGCAAGGTTTAAGGTATACTTTATTAGTCCCTTGTAAGGGGGCCACTGAAGCAGGCTGTCAGGAGCAGTGAGCTGCTGCTATACAGTGTTCAAAGAGCCACTGTCAGATCTTGAACAGTGCTGCTGGCATTGCCTCTTATTTTAAGGAAATGTTTTCTGTATGAGGTCTGTAGATTCACATAACTGATACTTTTCACCTATTACATTTTCAGATGCACAGCTCATTCAAAATATGTGCAAGCTAACATAACAGCTCTGAATAATAAATCTTAACAAATTTGTGTCCATTTTAAATGAGTTTTTTCATATATATGTAATATATTGGATTTCCTGTATCTTTCTTTGGCCTTGCACATGTTAAATTAGGTTTGGTGTTTAAGTGCAGATAGTGCTCCTCCTGAGTGTGCCTGGACCTGATGCTGCCCTCCCTGTGATAAGGCAAAGCCTGCTCTCGCTCTTTCACTCACTACCGGCCTGTGACCATGTAGCTGTCTGTCAGTGCATGGCTCATCTGTCTTTGGAAATACATTGATATCACAGGCTGCTCAACTAGTATATCGGTGTACATATTTTGTAAATTCCATGAAACTGTATTTTTGAAAGTGCACTGTAGCATATGTGAAAAACTCACTCTCTCACTCTTATGTGAATTCACTGTTCACTGTTGAATTCAATTATTTTAACCATGTTTCATAACAATACTGGGCATAGTGGTTACTAATAATTTTATAAATGCACTTTTTTCATAGATACTTTATTTATCCTGAAGGAAATTCAAATTTCTGTACCATTATGAATTGTACGGTGAGGGGTGGTTTTAGTTTTCATTTCACTCAATTTCCTGTGCCAAAAAAGTGTAATCACATTTTGCAATAATGCACATATTATACTGTTATGGAACATTGCATTTTATTCTATAGTGCAGCCCTTCACAAAAGTATTAGACTCACCAAAGCAGCTGGATAGTTCTCCGAATAGTTTTGCCCAATATTGGCAAAGGAGAAATTCAACTTGTCAGCTGGACCGAAGTTGATTTGGTCGAATGCGTTTCACAGCTCATTCAAGTTCTGGTCAGATGCTGGTGGACAGTGCCTTATATCTAACTACACTGAAACTACTCTGAAGTTAACACACCTACTTGTTTACAGTTTCTGTTTGTTAGCTCGGCCTATTCATCTGCACTGAGTGTGGGGTCTTATTAACATAACCATTGGGGCCCAAAATGGTTGCTTTCACACCTCTGGATGTGACCTGGCTATTCCTATTGTTCTCTTGTTTGTTTTGATTTAGGTTTGAGGTTGGAGTTGAGTCCTCCATTTCTGTTCAAGGATGGATTGTGTTTCCTTACAAAAATAGCCTCTTTAACTCCCATCTCAAACCAAGACTTTTCTCTGGCTAAGATCTGTACATCACTGTCCTCAGAAGAGTGACCTGTGGCATTTAGATGGAGATGTACAGCAGACTGAGGTCCAGTGTTGCTCTCTTATCTGTATTGTTGCATCCTCTTGTGAAGTGGCTGTTTTGTTTCTCCAATGTAGTGCTCACTGCAGTCTTCGCTACACTGAATGAAGTAGACCACATTGCTTTGTTTGTGCCTTGGTGTTTTGTTAAAAGAGTTAAAGTTCACACTGTGATCTAAGTATGTTATGTGTTAGCAGCTAATACAGTATGCCTTAGAAGTAAAATAACTCCTCTTTAAAGTACAATATCACCAAATGAAATTCAAATCATGTAATTTGATCAAAGATGTGTTCAGACTGAATGCATGGGCTTTTAAGTGATATTCAAAGCTTGTGTGCTTGACCCTTGTGCTTGGCTGAAATGAAGGAAGGTGACGGTTCACTTCACCTGGGTCCATGAGCGTGACCCGGGTGCAGTCTGATGGGTCAGGGCTGATAGGGCAGATGTACATGCCCCCAGTACGATTGGCCAAGACTCCAGGCTCTGCCTTCTCCATTGGGGCTCCCACCAACAACCTGTAAGAACAATAAAAGTAAACATCCAAAACAACAGGTGATGCTAACATGAAGAAATGACAATACTTCTTAGGTGGTCAAAATTTCAAAATATGCAGTAAACATTTAAGACAAAAATTATATTTTTCATTACTTAAAAACTACTCAGTGTGCCAGTAACCAGGCATTTAAAGGCGCACTATGTAATCTTTCTGCCATTTGTTTATCTCCTTGGAGATGTTTTTGCTTTGCCTGTAATATTCCACAGCATAAATTTTTATCTCCATGTAAAAGGTGGTGTCACCAGGCCAAATTGTAAGTCAGATCTGTGGAGAGTTTGAATGCATGCAATAAAAGCACTTTTAATTGAATACATGCAAGACACACAGAGGTGGGTAGTCACAATTGTACTTTTAGTACTTTTCTAGCAACATATTTTTACTCATCCTTGAATAATAATTTTAGTGATGTAACAGTACTTAAGAAAAAGTTGTGAATCCTTTTCCCACTCTGAGTAGTTCTACAGGTGACAAAACCTTTATGTTGACAATATGAAATCATTTGAACATTTGTTTCTTGCACTGCTCCTTCAGATAAAATGTGCCTGTCCTTTGAAAATACCAGATTCTGAGCACTATGTTTTGTCTTTCAAATTACATTAATGTAAGAATATAAATGAAATGTGAGTGCAGAGACAAAATAAAATAAGACCAAACTGATCCTAATGTGTTATGAAGCTTTTATTTGTCACTCTAGTAACCACTGAACAACTTTGATAAATAATATTTCAAACAATGACCAGTTATTAGCCTCATACGCTTATACCGTATGTCCAATCAGGATATTGTCTTAACCGATATTGGAAGCCGAAATCCGGTACAGTAAAATTTTCTGTACTGTGCATAGACATCCAATACCAGTATCGGACTGCTGCATCCCTAACTATTATGGCCCACAAATAAATGTTCCAAGCCTCATTAAAGGTGTACTATTTCAAAACAGTTCAGCTGATCAAACTGAAGCACACATTGTTTTGACCACTGCTCTCTGGTCCTGTGAATTCTTACTAAAATGGTACATATGGACAAAACAAACTCCCTGAAACTTGCGCTCAGCTCATCTCTCTAAGAACAGATATTCTGTGAACACAATCTCATTGTTAAGCCTGTCAGAGTAACACATTTTGAGGCAATAAATGCAACACACACACACAAACTGGACTGCACATCACACACTTAAAGGTGCACTGTGTAACTTTACTGGTGGAGAGTCTGGCGTCTGCTTGGCTCCATGATGATTTTATTGCTTTGCCTGGGATGTTCTACAGTATGGCATTAAACAAATTATAAGAGTTTTAATTGCTCAAAACTACCACTGAAAACTACCCACTTCTCCATAGATCTGACCTGTAATTTGGCCTGGTGATATGGCTACTTGTCTCCATGGAGATAGTTAAATGAAATACCATACTGTAGAGCATTACAGGGAAAAAAACAAAAAACAAAAAAAAAAACACAACATCCTCTACCAGAAATGTCACACAGTGCAACTTTAACATGGAAAATCACGTGCATAACATTTTGTATATGTATTAGTGTGTCGAAGGACATAATATATTCTATGTTTGATTGACAGATATCGTGGCCAATCAGATGTTGTCGTGTTTGGGTTTGGTTGACAGCGCTACGTGTTTTTGGTTGTTTTTCAGTGCGTCGTGCGGAGCTCGTGGGTGTGGGGTCTCGTGTGTGTATGAAAGAAGACCACACACAAATACACATACACACCCACACGAGTTCAACGTTTTAATAAAGGCATAAACTCCATCATCTCATCGTGCATTCTTACCAATGCCCCCTGGTGGTCACAACAATTATAAGCCACACAACTAGTTTCCCCATAACATATTGGTCCTTCGAGCCGGATAAGTGTGGCCACCGTGGGATTAAATAGAGATGTATTCAGACCGAAGTTACCCTCTACACGACGCAGGTGCCCGGTCACGCCGAGAGAGAAGACCACCAGCTTGGATGCAGGATTATGTTTCCTCACCTGCTCAGCAGCGGTCAGTCTATGAGGCATATGAGTCACAGTGACCCTTTCCCAGTGTGGAGAGATCAATGGAGAGAAGTGCCAGGATGACATCTCTCACACTTCAACCACCTGTTGAGGATTGGAGTACACTGCAAGGAGCCAGAGCTATGGACCCATATGAAGAAGAGTACTCACTTCCATTGCCTACAAGCACACCAATTCAATATAGGCAGAGGTCAGCTGCAGAAACATCTGACACGCTTACATTACTACACAGAGTGCTTGATGATAATCAAAGGATGCAAAAAAAGATAATGGAGATGCAAAGGCACCTTAATACCAGAGTAACGCCCCAACCCCCATTATCCAATCCAGTGTTTGCTCCTGTTCCTTCACCAATGTTCAGCGTACCTGTAAATCAGGATCAAAGTCTGTCTCTGCCTCCGCCCCCACCTACATCTGCTGCCTTCATGTTACCTGCAGACCCAGATGACTACTGGCCGCCGCCTCCTCCCCCGGTGACACATGACTTCATAGATAAGCCTTTGCCACCACCACAGACACTGGTGTCTGAACTCACAGAGTTGCTCCGGGACCTGAGGACGACACCACAAGTGCAGCTAGGCTATCAAACAGATATAAACCTTCCTCCATCTGGTGTGCAGACACCAGAGTACTGCATCCCCTATACTCCACCCAGGTGTGGGTCACTGCACAACCCACCCTTGCCTCCCCCACGGAATGAGGTGGTGTATCGCGGCCCAAAGCCTACCATTCCTACATTCACAAAGGGAGACCCCAGAGAGTTTGCCAGGCTTAAAGTGGCCCTGGATAATCTTCTGCCTGAAGATGCCACTGAGCGCTTTAAGTATCAGATCCTGTTGGACCATTTGAAGCATGAAGATGCTTTACTTATTGCTGATTCCTATATCAACTCACAGCAGCCATACACTGATACAATGACCAGTTTAATTGAAAGGTACAGCCAGCCACATCAGCTTGCGCTCAGGAAGATAGCTGACCTGATGGAGTCCTCTAACATTGCTCGTGGAGACACCGCTGGCTTCAAGAGGTTTGCATTAAGAGTAAGAGCGCTGGTGGGCCTATTGGAGCAGCTGGGTAAAAGTGGACAGACAGAGCTCTGCTGTGGATCACATGTGACACGGTTACTGTCTAAGCTGCCACAAGATATGAGAGCAGAGTTCAAGAGGTTCCTGTATCCAATGCGTGTCACTATTCCCAGTCTTCTGCACTTCTCCGATTGGCTCAACTATGAGCTGAAAATACAAGGGACAGTGTATGAGTCATTGCACAGTGAGGTAAAGAGCAGCAATGAATCCAAGACAGTACGGCGCCATGACAGTAAGAGCAACAGGAACACTAGCATCTTTCATACACAAAACAAGTCAAGTGATGGCCCCCCAGCAGAGCAAACACCAGCCACCCCCAATAAGACAGATAAGACTGCATTTTGCCCTTATTGTGTCAATACACTGCATTATCTTGACCAGTGTAGTAACTTTGCACTGCTTACAGTGGAGCAGAAATCAGCGTGGATAAAGGCCAACAGAAGGTGCTGGCGCTGTGCACGTTCACATCAAGCTGCACAGTGTCGGCTGAAGATCACATGTCCAAAGTGTAAAGGGAAACATCTGCAGGCCCTACATGATGTTAATGCAAAGTCCCCTGAGAACCCAGTAAACCCTGTTAGCTCAACCAATGAAGTCCTGTATTTAGACAGACGTTCTGGCTGCAACCAAGTCCTGTTAAAGATTAGCAGGGTGCTGTTACGCAATGGTAAGAACCTTTTAGAGACATATGCAGTACTCGACGATGGGTCAGAACGGACCATCCTGCTGTCAGCTGCAGCCCAGACACTCCAACTCACTGGTGAGCCAGAAGACTTAGCCCTCAGAACTGTCAGACAAGATGTAAGGCTTATGCATGGTGCAGCAGTATCATTCACCATTTCCCCTGCAGATCAGCCCAAAAAGACATTCACTATTAAAGGTGCATTTACTGCTGAGCCGCTGAGTTTAGCGGAACACACATACTCAGTGGAGGCACTCCAGAAGAAGTACAAGCACCTTAGAGGTCTTCCACTCCAAGCTATGAACAGAGTGCGCCCCCTGTTGTTGATAGGCTCAGATTACCCACACCTTATCACTCCAGTGGCTCCTGTGCGCCTCGGACGTCCTGGAGGACCTGCTGCTGTGAGAACAAGGTTAGGCTGGACACTTCAGGGACCTATTAAGAATGGAGAACAAGCATCACTCCATTGTCACTCCACAATGCTTTCACATCTCAACCGCATCACCCACTGCTGAAATCCTGCGGAATGTTGAGAAGTTGTGGCAATTAGACGTCCTCCCCTATCGCAGTGAGAAGCTGGTAGTGCGCTCCAGGCAGGATCAAGAGGCAATACAGCTGCTGGAGGCTAAAACCACACGGGTGGATATCCAAGGAGTCCAGAGATATGCCACTCCACTCCTCAGAGTGAAGAACATGCCACAGCTTAATGCACCCAAAGAGGCTGTACTGGCTAATCTCCGCAGTACAGAGAAAAGACTACTGCGGGACCCAGAGAAAGCTGCTGCCTATTGCACAGAGATAAACAAACTAGAGACTGCTGGCTATGTGCTAAAGGTCCCTGAAGAGGAGCTGTGCAGTGCAAAGGAATCGTGGTTCATCCCGCATCACATGGTAAGCCACAATGGGAAGAACAGGATTGTTTTTAATTGTTCTTTCTGTTATAAAGGGGACAATCTCAATGAACTGTTGCTGCCAGGCCCTACCCTCACATCTAGCCTCTTGGGGGTGCTGTTGCGCTTTAGAGAGCATGCTGTTGCTGTGAGCAGTGATATAAAAGGGATGTTCCATCAAGTCAGGCTGCTCCCTGAAGACAAGATGCTGCTCTGCTTCCTGTGGCGTGGCCTGCAGACAGAGAAACCACCCGGTGTCTATGTTTGGCAGGTCCTACCATTTGGAAC